ATGGAGAGTATATGCCCCCACCAAGGACCTTGCCTTAGCAGAAAATTAGCCATTTTGCCTGGTTTCTCTGCAGCTAAAGGTGACCTGCACATATAAGAGACATGGCCCTGTTCTAGTGCTGAAAACTGTGATTGGTTGGCAAATTATTTATTATATTATATTTATATATTTATTATTATTATAATAAGATTTTATAAAGTCTACCATTTTCAAACAAGGACCTCTTTTTTCAAAACATAATGCAGATTTAATAAACTTACAAAATTAAAAATTACTAAGTACAACTTCTGAGATTTTTCCAAAGGCCCCCACCCTCAGCACCGCCCTGTGGCCCCCAGTTTCAGAACCGCTGGTGAATACTGTTCTTGAACATTGTATTGCTGAACTGCAGTAACGCAGGACACCTCATTCTTGCTGCACCAGTGAGAACAAAAATCTGTTACACTGTTCTGGTATAACCATGCAAATAAAATAAGGTAAACTAAGGTAGGTTTTTTCCTTCTCCTGTAAAGTTATCATTTTGGAGATATGAGGTTTTCTTCTGACAACAGCGATATACCATTTAAAATATACAGTACTGAACGTAAGTCAGAGATCACTTTTTTGTTTGTTTAATTTCCATTTCCCCATGGGTTCACCCCAACACCACATGTGTAATATAAATGTGTAGGGGGTGTACAGTGTGAAGTCATTGAAAATGTGTTATTTTATATATTGTTCACAGTAAATGAGCAAAGGCCAAGGAATCTGAGGTTGAAATAATAATATATTGCATAATTTTTTCTTTTGGTAAACACTGAGAATGGGTCCCACAGACCCCAACACCACAAAAGGGTTAACTCTTCCATTCTTCCAATCTTAAAACCAACCAGTTACACGTTATGTTCCCCTTCAAAAAGACGCTAACATTCGCACAAGCAACTACCCAAACACACCTTAGATGTCTTCAACTTTCTTTCTCTTGTGCATCTTAAATGGCTAAAGGAGATTTCTGAGGACATTAGATATGAAATAATCCCTTTGCATAAGGAAGGGGAAAATCAAAGGAAAATAAAAAAAAAGAAGGCTCCAAAAATGATGGAGAAAAAGATGGTAAAATGGGGCTCCTAACAACTAAGCAAGACCTGGTAGATCACCAAATCAGTCATTATCAGATAAACAGTACTAAAAGCTTTTAACTTTGAAAGAGAGGAGAAAATAAAGCTCAATTCTTCCTTCAGATCTGTCCTTCCTTCCACTGTGAGAAGACAACTCAATGCTATGCATCTGAAAGGATGTGTAGCTGTCAAGAAGCTGCTACTGAGAAAAGGAAATAGACAAAAAAGAACAAAATTAGCACTAGAACACCAAAAATGGAAATCTGAGATGTAGAAAAAGACAATAGACTGAGTCTAAATTTGTAATTGGGATTACTGTAATGAGAAGCAGAAAATGCAACCAACTTCTAAGACTAAACTTGGCAAGTGTAGAAAAAATCCCTGCAGATTTGTTTGAAAAACGTAAAGTCTCCCAGAAATAATGGAAGATGTAATAAAAGTGTGGACAGTAGAAATACTGAAAGAAATTGTATATTTTGTTGTTGAAATTTTTGTGCAATTCTCTGTTAATTATATGTTTTGAAAAATTAATAACTTTCACTTAAATGGCCATTTTGCTTGCACTTTAAATAAATTAAATTGTAGTCTCTAACTTCTGCATGACACTGTTTTGCAATACATTACACATATTTCAGAATATACTAATATTGTTTAACAATATATATCCATCAACAGGAATAAAGACAATAAATTTGAACAGCTTTGAAATGAACTGAATATGACACCCCCACAAGTGGAGGCTGGAAGTGACCTGAGTGCAGAACCGTGGAAGGAAAACCACGTGTGGAATAAAACTGACACATTTGAGTTTAGCCTCTGCTTCCACAGTGACAACATAAACACTGTTCACTGTGACCAGTGGCACCAAAACATTGCAAATGTATGCAAATCTCTTTTGCTAAAGAAACTCAGACATACACATACACACAACGTCAGGATGTGGGGTTTCGAAATTAGAGAAGTTTAGAAGTAGAAATGGTGTGCAGAAAATTGCCATATTTAAGTATACACACACACAGATTTCAGGACAAACTTGTGTTCATCTAAAAACCTTTTTAAAAAGAAAAAAAAACTTTTTATGGAATTTATGTTTTTATAAAGTAGTATTTATTCTAATATTACACGGCAGTTCTATTGGCAAAAACACATTACAGCTCAGATATTATACACAATTGTCTTGGGTGCCTATGACTTTTGCACAGTACTGTACATTTAAACCTTCCCATTCTCTTGGGAGACTTGCTTACAGTTTTCCACAAATAAAAACTACACTGTTCAGTATTAGAAGTTGGTAGCATTTTCTGCAACTTCTTAGTCTGACAAATCCATCTGGTTTATCTCAGCAGTGTGCTTGGGGTTGTTATACTGCTGTGGAAACTTCTTCCCAATCAAATGTTTTCGAGAGCACTACATGTTGTGTTAAAATATGTTTGTACTTATCAACATTCATGTTGCCTTTAAAAAAAAACAAATCACCAACTTCAGATGTTGTTATACATCCCTCAACTTTCACTAAGTCTCCACCATTCTTGGTTGATAGTTGTAGACATGATTTGAGGAGTCTTTTATTGCTTCAGCATAACTACTGCCTTCTATTACTTCCAAAGATCTCAAATTTAGACTTGTCAGGCCATAAAACGCCCCCATCTTCAACCTCCAGATGTCCAACATTGATGGTGTAGTGCCAATGTTCCTATTTTTTGTTTATTTCCTCTTCTCAGTAACGGCTTATTGACAGCTACATATCCTTTCAGACCAATAGGTTTGTCTTCTCACAGTTTTGGTGTTCTACAAGGTCTTGCATGGTTGTTACTCTCATTTTTGGAATGTCTGTTTTTTCCCCTTATTTTCTTTTGACCTTCCCCTTCCTTGTGCAAGTGGAAGTGCAACTGTATATCCAGTCTCCTCAGAAATGTCTCCTTTGGCCATTTGAGAAGCCCCTCATTAAAGGGGAACATAATGTCAGTAACACCTTTGGGAACACCTTTTGTTGGGAGAACACAGCTGTAACTCATTGGTTTTAAGACTGGAAGGATGACAGAGTCAAAGTGGCAGTAGGGTGCACAAAAGTAAACAAATTAAATATTGACAGATTTGAAATTCTACACATTGTTGGACGCTTTGTGTAATTTTCTGCTAAACATTTGTGTCCCAGCTAAAATTCAGTAACTGAAAGGGTAATCTCTGACTTTTGCATAGTACTGTATATAAAACCATCCTTTTACCTACACATTACACACTCGCATATAAAACGTCAGAACAAACGCACACCCTTTCCAGATGTTGTGGAGCATTCAGGGCCAGGATGATCCCCCATGTGACCACCAGAGATTAAAAAATATATTTGAAATGCACGATCGGGTTTCCCCCTTCACACATCGATGTATGTTTATATTTATCTTTGCGTATAAAGTGGCGCTCCTCTGTAGACAGTCAGGACAAATAAACCTCCAATTATCAGAAGCACACATATAGTTCAAAATTAAACATTAGACTGCGAAGCAGTTGAAACAAGTATGACGCATTTAAAAAAAATTAACTAAGTCAGTTGTTTTGAAAGAACTATTGCATTTTATGTTAAGGCAACAGTCTGTATATGCTAACTCTATTTTGCTGAATGGTAATATCTGGCATAGTTAAACTAGGTTAATACAACTATTTATTCGTTTGATTAAGTTCAAGAAGAATATATGACACTGCTGTAAAATTTTGGTTTAGAGTGTAGAATAAATTCAACTCATGGACACAAACAAGTTCTCTCTGTTTTACACTGTCCAGACACAATATGACTACTGCCATCTCTGTTTTTTCTTATGTAGCTCCTAAACTCCTAAACAAAAATCTAATAATTTGAGAGAATACTATAAATACAAGCTTGACAGTTGTTATTAAAACCACATTAAAAATATACATTTGTTTAAGGGTAGAATTGTGGCTCATTTCCTCCTATTGCTTGTAATTGTGCTGTTGTTCAATTTAGACTGAAGTATTTTGTCTTGTCAAGGTTTTTACTCATCTTCCTGTGTAAAGCACTTTGAGATTTAGTAACAAAAATGCTTTATAAATAGACTATAAAGTCTGTAAATACTGTTCTGTTATCATCAGCTTTACTAACATTATCCTTGGCGTCAATTTGACCCCAGCAAATTAACGGATCATAATTAAAATTGTTACCCACGTTTATGTGTTAGGTACTTTGTTTCTTTGTGAAAAATGATGTCAATCATTTATTTAGAGATGTTAAACATTGAATGGGGTCAAACTGATCCCAAGAATAATAGGAAAGTTAAAAGTAACCAGGCTGCCTTTTGAGCAAACCAAACTTCTAATATTAACTTAACAGAACAAAAATCAGTTTGATGTTCTGTTAACTTACTATTTGAAATTCATTACTTTAAGACACCAATTTATTTGCCTTCCAAAGCCAGAGATTAAATCAAACATCTAAAAGAGCCACACAGTCTAAGAGTGCATGCAATCAAACATCATCTTATTCTAATGAGCCTCAAGTTTCCAACAAAATAAATTTCACAAATGAGTAATGTGCAAAAAAAAATGTCTCGCATCCCCAATCTTACACTAGCAAGAAGTTGTGCAAAACACAGGCACCTGAACGCAGCGTCAGCAGTAAGCTTTCCCACGCTGCGTTCAGCTCTCAACTTACTGGCCCTGTCGTGGTCTCACTGCAGTTTGAGAAATGCGCATGTCATGCAGAGATTGTGCAAGATAGGGTAAGGGAAAAGCAAGGTGTAAAAAGAGTGGAGTGAGACAGCAAAACCACAACATGAGTTGAGTGAAGTAGAAGATATGAAAGCAGAGCAGTAAAAGTGAGCATGGTGAAGGCGTGAGAGGCCGGACGAATGAAGAAAGGACAGAGAGAGAGAGAGAGAAATCAGGACTAACCAGGGTCTGTTGATATCTCAGAGCCTTCCTTTGCGACGCATCTGCGGCCATTGACACACTGTCACTGACCCAAAAATAAACTGCATGTCTGCCTCAGCATTCTCACCCTGGGGTGGCGCAGACTAGGGGTGAGAGAGAGAGCACACACATGCAAACAGACACCATTGGACACAGCCATCCAACTCTTCAATATACAACAGGGTGTGTTGGGGGAGTATGAGTACAAAACAGTGCTGAATACAATTATTATAAGACACTACAGAAACCCCTCCAGCAGCCTACCTGGTCAGCCTTGGCAACACACTGAGATGTTGATCACCTGATCATTTGGAGGGGTGCAGGAATGACTGTAGGCGCTCCACGTCTGAGAAGCGTGTGAATCTGTCGAGGTGGATGAGAGAGCCCCAGCCACAACACTGTTACTAGAGAAAAGTCAAATTACTTCACTCTTATTTGCATAGCTGAAAACCACACTCAAGTAAGAGAAGGGGTTCATTGCTAAGGGAATTCTCGGCTGATGAAAATATCTGACATGGTTCATGTTCATTCAGTTGGTCCAAAAGTCTGAAAATCTGAACTTTCTTCATTTGAACTTGCCACTACGCAAAAAAGGGGTTTAAAGTTGTAAAAAAAATAAAGAACAGCTTTTGAATTCATTGTTTCTGTGATGTTATGGAAACCAACACATTTACCCATATCTGCCTATTCAGCTTAAAGTGATTTAGCCCCTTTTCAAACTGAAGTTATAAGGGTGTTAAAATGAAGCTGGAGCATGTAAGAAGTCATGTAAAAATTCATTACCACGCTAATGTTATTGGTGGACCTCAGAAAAAAAAAATTGCAGGAAAAATGTAGGTTTTGTTCTCCATCAACAGGCTAAATCAGACATGTCTAACTGGTGACTTTCTGGGTCAAAGTCTCTGCAGAGATTAGCGTTTACCCTCATCTAATGTTATTACTTCAGTTCATGAAGGGCTTGCTAATTAGCTGATGAGCTGAATCAGGTGTGTTTAATGAGGCACTGTGCTGAAATCTGCAGTGTTTTTGCCCATGAGGACTGGACCCTGACACATGTGGGCTAAACGGTCAAGTCCACAGTTGGCACCTCTGCATTTAGAGCATCATCATATTTTTTGTAAGAGAACAACCTGGCCTGAATAATCTGACTAAGCTGATGTTTTTTTCTACTTTCAAAAATCTGTGTTGTTAATAATATGAAATGTACTGCTGCTTAAGTGTTGCTACTCTTGTACACAGGAATGCTGCTCTGCCTTGCTACGCACTTTTCCAACAGCTTGTACTGTTAACTCTATTACTTCTGTTTACAGACTATGTTCAGTGTTGCATGCCTGTTGTGTGCCTTTACCGCAAAAAAAAAAAAATATCGCACCTTGGCAAGTGAAATTACCTTAAATCTAGTCAATATATCTAATATTACAAGCTTGTTGTAAGATTACTTAACTTATTTCTAGGCATGTTTTACTTGTTTTAAGTCATTTTATCAAGTAAAACAATCTCACTACAAAGGCAGATATTTTTGCTTGTTTTAAGTAATATGCTGGAAACAAGCCTAATTACCTGCCAATACAGTGAAATAATTTTACTTCATATAATTATTTAAAATGAGTAAAAAATGTCTTGAAATAATTTGTAATAAGATTGAAAACATCTTAACATGCAAAATATTTGATACATTAACTAAATTTGAGGTCATTTTATTAGCCAAGATCCCATTTGTTTTGCAGTGTTCATGAACCTGTTTCTACACTGTAGATCAGGGGTGTCAAACTCAACCACTAAAGGGGTCGTATTAAAAAATCTCAACAAATCCAAGGGCCAGAGATAAAAAAAAATACTTTTATTTCATTTTTAATTAACCTTGTGCTATAACCCGAACTGGCCATTGTTTATTCAAAATACACAAAAACTTCAGCAGTAAAATATAGGCACTTGTAGTAGACCTTAAAATACTAAATTAATACTTGAAATATATAAATTTAAATGTCCCCAGCAGCTCAGTCTTTTAAACCTACCTATTTGCTTAAACTAGACACATGGCATCCTTTCTTTGCTGTAAGTTCATTAATACTTCGGCTCAGTTTCGCTAACATTAGGTGGTTATATTGGTTGAACTGCACCTGAAATGCAGCTAGTGTGTTTGGTGATATGACTGGCGTAGAACTGTGTAGAATTAGGGTGCAACTGCTGTCCCATAGCTTGTTGTTGGGGTAGGAAAGTCAGAGAGCACATTACGTTGCAGTGCATGCTGGGGACTCTAGTGCAGCGCATTTTGAAACTGGCTAATAATAATAGAAAATTAAAATACTTTTTACGACACAATCCTATCCAGCCCGCGGGCTTTGTCTCACATGGGCTGTAGATGAACAAGAGTCCAACAACTACAACACTACTGCTACAGTTACAGTAATGACAATTACGATGAATTATTAGTTCAAAATAAACAATAGTTAAGCCAAATATGTATAAACGCCTAGAACAAATTCCTATGTAAAGAAAGGCTGGAGTGTGCATGTTAAAAAGCATTAGAACGCCAAGTAAGAAATGTAAGAAAAGCATGTAAAAAGTGCTTTTTGAAACTATTACAATGAAAATCAGAATGTAATACCCATTCTGATTCACATTTAAAGCACAACTCTACAAATAATCAGCGTGTCAGTGAGGAATTATGAAACACTCCCAACTTGCCCTCAGGCTGGAGTAAAAGTTTGTGGAACAACTGAACATGGCAGAGTATGTATTCAGCAACCTATATAGCAAACACCTGCGTGACACAGCATTTAAACACACAGTTCTGCTACAGACTGACAGTCATGCATGACCCTTGTTTTTATAACCATCCATGACTGAAACTTTCTCACTAGTGATAAGAGTTTCAGTGAGTGAGATTTAGCCCTGTTATTCCGTATTTTACTGCAGGTCCTACATATTCAACGGGCTGTAAAAGGAGTGCTGAAAGCATCAAGTTCACAAGAAAATATATTTCCTTTTTACACACAGTAAAGGATCAGTGTATTTCACATGCTAAAACTAACAACCAAGCATGACCTGGGTGGATCTGACAGGGTTTATTTCAGACCAATATGTATTCAACACTTTCAGTAAAAACAGAGGGGGTTTGGGATCCCAGTGTTTCTTTCATTTCATCTTGACAGTTCCAGGTCGGATCAGTGTTGACAGGTGAAACCTATAAATAAATGAATCTGATCTCTGACATACTGAGCCTTACACCATCTTAATAGCTTGACGGTGGGCTCATCCATGTTAGTGCTAAATCATTCATAAAGTTATAAAGTACATCAAGCCAAACAAAAAAATTAAAACTATGCCCTGCTTACGCGATCAAATCAGATAAGTGAGCGAAAGGTGTGGTGAGGAGGAAACAGAGGCAAGGGCAGGGCTTATATTTGGAGAGGGAACTGTGTGACAACAAGAAAGGCTGGCCAAACACAGGACAGTGACTTTCGGTGAGAGAGGCTGTACAGACAGTAGAAACAGTGGAGCATATAAATACTGTGACAAACTAGTACAGGATGGCTTTGGCACTGGATTTTACTGTTATGAATAAAACCAACGATCACAGCAATTCAGGATAAAGAGAAAAACCTACAGTGTGCTTCTTTACTACTGAACATTACATGTAAGTTGACTTCTGATATTGCTAATCTGACACTTCACTAGAAACCCCACAAAGACAAATTGTTATATAATCATATAATCATTATATGATTATATGACTTAATTTTCTCACAGTCTCTCATCCTCATACAAAAACATACTTAATATCTGCCTGATTGATTGACTGTACGACAATGTGATAAAATAGCCACAGCTGTTGATTATGCCACACATGTTAGCTCAGTCAAGTAGGACACTATGTTACCTTTATGTCAAATTGACCTCAGATGCATATTTTCACTCACTTGGCATTAATATCACATAGCCACACGGTTCTGATATGCAGAAGCCACTAGCTATTAAACAATACAGCGTAAGAAACCCTTTAAATCAAATAACTTATCAGCTTGATTTATTTAACTGTTTGTTTGTACATTAAAATCCAGGTTCTCTGACAATTCATGTGTTTACATGCCAGTTTCGAGTCCATGTTTGTTTTTGTGAGTGTTTCGGTTTGTTCTGTACAGTTGATGTGTGTATGTGTGTGTGTGTGTGTGTGTGTGTGTGTGTGCGCATGCCAAAATGCCAGCATGACGTATGTGCTCAAAGGAACAATGCAGATGAACAGGTTGAGGGTGAAGTACAGAGGAAGGCAGACTTCAGAAAACATGACTTAAGTATGTCAGTTTCAGAATGACAGTGCATCATGGAAAGGTGTGGTAGTGAAACAAGCTTGGACTGCATCTTGACATGCTACAAAAATGTGGTGATACCAGAGTACATATACAGTACTGTGTGAAAATTTTAGGCATGTGAGAAATTAAAAAGCTGTTTGTCTAGACAGAAAACATTTATTTGCTTAGAAAAACATGAACATGTGTGTATATGACAAATTCAAATAATAATAATAAGACAGTAAGTAGTGATTTTATATTGCCAGTGGTGACAATAAAAAAGAATCAGACCATGATGATGACTATAAAAGAACAATTAACATGCAATTAGATTTCAATATCAGAAAGATTACAGTTGGGTGGAAGAAAGAATTTATGTAGCTGGAGCATGATTTTGGGAAAGATGTAATGTTGCTCTTGCTTTGAGTGACCATAGTTCAATTTTGAAATGGAAAAAAAAAACTTCACTCAAAAAATGTCCATAGGTATTGCTTTATGATTGTTTTGGTAGTGACAAAATAGAATGTTCAATCATTTATTCTAATAACTTAAACATTCTATTTTGTCACTACCAAAACAATCATAAAGCAATACCTATGGACATTTTTTGAGTGAAGTTTTTTTTTCCATTTCAAAATTGAACTACTGATAAATTTTAATCTTTCAACTTCAAATGAAAAAGATCTTTTAAAAATAACATTTAAAAAAGTGAAAAAACATGAAGTCTATTTTAACATCAACCTCCAAATGGAACCCACCCTGTAAATGATGATTTCCTATATATTTAGCTTATTTCTATTTCAATTAATGCCTTGAGTTTAAATAGATCACAACACAATCTTTATATCTATAGTCTGAATACTTTTTTTCCCCTGTGGGACCGCAGTTTTAACTAGTTTAGTAAAATAGTTTATGTATGACAAACAAGTTTCTATAATACTGGCCACAAATTCTTAATTTTGGACACATGATTTATTAGTTTGGTGGCCCAAGTGGCCAGTACAATTTTTGTATCTGTCCACCCCTGATCTAGTAGTTGTAGCTTAAGATGACTGCCTGCCTTTTCACAACAATTTGAAGACACTTTAATTACACAAGCACAGTTGCTTTGACTTTTTAACCACGAGATAATGTCACTAGTGCGTTTACCATGTGATCATACATGTGGCATCAAACCACTAACTCACTGCTCTGTCATTTGGTAGGCAAATTTAACCAGTCACTTTCAAAGGAGGACCAGCGATGCAACACAAAATAGCCCCATAATGCTCATAATCTTTACTTACAGCTCGACTTAGCATGTGGAAAACTAAATAAATGAACTGAAATTGTCAGTTATACTATTGTACAATTAATATAACAGTTATACTGTTGTATGAATTAACTGAATTTGTCTTAATTTCATCTTTGTTGCCTTGTCTATCATGTCATTCACCTATTTTTCAGTTGAACAATTATGAGTACACAATTTCAACATTTTATTGCAGTGTAATCTTTACACTGTACAGGTTTTTATTGTTTATAAAATTACAAAAATGTTTAATATGACAAGTGACTAAAACAATATATACAAGCTATAAACTGACCAAAAACTCATCTTTAAGAAACATTACATACACAAAACAGCTTAATTAAAGTCCACCAGGTTGAATGAAGGGTGTCAAAGTTGAAACGGAATTTGTAGCAGTTTAGGCCGAAGCCCAGCTGGTCATGCACTCAGTGACTGGAACCTTCAAATACAACTTTTAAAAAGTGTCAGTTTAATTGATGGCTCTTGATGACAGTTATTTCCAGCTACTGTGATGTTGAATTTGTTTAGCACCAAAATACGCTGCGCCTGAAGTATCATTTACAAGCAAAACACAGTGCTGATATGGCAATAACAAAAAAAAACAACACCAAAGTAGAAAGCTTCAGTTCCCCTCAAAAAAGATGTAACACAGCAATATGAGAGTGAGTGAGCTACAATTGTGTTGCATTCACTTGTTTTTCATGTTCAGGTTTATGTGAACTATGTAACCCTGCATTATAAAAATAAAGTTTGAATTGACTTATTGAAAGGAATAAATACATTCATATGAAACTTCCTTTGTTCACTCATACAGCTACCACAAAATGCACTGCTGATTAAATGGAAAGAAAAAGTTTACATTTAAACAGCACAAATTACGATTAACTTCACAAAATAAAACAATTAATCGCAATGAATTATTTCAGTTTTCATAGTCCTAGTCTGACAGTAAGCAATTGAATCTCAGTAGTCACAGTGTAATTCCCAATTCATTTCTAATCTTTAAATCGCAGTGCTGATGGAGTCCAGGGTAACAACTGTTCAAACAACTCTTGAAATCTCAGTGAAAATGAAATTCGTGTTTGGGCTGGCAAATTCAATTACGTACTGTACGACAGATGCATGTCTGAGGGCCTTTGTAAAAGCCCGGGCAGCAGGCCTAAGCCGCAGCAGTGTTAGATCAATGCCTGCTATGTGCAATCTCTCCAAGCTTCCACACCTGACTTTTTTCAGAGAGGGCTCCCAAATGCCTGTCATACTGCTTGCACTCACCCTGCCTGTGCCAGAGGTGTCATTACAACACATGCTGAAAAAACAAAAAAACACTGTCTGCTTGGTGCCTATCTAATTATAATGCAGCCTTTGGCAGGAGCTGTTTGGAAGTCTGTCGCATGATCTTACAGACCAATCTCATTATCAGTTGATGAGACTGACACTTGTTTTCTTTGTGCAGCATGTCTAATTCATCTAACACAACCAGCCTGTGCGATCCCTCGGACAGGATGTGCGGTAAGCAAGACCTCCTCTTTTTTTCTTATCATGGTCCACTGCTGAGAAATTTGTTTCTTTCTCTCTTCTTTTATTTCATTCAATTCCACCAATTCAGAAATTTAGCATTTACATTAATTACTGGAAATTTCCCTGCTTTATATTTTATCATTAGATGTAAGTTATGAATTGAATTTCACTTCACTGGCTAAACTGAAACAATGTTAACTACATTTTAAACTTAAATTCAATTAGTTGGTATTTTCTTAATTAGGTATTTGTTGCTTTGTCTCACTCTGTACCATGCCATTCACCTGCATATCAGTTCAACAATGCTGCATTTATAGTTTCAGCATTTTGAATGCTGTGTAAATTTGAACGTATCTGAAGTCTAGGTCAAACTTAAGTTATAACCACTTTGTCAAAGGTGATCCATATGACTTTTGAAACATTTAAATAACTCAGCCTTTGCACTTTCACTTTCAATTTCTAAAAACTACTAAAAGATTTTTTTTCATTTCAGCAACTCATCTGATGTACTGATTGTGTGCACAAGAGAGCTGAGCTTAGTCCTTCTACATAATGCGTCCTTCATGTATTTTCAGATTTTGCCTAGATTCAAACATCTTTCAAACTGTTTCAGTGTAAAAGTTTTTTTTTCTATTTTTGAGCTGTTTTAGTTGTCAATATATTTCAGAATGTTTTTATCAGCTACTCAATGTCAATTTATGAAACCAACATAAATATTAATACTTTTTTTGTTAGACATCAATATTAAATTCATGATAAAATGACACTGTACACTGTAATTCATTTTCAATAGTGATGCTATAATGATCAGAAACTGTGTGCTTCTCTATTGTATCTGTTTTAATCTTACATTTACATTTAATACATATACAGATACATTTAATTTGCTTTTTTGTATTTGATGACCTTCCTCTGCACGTTCACTGTAGTAAAATTGTAAAGTACGCTACTTTAATGTGTTGTATAGCGTACTGCATTATTTGTTTAAAATCAGAAGTACTGAAACAAATATGTCAACACCAAACACACAAAACGTGTTTTGGGAATGATATATTTATTTGTTTCAGTTATGATAATCAACAATCATTGTGCATATAGCTCAAAATGTATACATTGTACAAAACTAGCAACCAGTGCTTTTTTAAATTTGATTTTAAAAAATGGACACTTTTCAAAAACATGGCATTTTGTATTTTGTAAAATTAATAAGGTGTTTTTGAAACATTTTAACACAATTTTCTAAATTTTGAAGAACATCTACCCACAGAGTAGAAGGTTTAAAGTCAATCTAAAATGAAAATTGGCCAATTCTACCTTCACATTCATGTCATGTTAAGTGTAATTCATCATATCATTTAAAATACAAAATACTTGTTTTTCTATAGTCTTTTGTCAAAATGACTTTTCCCACTTCAAAAACATCTTTTGATTACATCATCATGCACCAGAGGTTGGAGAACAATACCCCAATCACCCCACCAAATATCAAGTGATACTATTTAGCTTCCTATTTAACTTTCAGCTAACACCCTCCCTGATATCATGTTTCACTGTGGTCACGGTACAGAAGGAAAACGTGTCATAATTTCCAATTCTTGTTGACTTTGATGTTTCTTCCTGGCCATATGCTTAAGGGTGTGGTTAAAAGATGATTCAGTCAGGATACTATTTGCATATGTTTCAGTAGTGACATGAAGACATGGTAAAGGATCATTTTTTAAAAAAGGTTCTTTTTAATGACTGAAACATCACTTCAACTTAATCTCATTAAGAACAGAAACGAAAAAAAGTAGATTTTCATTTTCACAAATGCAGTAAAACCACAAGACTCCCGGCATCATTCTATTGCGGATTGTCACCCTAGCACCTGCCCTGGCTTGATGTATTTAACACATGCTCTATTTAATGCTCGCTTTAATCATGAAGCAAGTTGAACTAGAAAAACTCCACTGCTGAAAGGGCATGAAATACCTACTAGACAATTATCAATATGTTAAGCAGGAAACACTTTCTCACTTTTACTTTCAAAATAAAGCATTAAACCACAACAGACTATGTGTCACTATGTTTTTACCAGTTCTTATAATTGGTATAAACAATACAGTCAAGCAATGTAGTCTGTCATCAGTACATATGATTGCAAAGACACATAGTAACATGCTGCATTAATATGGAGTTCACTTAATCTGTGAGGTTATATGCATATATCGCTACTGTCGGAAGAATACCTTTCCATTTTTGTCGTTTTTCAGTTTTTGACAAAATTTGAAAATGCCTTTTCCCCTTTACATTGTGTGTAAGTTTCATGATGAGTGGACCAAAAGAAACAGCCCAAAATGACTTGAGAAAATGTCTGGTTCCAGTGGCTTAGATTAAAAGTAGGTTTTTTCCTTTTCCCTTAAAGTTACCATTTTGGAGATACAAGGTTTTCTTCCGACAACAGCGTTATATTTGTCTGTCTCACGTGACGACACTGTACAATCACGCTACTGTTTTCCTGACTGGGAGAATCAATATATATTCCGTGTACAGCTTGATGCGAGAAAAAGATGACTATTCACATCAGTTTCAGAGCCTTTTTTCAACGGTAGGTCGAATTAGAGCTGATCAGTTGTTTTTTATGTGCTCTGGTGGGAGAATAACAGTAAACTGAAGTGTTCTATAATTGACTGCAAAAACCATGATCACTGGCAAAATGGGTGAAACACATGTCGAAAACAAAGACAAGCTGTACACTCGAATAACATTTACCACTGAAATGACCTAGCACTTGTCCAAGATATAGCCATTTCCTCTGCAAAGTGCGTCTGAATTTATACACATCAGGGTACCCAAGCCAGGGGTCTCTTCTTTCTTCTTGTGTGGCTTCTTATTAAAATACTTCTCAGTACTCATCCATTGGGTAAATATTAGATAAATCACTAGTGTAACTACAACTATACATTCTTTTAAACTAAGTGAAAGCAATTTCAGCCAGGACAACTGCTAGTCATGTGTGGTAGCTAGCTGACTTTATGCTGACTTTAAGTTGTGTATAGGTAGTATTTGTAAAAACTCGGAAGAAGTGTCCTCCAGCCATACTGTTGACATTCTGCAAGCATAATGTGTATGAGCAGTCAATATCGGCTATGGATTCCAAAACAAGATCAAGAAAAGTCAGTTTGATCGAGGGCACTGACCTGCACAAAATTGATAAGTCATCACTGAGTCCTGATTATGCATTATAGCCCATGATAACAAATCCAGTCATCTATAATTCATCTAAATCGCTAGAATCATAATTGATCTGTGGAAGGGTCAGACCATCAAATATTGTTGTGCATAAGATATGTAGACATAAATAATGAGAATCAAAGGTCAATCATCATTCAGTGCCGACATCTAAAGATGATCAAGTGCAAAACTACAGAATTCATCCTTCACTTAACTGTCTACCTGTGACAGACACATGAACGCAGACTTTGGTGTAGGAAGATGTCTGAAAGTTTTTCCTTTTTATTCTCACTTTCAAAACATTTCTCCTTTGCTGGCTCAGCTCTTCAGCCTCTTTCCCCACATAATGTCGGACAGCTAGGACACTATAAAAGCTTACACTGTTTTCTTTTTTGATGCTGTTGTCACTACAACCACGAACCACGCAGCACACCATTGCAATATTTCGTCTGTCAGGATGCTTTACTAACAGTGTACAAATGGTAGCTCTATGAAGGTTGCTGTCATCCCCACATTGACCGGCAGTCGACAATATGGTGGCAGCAACAAGTGTGACGTCAATCGAATACTATTTATTGGCTCTTGCTGCTGTCTCCTTAACTATCCCTTGCTCTCACTATCCCTCCTCCAGCTGTGTTTATTTAGCGGTCCCATTCAAAGCATGTTGTTATTAAGATGGTCAATTAAAAAAAAAAAATTATACTTTGGTGGGTGTCCATATACCTTGGCGAACTGCCAAAGTATAGCCTTTGCATGGGAAACACAGCATATTGAACATTTTAAATCAGTAAGTACTTAGAAGTTGGAAGTACATAAACCAACTATTTTTGTTTTTTGAACACACAATATTTGAATTTTTCAGCAAAAGACATTCTGTGTATTTTGTATGTATTTTATACATTCTATGTATTTTATCTGCATTTTGTGTGTTTACTGTGGTGTGACAGGAAACTCTAGTGTAGGCTAAACCTGAGGTTACGAGAGTTCACATACCTGTGAATGTTTCACACAGCATATGATTCAGTACATGTCAAAATTTTAGCATGAGAATAGAAACCAGCATAAAACATGATTACAACATGACTATACTATCTTTCTAGTGGCTGTCAGTGCCACTTTGATTTACAGCCCATTTTTGATTTAATGTGTGACATATTTGGCTTTAAGGTCTAGAGTGTTTTCTAATCTCTCTCTACACCTCTCTCTCCCTCTCTCTCTCTCTCTCAGTGGCACGTCTGTATGAACAGGAAGTCATAGTAGTTCCCGTGTTGCTGCTGGCAATTTTCCTGGGCACACTTCTAACTATGTGTTTTCTGCGCCTGTGTTCTAAGAAAGAGGTTGATGCAGTCACAACACACAGACACCACACACACAGTCACCATCATACACACAGACACCACACAGACAGTCACCATCATACACACAGACACCACACAGACAGTCACCATCATACACACAGACACCACACAGACAATGAACATCATGCACAAAGACACAGCACAAACAGTCGGCATCACACACATCGACAGCACCGAAGCAGCAGACAGCACCTGCAGGGCATTGACGGTAAGTCTCTCTTGCATGTTTGCAATCTGAGTTGTTGTTTTAACATCTCCGATAGTTGTTGCCTTTTAACCTAATGTAACAGAACAATTAAAGATTAAGTCTACAACCACTTTTTGATCTTTTTAACTGATTCTCTTTCTCAATCCCTAACAGCCCCTCCAGAGCTAAATCCACTGGAGTATGAGGTTGTACCTATGACACCCCAAACACAAAACAGCAAGCCCAGCCCCCAGCCTGGAGTACCGCCACTGTCCACTGAGAGGCAGCATGACTCCTTTCAGCTGATCAACCCACTGCCGCTCACCTTTGCAATGAGGCAAGACAATGATGTCACTCTCTACAGAGCCACTATGGACCGGAGGGCTGTCGTCTTACGAGTGCTCAAAGGTACACATACAGTTACATATGACATGAAAAGAGAGTAATTGAAAGACATTAAACTGTCATGGACTTCCGTTCAATAATGTGATTGGTAGTGATGGCAAGTTTTTTTTTTAAGGTTGGGCCACAAATCCTGTTTAGTGAGCATCATATTCAAAGAACTAAATTAAGAAAGATCTTTTTTCTCTTTATATCAACTAATGAAGTGTACAAAGATATCAAAACTAAGTACATACATAAATGGTTTACATGCAATAGTTTCAATGTCTTTATAAATGGTTATGTAGGACTTCTGCCCCATAGTATGATCGATGGAGATTTAAAGGTTTTTTTTAGGTTGGGCCTAAAAAATCCTGTTAAGGGGGCCATCATATTCAAAGAGTACCATAACTATATTAAATGGATGATATTTTTTTCTTTTTAAGCAATGAATGAGAAGACTGGAGATGGAGATGCTGAGCGTCAGGATAGGGGCACTTAGGGGGTCAATCAGATTTTCATAGAGGCCATGCATAAATGTGAAAAATAAATAAATGACTAAATTACAATAGAGTAAATACATAACTTGCCTACCAGTGTTATCAGGACATTTTGTGATGTGCTGTTTTTCAGGAGAAAAAAAGGCAGTTTATACAGTCAAGCAAGTTTTGAGCACAGAGATTTTGTCTGAATTGCTCTATTGGCCACATCGCTAGATACACGCAGAACATCTTGCATTATTTATTTGTTCTATAATATTTCTTATTATTTATTTATTATTTATGTGAGGTTTTTTTCTTGTAATGGTCCAGTGTAGGGATGCATCGATACTGATACTGGTACTGGTAGTAAACAAGGGTCTGCCCGCATTGCAAAATGTTGCTGATGCTGTTGTAAAAGTCGAATGCAAAGTCGTTGGTCAGTTCAAGCATTCTCCACCTTGGCATATTCTCGTCAGGCATACACTGTGTGATTTTAGCCCATTTTTAAGCAAGACAAGATAAGTATACTTGTACAACTATAGTTGTAGTTATATGCTTTACATAAATAAAAGCAAAAGGATCATCAAAAGGAACAATAAAGAGAAGTGCTTAGGAATGAAAAACAGAAAAAGCATTAAAAAATAATAAAGAAGTCATTCTATGAAAACATCCATTTTTGTGTCCCTTGTATCTGTTTACAGATATATTACACTTGAAAAACATGTTACGGTTACAATTTATTATTATTTAAAAAAAAAAAACAATTAGTTATTTTAACAATTACACCTTCTTGAGCCATCAATTTAGCAATATTGGTTTTTAAAATCCATTATGTAGAATTCCAAGCACCACAGAACTGCTCATCCTCACAGTCATGTGTAAAGGGTGAGAGCCATATTTTGAGGTAAAAACATCTTTTTCTGCAATTTTAATTGCAATAATATATACACTATGAAATATATGATTTAAATGACATAAAGAAAACAAATGCCAAATATTATAAAATATATAATGAAAGTTGTGGTCCCCAGGAGGCGTGTCAATGGTCTTACTGCATAACAAAAAACTCTTATTTTGAAATAAAAATCACACTGATGACATCACCTGACGTTTACCTATTTTCTGAAGATCTATGAAAAAAAGCACATGGTAAGTCCACTGTGTCTTTGCAGTTACCAGAAATGTTCTCATTTAGCTCATGATTTCATATGAAGCTTTTAGCTGAAGTCACTGGTACAACCTACTTTATTCATAGGCAATTGTGAAAAAAATGGAATGGATTAAATTACATATTTTAATGGATATTCCATGATTGACAACATGTGGTTTGATGCTCTGTAGCAGCCATTTTGTAAAATGCATTTTTCATTAAAAATGTCACTGGTGCTGCTGTCTCTGGTGTTACCTTTCTTATGTGTAACACCAATGACAAGCAGTAACACCAGTGACTCCCATGGATAGTTAAAATAGTGGACGTTTCCGTAGAATGACCCAAATCTTAAATAATGCAGCTTATGGTATCCTGAGATCTAACACCTCAGAAAGGCATTTGAAAAGATTACACAAAATTTAACTATGAAACATTCTTTACTTACAGCTGTAAATGTTATAGTAATTTCTTGTAGTAAAATCTTAGTAGGTTACTCATTGTGGTAACAAAAAACTTGTACTTGATCTAAAAAAAGGTATCAATACTTCCCTAGTCCAGTTTGCCCAATGACACTGTACACCAGGCATGTCAAACTGGGGACCTTCTGGGCCAAAGTGCTGTGGAGATTAGTGTTTACCCTCATTTAAGCCCTGAGATTGTGGTTATGATGCAGTTTAGAGAGAAAGTTCATATGTAAATGGTTTACATGCACGTCTGTCATTATAAATCAGAAGCTGTCAAAGATAACAGAACAAGAAGAACAGCAGCTAAAATCTGAGTTGAGGCTTGCATGGAAAGTAAAGGCTTTTTTGGAGAATGTATGTTAAATACAGACATGCAGTAGTGGTGTAACGGTTTGGAGCTAAAACCGAAATTCGTGGTTTGACAGTCTATAGTTTGGTGCACATGGTGTGAACTGCAAATATTTTTTGTCTCGCTGAGACAGCATCCTGCTCCGTGGTCGGTTCACAGAGCACACAGGCTACCAAGGGTACAGCTACTCTGTGCAGCAATGTTCAAGCAGTTCTCCTCTACTTCTGACCAAGCTCAACCAATTACAAATGCAAAAGGTTGATTCATTGGAAAAAGTAATAAAAATAATAAAGGCTTATATCAGTTTCAGTTAAGCTTTATTTATATGCAGTCATTTCAAACTCTCCAAAACAAGGGATTCTGATCACTGTTAAATGTGCTCAAGTCCCAGTATGAAATTCCAAGCATATCACATTTCAGTACATATGTGGTGCCAAAGATGTACAAAGAAACAAAGGCAGAACTGTTTGAAGAACTACGCAACGCACAATTAACTGTGATTTATGATAGATAGCTGAACATTTCAAGTTAAAGTGGATAAGGTAAAAGAATACTTGATTACTGAGTGATGGTTCGATTTATTCCTCTTGATGTTTACATTTAACTTGCTTGCCATTTACATTCTTATATACTCAATGATTAGTAGTGATTGCTCTGCCTCTTGTTACTTACATTTTTCGTACTTGATGTTTTGTTCTATAACTAATGTTTACATTTGTTTTACTTGTTTTACATTTTGTTTTGCAACCATTTTGTAAAGATTTTTTTTGCAAAACTATAAAATAAATATAATAAATAATAATAAATTTATTACTTAAAGCCAATTTATTTATTAAATTTATATAAATTTAGTTTCTTTTTTAAAAAATGACTTCTTGTTTGTATTTGCACATCTTGCATGCTACTTATGTGTATTAAAAAAAAACAAAAAAACAAAACTGAGGATCAAAGTTAGTTACATTTTTCCATGCTGAACCAGAACACAAACCGTACTGTGGTCCAGAAACCATGGACCAAAACGAACCGTGAAAGTGTACTGTTACACCTTTAACATGCAGCCAAATTCACATGTTTTGAGTTTAAATCAATAAATGTATCACTTTTTTAATTTTATTTTCTGCCTTATTTCTCTACTGCAGAAACAGCCAACGACAGGGAGCGGCAAGACTTCCTTGGCTTTGCCCACTTCCTGTCCGAGTTGGGGCCCCATTCATGCCTGCCCACTCTGTTGGGAGTGGTGACAGTAAGATCACCACTTATCATGGTGCTAGAGGAGCTGGACAACCGAGACCTGCTAGGCTTCTTATGGAGATGCAGACAGGTGCCATATACACTTATTGAGCACTCTATTAGACACACATACTTTGTTGATGCATCTTGTAGATGCACAGTTAAAAACTATAGAGCATCTTTTTCTATGCTCAGTTTGCTGATGAAGGCCTTCTTATAGCCCTTCATCAGCGTAGCAACAGATGGACTACATCAGGGGCGTCCAATCTTCTCTACATAGGGCAGATGTGGCTGCAGGTTTTCATTCCTTTTCAATTCCTCATTCAGTTGTTTCATCAGTTGGTCTCAGTCTTCAAACAACTGACCAGGTGTGCTTCTGCTTTAATGAATGTAAACCTGAAACCGGCCCCTTTGCAGATTAGATTGTACACCCCTGGACTACATTCTGTAATTGTATATCGACAAAGCAGTGGTGGAAAAATTATGAGTAACTTTACTTAGGTGCATTTTACATTTTCATTTAGACCTTCAAAATACTGCTTACAAAGGATATGAGATTTTTCTGTTTTCCTTTGTTTCTTTTGCCAGTCAGTTGAATACATTTTCATTTACATTTATTGTTATTATTACCATGTCCAAACACATTCATATCAGTGTACTGGGCAGTAGACAAAGAATATGTTTTATTGTTATGTATTGGGTGGTTTACATTCTCATTCTTTTCATTCTCTTACAACCTCATAGGACCACCAAAGTGTGGGAACACCATGTGACCTGACGGAGAAACGGATTTTCACAATGGCTGGACAGATCGCCACTGCTCTGGTAGGTACTACCTCAAATCATGTGATACTTGATTTCACAGTCATTATATTACAGCTACAATGCAAGCATAACCTTTATGTTACACAAGCCTGTACAATACCTGTGGATGGTTCCTAAACATTCTAGAACAGGATTGTCAAACTCAATTCCTCCTGGGCCACAGCACTACAGAGTTTAGCATCTTCCTGCTTCTCATGAACTCATGACGGCCCTGCTGATAAGCTGAGGAGTTGAATCATGTGTGTTTAGAAAGGCATAATACTAAATTCTGTAGAGCTATGGTCCAGAAGGAACTCAACTTGACACCCCTGCTCCAGAATATGAGGCAAAAAAATTGTAGTCATGGTCAGTGTTCTGAGCTCATAAGATGTATTGCGAATGCCAGCCTAATGCATGTAGTTTGAATGAAATTCAGTTTCACTTGGATGAAATTCAGACATTAAGATGTAACTGGCAGAAAGACATTTTCACAATACACTATATGCATACTAATATTTAGGTTTTGCAAAGTTTGATAAGTTAGAACAGAAAAAACCCACATTTGAAAAAATACTATCAAAAATTAAGATTACTCTGATTTTTATTCAACGTTTTACACACTACACAACAGTAGACCCAGTTGAGTAATTATGCTTTCTCTGTAATGAAACATGCAGTGCATTTTAAGCACAGACGATGCCTCAGAAAAGCATAATGTGACATAATTTATCACAACAGAATAAAATATCACCATATTTGTCCACCCCTAGTATGCCAAAGTAAAATTCTCAATCTATGTAAAGTCTAGTGCAGATCCAATAACTGATATAGTGGTACAAGGCAGAGGCTAAGTGTCTTTTGCTGGAGTAGTGCCTACCTCTAGTCTTCTAACATCTAGTCAAAGTAGCAAAGTGATTTTAAGCACATAATTTAGTAGTTTTTAAAGAAGGTTTTTGCAAACTGAAATACTAGTTTGGGGATGTTTTAGTAAAATATTGTGTTGTACCCATGAATAGTGAGTAATAAAAGATGTGAAAGTCAAGTGTGGTGTTTCATCTTTGTCACTTTACTGACGAGTAAATCAGCGAGAGCTACATTTCTGGATTTTGCGGGCATAAACGATAAAGTTCCGATAGCATTCCTCAAGCCCTGATAATCAAAGGGAGTCTAAACTGCATTTAGTGTTGGTTTAAGCAACACTACTCGTACACATTTCAATAGAAATATCCACAAATTACGCAGTCATGCTCCCGCTCTGCCAAAATGAAAATGTATTTGCAATTACTGCATTTTCACTTTCTACCAGGCACCCCTGTCAATCAAACACTGCGGGCAGGACATTGGGAGGGTTCAACAAGGTTCTCCAGAAAGTGTTTTACCTACGACAGCCCTTTTGACAACATGGCGAATCAATTTTCTTTTGTTTTCTTTAAATGCTTGAAAACACTTTAAAGACTGAAGCAAACGCTGAAGCCACAAAATGGCACCATTCACTAACCTTTAAACTTGACTTTAAAATTGCAGGAGTATTTGCACAGCAAGAACTGCATCCACGGCAACATTGGGGCACGAAGCGTCCTGGTTGGTCGAGACCTTTCAGTGAAGCTGTGGGGTTTTGGCCCAGCTTACTGTAGGAGGACGGAGGAGGGGTCTGCAGGAGAAGTGGAAGAAATGGAGATGAGGAAGTGGCAAGCTCCAGAGGTGTTAGCCCGTCGACCTGTCAGTTACAGCAGTGATGTGTAAGCAGTGCTGGACAAATTTTCATTATTGGCTTAAGCTCCATTATGTTGCAGAGAATCAAGGTACCAAGTTTTCATGTTCATTTCTGTTCTCTTTCACTTGCAGATGGTCGTTTGGCATCTTGCTATATGAAATGGTGACTTTAGGTGAGTTTATTTATAACAATATGTGTCATTTTTTTCTGAAATAATTAAGTTTTCAATAGAAAACCTATATACTAATTTTTAATATTGAAACAACACAACATATAATATACATTCAACAAGTTAAACACGCACAGGTATCAAACAATAAATTTCACTGACTGGAGTAAAAATGTCAATCCATGAAATACAATAAAAATTAAACAAGCAAGCTCACAATGAGGGTAGACCCTCATTCATTTTTATTTTATTTTCAGACCTGCCTTAAAATAAAAGGAAAATGGCTGAAGCAGCTATAACGTCTTCCTTAGTCATTTGTACTCTTTAAATTTGGGATAATTGTAGAGCCTACACACAAGCAAGCACGCAAAAAGTGCGAGGAAGTTCTTTTGCTCTAATGGACTGCAAATGGAAACATTGACATACATAAGATTTTTAGGTAGTCTTTCATTTTAATGTATTAAAAAATGTACCAAATCATGACTCCACCATATTGCAGTAAACCGAATTATGAATTGTGTGAATCGTTACATATGTTGTTTTCAACATGACAGTTTTCAAGAATCCCCACTTATTTTAATTTAGTCAAAGGCTAGGTTAGATTTGTCTGAAAAGATGGGTCTTTTGTGTTAATAAAAAAGCAATATCAAAATACCTAATAGGTTCTTAACTTGTAGAATTACATCACATTTTCTTCCACCTGCTCCAAAGGAGATCCTCCATTCCCTAGAATAATGGCCATTGAACTCCTACAGCACCTCCAGAGGGGAAAAACCTTAAAGAGACCAGCTAACTGTTCCAACTCACTGTAAGTAAACACACACATACACACACACACACATACACACACACACACATACACACACACACAAACACAAACTCTGTTGGTGTGTTTACCTTGAATATATAACTTACTATGTAGAATTTTACAAATGTCGAATTTGAGTATACTTGCAATACAAAGTGGATCGAGAGAGGCTGTAAAAATTAGAAAACAAGTTGAGTACTAGCTGGCTAAAAAAATTAAGCCAGAACTTACATACCATAATCTAACGCGAATAACTCTTTAAGGCTGATGTAAAAACATGGCTATTTCTGATGTTTAATCTGCTCTTCTCTGTTTATTATGTGATTTCTCAGTGGTGTTGAACTAAACTGACATAAAAAACTCAATGTAACAAAGCTGAAAAAATTAAAAGATTTTGATTCAGTTTGTGTTACAAACTACCATTTTGAACAAGAAAATGCAGGAATAGGACTAGCAGCCCTATTTTATTGTTATTTTTTGGGCTGTCATGATCATGAAATTTTAGCTCATGATTGTCATAAGTAATTGTGAAAAACATTAGAATTAGTTACATAGCTTACAGATAAACGAACATTACTCACTGCTACCCTCTAAATATATATAGAACATTTGTTTGTCTTTATACACTCAATGATGCCTCAGTGAATGCATTTACTGCATTTGCTGCTACTCAGAGCACCAAATTGATATTTTGTTTGTTGCAGCTTAATATTATTGTGAAATCTAAAGACTGTGGACAATGATTTCAGTCAACTTAAATAACTGTGATCTAAAATAATTGCAATTAGGCAATTATGTAATCATTGTGACAGGCCTCATTACCCTGATAAAACAAATACAACAATAAGTGCTTACCGATCCAAATTGCACTCTGAATGAGAAAACAAATTACAGTGCATCCAAAAATAAAGGAAGCCTTATGCATCTATTTTGCAATGATAGACAACACAGTAGTTCACAGAAAGCGTTTATTCTACAGACTGCTACCTTTCACTCTGATCAATGTGGACATGCACTTGTCGTTACTCTTCTGACAGCAGATTTAAATGAGTTTAAGGCACTGCTGACAAATTCTCTGAATGGATCGCCAGCGAGACGGTCAGTATAAGAGAGTTAACAGGATGCCCTACATGCTTTGTAATGTTAGGCTTTAGTAACCAACTAAGACACAGCACACATTTACATCATCTCATATTATCAAGTTATTAATAAAATCATAGCTAGGACTGGTCATCCACAAACACAATTCAAAGTATAATTACTAGGGGTGTAAGGATTCTGAAACTAAGACCAAATAAACAGTGTGGTGTTGTGTTGTGGTCCTGGAAGACAGAAATGCGATACCCCTCCCACCAAGCCCAACCCGTGGCCACTCTCTCTCATTACCAGCTCTCATTACATTACTACTGTAACAAAACTCACCTTCCATTTCACAATTAACACTATAACATGTAAATCAGGAAACGATTATTCTGTTTAAAGTTAGTGAAAGCTGTATATCACGTTTAGTGTTCTTCTCTTTAGTGTCCAAACTGTTTTTTTAATAGTGTGATTTAATACATTTTTTTTACCACATTTTTTCTTATTTGCTCTCCACCCCATCCAAAAAAGAAAAATAAAAAAAATCAAGGTATGAACTAAAATGTGGCTCAAAAACTGAGGTCTGAACCAAACCATGGATCTTTAGAATTGTTACACCCCTAATATTTACCTATAATTAATTGTGATTTAGGGCCTAATTGTGAGTCACTGTAACCTCTACATTTCTCAGATACTCCATAATGAAGGAATGTTGCCAGTGGAGACCACAGGATCGAGCCTCACTGGCTCAAGTGATTTCAAAGCTCTGGCTGGGTGAGAGAAGTGCTAATGATACGGCGGTGCTCAGAGTGCCTGAGCCACTGGACATTGAGAAATACATCCGGGAAGCAGGCTATGGAGAGGCTTACAACTACGCTGTCCTCTAATAGGCTCCTGGGATATACTGCTCATTTAAATGGATTACATTTGCACATGGTCAGCTGCCTCAGTAGGTTCTACTGAAAATCTACCTGCTGCAAGGCAAACGCACAGCAGAGACATTCTTGAATGCCTCGGCCTCTGAACATAAGACATCAATAAACCAGCACTTGTTGATGATTGTAGTCTTTTGTGGAAATGTCAAACAGTGTGACCCACAACACTAGCATTCTATTCACTTGTACATGATATTGTTCAACTGGAATGATGATCTCTCTTTTCTATACAATGAATGAAGAGAAATGTCTAACTTTGGGATGGGTTGCAAGCTAAGCAATTAAATCATTCATTTCAAATCACATAGAAGAGACAGAAGAATTAAGAGTTATCGATTACTTTAAACCCTAATTAAACCATGTTTTAATTGAAAATAGTACAATGACAACATGTCAAAAGTTGAAAATGAGAAATTGTATTGTGTTTTGAAAAATACATGCCCGTTTTAAATTTAACGCAAGCATGCAAACATGTTTCAAAATATTGGGACGGGGCATTTTTACCACTTTGCTGCATCACATCATCTATTATCAACACTCTGCGAGCATTTGGAAACTGAGGAGACCAATTGCTGTTGTTTTGAAAGTGTGATGTTTTTTCTGTTTTTGTTTGATACAGGATTTCAGCTGCTCAATAGTTCAGGGTCTCCTTTGTCATATTTTTTGTTTTATAAAGTGCCTGGACTGAAGGCTGGCTAGTTCAAAAGCAATTCTTTTTACTATGGAGCCATACTGTCATAACATGTGCAGAATGTGGTTTGGCATTGTCTTGCTGAAATAAGCTAAGCCTTCCCTAAAAAAGACGTCATTTGGATGGCAGCATATGGTGCCAAAACCTGTATATATCATTCAGCACCACTGGTGCCATCACAGATGTACAAGTCACCCATACCATGTGCACTAATGCATCCACATATCATCACGGATGCTGGCTTTTGAACTGTGTGCTGATAACAACCTGGATGGTCTTTAGCCCGGGGGATGCAGTGTCCATGATTTCCAAAAAGAATTTCAAATTTTGATTTGACTTTTCCACTTTACCTCCATCTATTTTAAATGAGCTTGGGCCCAGAGAAGGTGGTGGTAGCGTTTTTGGAATCTGTTTATATGTGGTTTCTTCTTCTTCATGCTAAAGTTTTAACTTGCATTTGAGGATGCAGCGATGAACTGTGTTTACAGACAGTGTTTTTTCTGAGAAAGTGTTTCTGAGCCCATGCAGTAATATCCACTACAGAATTGTATCTGTTTTTAATGCAGTGCCGCCTGAGGGCCCAAAGATCACGGCCAGCCAATATTGTTTTTTGGCCTTGTCCTTTGCCTATAGAGATTTCTCTGGATTCTCTGAATCTTTTAATGTTATTATGTACCATGGATGATGAAATCACCAAGTTCTTTGATATTTTACATTGAGAAATATTATTCTTGAATTGTTGCACTATCTGCCTGCACAGCCTTTCACAGAGTGGTGAAACCCTCCCCATCTTTACTTCTGAAAGACTCAGCCTCTCTGGGATGCTCTTTTTATACCCAGTCATGATACTGACCTGTTGCCAATTAACCACCAGATTTTTTTTTTGTTTTACTCAACTATACAAGTTTTTTGTTGCCCTGTCCCAACTTTTTAAAAATGTGTTGCAGGCATCGAAGTCAAAATGGGCAAATATTTTTTAAAACACAATAAAATTTTTCAGTATCAACATTTGATATGTCGTCTTTGTACTAATTTCAATTAAATATAGAGTTTAAATCATTTGCACATCATTGCATTTTGTTTGTATTTACATTTTGCACAGCATCCCAATTTTTTTTGGAAAGGAGGCTGTAACATAATACTGAGTAACCTAACAATTACTTCACCTGTCATTTTAATGGATATTACTGCAAATGCGCATTTATGAACTGCTTCTGGTGTAGATTCATGGCGATGTGTGTGCTAGTAGCTCTCCCTGCTGGAGAAACTTCAGACTGCAAGTGTGACTTCAAAAGCCATTCCCACTTAAAACTGTATGGAAATACATTTACTCTGTCATAGCCTAATGGCTCTTAGAGGCCCCACAATAGCCCAAAGTATTAATTATAAAAGTGAATAAAACATTATGTGTACATATTATTCAACATTATTTATTATCTTTTTTTTATTATAATTTCTGGCCACAGAGATCAGAAGAACTTAGTAGAGCTAGCTGCTCTAGCATAATAGCAACATGCTTTAGCTTGTTTGTTTTACAGCAACGAGTCACACTGAAGCAAGCTGAAGTTCTAAAGCAAGCTGGCATTTACTTTTGATTCTATGTATGTAAGCTAAACTTAAAGTAAAATATGTAGAAGAAGAGAGCCGCGGGACAGGGTAAGCTAGTATTTTCAGCTTTCAAACAGAAAAAAACTGACTAACGGGGCACACGCTTGCATATTTTTTAAAGAAATGTGAAGCCAAAGAATTTTTAACTCAGTCATTCTGATCATGTAAGCTGTGCTGCTGTCCACTGATACTAGTTGGAGACTAGTTTTGTTACCTATTATTTCCTCAGCCATGCGTTTCTTTATATAGTAGTATTTATCATAGAACTATCCACTAGGTTTTGTTACTTGTCATTTTGATAAAAGTGTTTTCTGAGTTTGCAGAGCGTATACGAACTTGCAGCGCAATGCAGAGCATTTGTAAAATGCAGCGCAAATGTTGTCATTTTGATTAAAGCATTTTTTGCTTTTCCTTTTTTTTGCAGTGCATTGGGTCTTGTTAGCGACCGTAAGTGTGAGATGATCAGCGATGTAACTCAACATACACTTTTTAAACAGTGGAACTGCATGACTTTCCAATGACATAAAATTTCCATGCCACACAGTTAGCATAGCACCAGGGTATATATATCATCTTTACTGGTATACCATGATACTGAAATGCCATTTCCTGTTTTAGTGATATTTTTGGGGATTTATTTGATAGATAAGGACCATTTAATTTTGTGCACTTTACTCATGATATGCAGATGGTATCATGGTATGCAGCTGCAGTTTAACACTCCAACCTCAGAGAATGGATCCGTAATTTTGCTCAATACCTTAATGTTCCATAATTTCAAAGCTACAGAGCTTGTTTTGACTCCCCAGTCATCCCATTTTCTCACATGACATTGATAGGTAAAGATTTGGGGTTCAGCCCAGTTCACTGTAGAACTGTATACTCTGACAGATCCTCGCCCAGAATCTTTTTAATGAACCTGTAAAATGTGCAGTTACTTTTTAAATTTGATATAAAGATTTACACATCAACACAACATGCAGCGGTTCAGCACTATTGATTAGGTGTTATGAACTAAACCATAAAAAACAAACACACACACACACACACACACACACACACACACACACATCTTCTAAGCCACTTATCCTTCTGGGTCGCGGAGGAGCTGGAGCCTATCCCAGCAGTCTAAAAAAAACACTGTCACAGAAGACAAAAAGAAGGAAAAAAAAAATATCGATGATTCTTCAATAATGCCATTCTTAAAGTCGTCTACACACTTCCTTACATTACTGTTACAGGCTCACTGAACCGGAAATATTAAAGCAGTCAGTTTACAGTTTACAATATAAGTTATTGTAAGATAAGATTATCGTATTAAAGTGGAGCATATTTGCCGTTTTTCCAGAGATTTCTGGTACTCACATGTACGTTCTCTCTCTCTCTCCCTCCCCGCGCGCATGCCATCTTCACCACCTCACACCAAACGATCGTGATGACGCGAGCACGACGTAACTCTAGCAAGACTCTTATGATTTTATTCCGACATTGGATACGTGTCTGCGACAGTGAAATCGCTTGACAAGTCGTTTGGTGTAAGGCTGGCATTAGGGGGGATCAGTTTTACGTGGTGTGAGGAGGTGATGTTTTAGGCTACCCTAGTTTTTCTCAGTGATTTTAGTTCTGTCCGAATCAGCAATGTCAGTGACTTCTGACACAGGTCTTGTAAGATGCAGCAGAGGTGTGTTTTCCTCTTACATGTGGCTCGTTAATTCGTCCTCTCCGGTGTTCGCCTCAAAACATCGTCCACAACAAACCCGTCCTGAATGCTACACCTCAGCTAGCCTAGATTTATATTAGCAACGTTAGCAAAGCTAGTCCGCGTGCAGATACATCAGTCTCGGCTCTCGGTCCTTTTGCAAACTGGACTCTTCAGCGCTTTGAACATAAGGTGACGAATGGCATGAGGGGAAAAGTCCGGGAAATTCCATGATTTTCCCAGCACTTATTATTTTTCATGACTTTTCCAAGATTTTCATCACTGCGCGAACCCTGCAACAGTCTGGAATAACGCAGAAATAAGAAAAAATGTGAAGTGGCTTGTCCTCAGGTTGTGATTTTTCAACAACAGAGACGTGTCTGAACCAATTTAGCTCTGTTTGTATTCCGTGATAACACTGATATTTCGAGTTTGAGTGTTTTTATTGTCTAACGCATGCACTCTCAAAAAACACAAAACAATCAGTAAAAAGACTGATGTTAACTGTGTGACGCTCTCTCTTTTTAAAGTCTGTAAGGATTTTTAAAGCTGTGTAGTCTATGCTCTTCAAAAGCAACACTATATACATAAATACTTAACATAAAATTAGGGTACATTTTTACAAAGTATGTTAGATGGGTTTTTGTTCAGTAGGTCAGCTAGAAGCACGTTAAATCACGTAGGCCTGGAGCACAGCTACATTGCATGCGAAAGAGGCATTCCTGGTCAAAGTACATGTACTGTTGTTTTATTAAGTGGAAATATGTACACGTCGTCCACAGAGAACACAAGTTTAGCTAAATTAGCCGCTAACAAGTGAAGATAGATTATTAGCTGACGTACCACTCTGGTTGCTGTTCAGCTGCTCTGCCTCAAACACAGAGAAACAGCAGCTCCTGCCTCATTAAGGAACAGCGCTAGAACAGCTGGCTAACGTTAACCACCCTGGCTGACTGAAGTGACAATGACTTGACTGAAGCTAACGTTAAAAGGCGGCCACGACAAATTAATATGAGCTAAAGTTGATTATGATGTGTCAATATTAGGACACATAATAATTAGGATAATCTAATCTGATAAAAACATGTTTTAAGGCATTTATAATTGTTAACACGACAAGAACTAAACAGTCTTTCTCACCTCTAGCGCTCCAGATAACCGCGGTGTCGGGGCTCCTGCTGATCCGCTCAGCTCCCGTTAAATTTTGAGTTTGAAATGGGCGCTATGTGTTGCCAGAATGGGGAGATATCCCGCCAAATGGGGTGGATTTTGAAGAGGCTTATGTGAGCTTCTTGTTGAATTGGACAGGAACCAAGATGCTTTATGGGTCACCAAAATATGGGCTGAATTGTCATCATATTGTAGAGTTTTAGAAACAGAAGAATAAATAACTGTAATGCTTAATAATACAGGTTAAATTCGAATTGGCATAACTCCTCACCACAACAGATCTGTTGTCAAAACTTTGGCATTTTTTAGTGTGTCCCATTCTGGGGTCAGCTGCCTCAGTGGGCCGAATTTGAACAAAAAGGAACCTGCAGACATTCTGGACACTCTTCAGAAGCATCTGTACAACCACCCAGACAGGTATAAAATTACATCTTCTAAATCAAGGTAAAACTCCCTTTCTTTTGTTTTTGATGTTATTTTCCTGAGATCAGGAGATATGTCATTATAACAACGTTATCTAGAAACAACAATGTCAGTTATATCATGATAATGAAATAAGTATCACAAGATCTCAAGAAAACAAATGAAAATAACTCGATATCATGCAAAAACAGAAAAAAAAACGTGAATCCATCCTTTTAGGGGTTCAGCATAAAACAGAAAACAATCATTACATTTCATCAAAGTTTGTGACTTTTTAATTTCGCCAAGTGATCAAGATAGCCAGTGTTGCTGGCAGCAGGCACCAGAGTGGGTAAGACCGTCTGTAAAGTGTGGATACTTTTTAAAAACTTAAACTATGCAAGAGTTAAGGAGCCTGTTGGTGTCATTCATTAAGACTTGAAATATACTGAAATTCACAGATGAACATCAATGGCTAGCATTTTATTCACTCCTGTCGAGGAAGATGTTATGCACATCAGCATAGTTTCCAATCTCAAAGGCAAGACATGGGGTGTTCCGTTCATATGGTATTACTGTACTTCTGCAATAGTCGGAAATTTGAATGGCCCGAGATTTGTCTATAAAGGTAAGCATGTGTTAAAACGTGTATGAGGAATACTTGCATTGCTTCCAAAATTACTGTAATTTAAATTACAAATGTTAATACTCTTGTATATTTAATATCCACTATATACTGCTTAACAAATTTTAGCCCAAAAAATATTTAAGTGTAACTGTATAAATAAGAGGACTTAGAGGTTAATTATATTAGACACAGTTAGTATCAATATTGGTCTTCGGTGTTGGTAGATATTAAAACATCGGGAAGGGAAAAAATGGCATCGGTCCATCTCTAGTCCCTAGAAGAGAAATCTGTTGAAACTGTTTCTTTCAAGTAATTACACATCTGCACTACAATTTCCCAAAAAATGACATTTGTATTGTTATTTTCACTTACAAAACCAAGAAAACCTCTAATTTGACCAAGGTGGTTCAATTTTTGCATCTGACTATGTTCAGCTACCCTACACTCCTATTCGGTCTTGGTCTAGTCTCCCATCTATAAAACTGGCCTAGTTTGGGTCCAAAAGCATCCTCAAGAGAGCAGAAGCATGCATACAAGGGAATATACCAACTCATGATCAGAAGGGGAAACCATTTCATTGGTTTTAAGAAAATCCATTTAATTTTATTATGATTTAGCAATTTTTTTTAATGTTTGTCCAGTTTTTTCCTCCATGTGCTGCAGTGGAGTAACACAGGCTTTATTTTTGAGGATTTTATGAATTATACACATCACTTTTTGTCTTATTTTACAAGCAGTCAGAAAAAACTTCACAATTCCTTTGGAATATTTTATTCTGGTTTAATATGTAAGTGACCAGTGATTAGTCACATGATGGACTTATAATGAATGTGCAGTGATTACAGGTTACAAATTTGACATTTTGTCCCTACGACTTCAGGTTTAGATTTATTATTGTAGTACTTATTAGTACGAGAATTATTACTGCTGTTTAAATTGCCCTGTTTAAGTATACTCTGTATAATAGGTATTGCGAGTATATTGGATGTATATTCATGTACAGTACATTGCCTGGTGACAATACATCAAATTCCATTTTAACTACATTTAACATTACACTCTGTCAAATCACAGAGCTGCAAACATTCTTTTAAACCCTTCTCACAAACGCAAAGTTGTTAAACAGTTTGTTTCAACATGTCCACTAGAGGTCATTCTGCTTCTTTTTTGCCATAGTCATATCATGCATTTACATGAAGTTTAAGGAACACTAGCATTTTTTAACCTAACCTCTTTACTCAAAACAAACTTGCAACAGAAGCAAATGGGCAGGAACTGAATCAAGTGCCCTTTAGCTTCTAAGTGTGTGTTACATAGGGATAAGTCCGGGATATGCATCAAAATTATGGTCTTATGAGATGGACTACACAACACATTTGTGGCAAACAGAGATTAGGCCGAAAAACATCAGAGTACTCCTTGAATTGTATTATATGGCTCGGCAAGATAAGCTGGTGTTAACATAATCTTAATACGCAGGTTCTCTAACTTTCCTTATGAGCATCTAATACGTTTTATTTACAGTGTTTTGTCGGTGATAGACTTATGGGGTATCTCATGAAATGGAGATAAAAGACAGAGGATGATGAGGTGGCCTCAAAACTGCACCCAGTTCCCAGAAGTAGGATCTTGCCGTGGTGCTGGAGGAGGAACAGAACTGCAAAAGGAAGCAGAAGACCAATAACATAAGGAACAGTGCATGAGGCATAGGAAAAGCAATTCAACTGGAAGCCATAAACATTCATACAGTTTTTACTACATGCAAATCTCTATCTCTCTCACGTTTAGGAAAAAAACAGGTCCTAGAACAGCAATTAAAGAAGAATTCCACTGTTTTTTTTTGTTTGTTTCTGCATATTTCAGTCATTAAGATGTAAAAGTCATTCAGAGTGGTTTGATATGAAGTGCCTTAATGTAGAGAAACTTACCAACTTGAATCTCTGTATAGTGATGGTGACAGGAACCAGGGATCTCAATGTTTACAATCCAAATATAGCCATTTTATTTATTAATCCGTTAATGTACATGTGTCTACGTTTTTATATGCAGTGATAATAACGGCAAAATAATAGTAAGTCTGGGTGGGGGGGGGTGGGCATCCTATTATTTCACCTTATAACACCCTGCTTGTACATTTTAGGCCACAATGTTACCTCAAAACTATCATAAACATAGTGTCAGGCATCAGGCAGTGTACTCGTAATCATTTTGCTTGCTGTTTGGGAGCCTTAAGAGCAGTGGCCCCTAATGGCCAATCTAATCTGATGGCTGCCCAGCCATCTTTCTTAACACTAATGCATCTGAACCAGCCAATCAGGGACTTGGGAAGAGGTTAATTATTGTGTATATTATTGTGGTTGGAACTAGAGTCTGAAGGAAGGTAGATCTCCAGGACCAGGGTTGGAGACCACTGTTTTAGAGACATTAAACACTTCAGACGTCTGGTTCCTATCAACACAACCGTTGTGAACAACTGTGACTCAGAGCACTTCACATCAAACCACTCTCAATTACTTTGTTTACATCTTAAACATTTAATTATGCAGAATTTTTTTTTTTTAAAAATGGTGGAATTTCTTTTTAAGAGTTGAATGAATGGTTACCTTGCAGGAGCTGAGAAGTCCCCCCAAAGGTCCGAACTGGGGTTTGATTGAACCACTGTATTGGAGTTACTACTGTCCAGTTCTAACAGACAACCTGATAGAAAAAAAGTTAGATAAATAGATTTAACCATTTATATTTCTGTCTGCAATTTTGAGCAACATAGCAGAAAGTGGTAGTCAAGTAGAGTCTGCAGGAAGGTAGATCTGTGATTGTGGGGTTAGTAATTTACATAAGGGATGTAAATCACTAACCCCTCAATGATGTGATTTTCTAAGATTTAGTGCATCATTAAACCTCAGATATCACCATGATTCAATTTTATGACATAATTTTGGTACAGCGCTGATTTTTAAAAATAAAAACACAGTTGTGACTGGAGGATATTTACACAGCAGTGGAATATAAAAAAATATTAAGCTTTACTACATTTTCATGATACGTATCACAATACTTTAACACAAACACAATACGCTAGTTGTGCCACATCAAAAACAATGGTGTACAATGATATTTCTTTCACATTTCACATACTGTACTGCACGACATCTAATTAAACAGGGTTAAGCCTGATCTCTTTTTAATGACACATGCAGTTGGTCAGAGATTTTATGTAAAATAAAATGTCATTGTGCACCTCTGTTGCAAACTTCACTAAATATTATAGCACTCAATTATGATCAATTGTGATCAATGGTGATGTTGTCCGTACAGCTGAAGGAGCACTGGGTAAAATTACATAATAAACTTTATGCTCACTTAAACCATTTACAATTTACTGTTAAACCATTTACAATTGTTCTGTAATGATTTACAAGTGAAATAAATCATTTAGAAATCGGATGAATCTTTTTGAATTACCCTGTATTTTAAAATGTAATGATGTACATCCCTTGGCCTTTTCCAAAGGTCTCTCATTTGCTGTCTTTCATAAAAAGCACAGGCAATGATCAAAACTACATATCTGGATGCATCCTATTAGAGTAAAGTGCAAGGGGCTGGTTTTATGTACCCACGTTCAAATGACTGTCTTTTTTTCTTTTTTTACTGAAGTTGCTTATATATTGCAGGTGTTGTGTTATACTGTTAGAGAACATGTTTTATTTGAGAACTTTTATTTATGTGAGCCAAACCAACCTGTGTAGCATATAACTATTCACATCTCAGACTTAAACATTGTTATACCCCTACTGAGTTGGTAGTCTCAACAACTAGGACACCGATTGTTCACATACATTTTTCCACACTTTATAATGGAACCACTGAATTACGGAACATGATATGATCTAAAAGTACTCTGCTATAGGGTTTTCTAGAACTCCGTTCCATTCTAATTTTTTCTAAGAACTAATGAGTTACAGTTGTATTGCAACTGTATTCCAAGTTTGAATACCCTGAGTCAAATGACATGTTTTGTTGGTTTTCTGAACACACTTAAATATGGCATTTACTGCTATTTTTATTGCATAGTTTCTATTTATTTCCTTTTAACATGTAAGAAAAAAATAAACATACAGTACAAAATATGCCATAATTTATGTTTAATTTTTTCCCAATATGTTCAATTCAGCAAATAAATAGTAAATGTGTATTAAAATGTGCAGAAGTGTGTTCTCTGCAGAGGATGTGTAACTTATTTTCACTTAGACAATCAACAAAATATGTAATTTGACCAAGGGTGGACACAGTTTTGTATATGACTGTAGATTAGAGCTAATATGCATGTCAAGGCATTTTTTCCCTCATTCAGATAAAGTGAACATCAGGTGCTTTTTTTAATATCTCTGCATACTGAATTTGCCCAGTGATTTTCTTAAAGACTGATCAATTCCTGATTAACAAAAACAAAACAAAAAACATACCAATCTGTGTTACCCCTACTGTGGGCGGTACTGTATTATGATTGGAAGAGGAAGGAGGAAGGGCTATTTTGCCTCCAGGGGGAGGTGGGAGAAGGCCTAGGCCCCCTGAGCTCTGGGGACGGGGCTTATCCCTCTTTTTGCCTTGCTGGAAAAAAAAGAAAGAAAATCACAAAAATGCAACACAACATATAAAAATCCTCTGATGAACAATATACAGGCTAATATTCACCATTTTAAATCTACTCAAGTCTCAAAGCCCTGGTGTAAAGAGAGAGAACTGTTCTCATACCCCGATGTTGAGTGTGATGGTCTGTCCTTCCTTAAAGCCTAGATCCAGTTTGGGTCCAGAGTCCGCAGCCTGAGCGTTTTTGATTATTTCATTCTCTTGTTTTACCCACCTTCAAGAGAGTGAACACACAACTCATTACCTTGACATCAGCATGCAATGCATCTGTAGTTATGGCAACTAGTACAATCCGTTACAATCCGACTGCCAGGCTGTGCTAGCATGAGCCAGAACTATATTTTGTCACTTGTATAACAGAACTGTGAGGCTGGCGCCTGATCCCAAGTGCCGACGAGAGGTGTGAGGCCAGCGCACAAAACCTAAGGGAGGCTAAGAGAAAGATGGCCGGCAGAAAGAAGCTCATGTAGCGAGATGGACTGAAAAGTCAAATAAATGTTAAAGGCCATTGACGAGTGTTGGTTTGTGTGGGTGTAAAATAAAAAAGTATATCTACTGCAATGGTCACCGGTGCCTCATGTGTCCTTCCTAGTCCCAGGGTAGCACATGGCATGCTACTTTTACCTCAAAGAGTAACTACACCCCACTACTTTCAGCTCACTCCACCCCTAGCAAAGTTGAAACAGAGGGGCGCTGCCGAGGCTGAACTGACCATGATAAAAATTATATTTTTACAGTTTGGAAAGATATGTTCACATTTTAAGCAAAGCTGATGTATATTATTACAGAACAACGCATTTTAGCTATTAATGAAAAAAAAAAAAAGGTCTTAGGCTGCAGTTACTCTTTAAGCGGTGTTAACATGTTGCATTAAAAAAAAATGTTCTGTGCCTCACAGCGATATGCAGCAGTGATGACAGCATTACGGGTGAAAATGGAGGATGTAATCAAGGTGTAAAAAAGGCAAAACAATGTTCTGTGCTATTTTTGTGCAACATAAAACTAAAGTCAACAAAGAGATGTTCAGCATCCACAGTAAAGGAAAAAAAAAAAAAGGTTATTCCACCACTGCAGTGGATGGCAAAAGCTGGGAAAACTGAACTCTTGACAGAACGTTCTGCAGAGGGAAGTTGACTTACTTGAAGTGGTCCTGCAAAGCAACATTGAAATCAAATGCATCTCCCCTGTCCCCAAAACCAACTCCAATGAAAGCACTGCGACCTGCAATATCATGAAAGGGCTGTTAATTAGCTGACTGCATTGTCATATTACTAACTTTGTACCAAACCTTTACAGCATAAAAGCTATATAAGGTTAACTCTTAAAAAAGATGGTTCTTCAAGGGTTCTTTAGTAAAGACAATGGGGCTCATTCACCAACCGTTCGTAAGAAGAAATTTCTTCTTAAAACCTGCTTTTGCAGTTTTCACAAAGATTCTGACACTCAATGTTTTCTTATTTCTTAGTTCTTATGTAAGAACAGAATCTACACACACTCAAGAGCACAAAGGTGTGAACAGTTTGGCGCTTTAAGAACACTTCATGAATCATGAGATGTAGACTTTTTCTTAGGACCTTTCTCAAGAACAAATTTAAGAACAAACCTATGGTGAATGAGGCCCAATGGTTCTATATAGAACCATGAACGTTCAACGAACCATTTGAATGCTTAAATGGTTCTTTGAGTGTTTATGGTTCTATAAGGAACCATTGTCTTTACTAAAGAACTCCTGAAGAAACACCTTTTTTAAGAGTGAACTTTATAAGGAATAGCAAAACAAAAGATAACAATGTACAAGACGTTGAAACAAAAGAGAATCACATAAAAGATAATTAAAAGAACACCACTCCAAAGAAATGGAAGAAAAATATAGAGAACTAGGGATGCACAATGATATCGGAACCCTACATTAAGAAATGTTACATTTCTCTGTAATGCTACTCCAGATGAAACTAGTGGTTACAGTGAGTGCAGTTGAAAAGGCAGATACTGAAAAAATGCATATATTCACCATTATCATCCTGTATTCGGAGCACAAAGTACCGGCTGGAATCATTAACTGTCTCCACCGCAATGCCAGGATATTCCTGAACTGGTGCCTGAGCAAACAGCTCGCCTGAAGAACAGGAGAAGAACAATTTGTTAAATGCAATTTGTCAAATGCATTGGTATAGACTTGTATTGGTATAGATATGTATTCTGTGCTACCATTGGCAAGTTGCAAAAGCTATATTCTTCATTTCACTTACACTCTTTAAAAAAGAACATCCCTCAATTAGTTCTTTAGATGACACCAAGAAGAACCATTGTTTGAAAAAGAGACACAAATACATCTGACAAGTAGATTTGCTCCACCCACTCGACACTGACTGGTTAATGAACATATATAAAATCAGCTTAAGACTGATGATTATCTTTCCATTTAAATGAAAACCTGAGGCAGCATGAGTTCTCCACACACATATCTCATTTACAAAAATGGTTCTCTTAAGCCCCACCCACTGCAATGATTTTTAGGGAACTAAAAGTGCTTTGTTCATGGAATCATGCAAAGAACCCTTTCTGGCACCATTACTTTTAAGAGTGCTGATGTCTGATAAAATACATTTTCTTGAGCTTATTCAATCTAAAAAGACTATTTTAGTGCTACAATAGAATATTTTACAGTTCTTGCCTTACCTGAGACTTTGTCTTCCAGTTTTATATACGCCACCTTCCCCTTCGCTGTTATGCGCATACGGCCTGTCCAATCAGGAGCATCCAACTTCCAGTCAGCTGCCCTGCCAATAACATAACGCCAGAGTTCAGGCTGACAAGGTCAGTAATGGCTCTGCTCACATTCCTATAACCAAGCGAAGAGGCTGCATGATAAATTGCATTTTTGTTACTGTTAGTTAAAACACAAACGATAAACATTTTTTAAGTGCTGCAATCACTTAAATCAAATTACCACACACACAGTGCAAACATGATGTAATTACGTTGGCAGAAATGTAGCTTCAGAAGTTCAGCAAGCACTTCCCTGCACTGGGCTTGAACCCAGCTTTCCAGTAAGAAAAGCATGTAACAACCATTTGGCTAAACAGCCAATTACAAAGCACTCAAGCACACCCCAAAAACTACTCCATCCTGAACTACTAGCCAGTAAAAACTGCTCCAAACATCAGGACTATTCTTACTCTCAGTATTGTGAGTAAAATGTCCAGTCCTCTGGGCCCCCCACACAGCCCACATTCCTTCTTCATCCCTATGTGTTGCGTCTTGGGTTGGAGCAAAAATGTGGACCATCTGGGGGCCCTGAGGGCAGAGTTGGGACCCACTGACATAGACTATAGGGTAAAATGGATGAAGCAAAACTGGCTGCTGTCACAACAAATCTGCATCATCATAAGGAGCTTTTAAAGAATTTAAATATATAGTTATTCATTTTTATAGGTCTATAGTAAAAAAGTACACATAATTATTCGTGTTTGTAGCCTAACAGCGAACATGAACAGAAAAGCTGTTTGGGGAATCCTTTTTGTTTTTACACAGAAACACCTCATGGAACACAATTTTTTTTACTAATTCTACACATCTTTAGCAGTCATATAGCTTTTGATGCTTCACTGTGTGACACTGTGTTCCTTGCTCAGCCTTACAGTGCCCAAAAAGTGTGCTTGCTGTTCTGGTGTGAGTAGCTATTAGCATTTTGTTCTATTATCATTTAGCTCAATAATTAATGGTTATTTGGTATTTTTTGCTTTTTGCTTAAAGGACAGGTTGGTTACATTGATAAAGTTTTTCTCCCTGTGTAAACAGCACTTTATTTATCACTTCTCAGACGGTTGTCATGATAGCTTTATAGAACATTGCATTTTATGTCCATATTGTTGAGCTCTACAAGCCAGTGGTTCCCAACCCCTGCCCTGGAGTATCACTGCCCGGCACATTGTAACCTTTTTCCCTGATCTTATACACCTGATCCAACTTATCAGCTCATTAACAACCCCTGGCTGAGCTAAACTGGGTGTGTTAAAGCAAGAAAACGCTAAAACGTGGGGGGGAGGAGGTTCTCCAGGACCAGCTGAGGACCTGTGTAGGCGATCTACAAACATACCATTTTACAAAAACTATTCAGCATATTCAATGATATACTGTTAAGATATGCTATGTATAGCATTAGTAGACACTGTTTAACCAGTTTAACCGATTTTAGTGCAGCACAGTATGTGAAACTTTAACAAAATAAAATGAACAAATGAATGAACGTACTCAAAGTTTTTTCTGGTGTTTTTGTCTACTAGTGCTTTTTGTCTGCTCCAGTGTATCCAATCTTAGAAAATCTGGATTATGAGATTGTGCCTCAGGGGCATCATTAGACCTAATTTACTAGGGCACGTGCTCCAGTAAAATGTTGCTGTGCCCCACTAAAGCCACGGTGGTAAGAAGGCAATAAGAAAACCACAAAGCTTTCTGTTTTATCCTGGATTGCTGAGCAGAACTACAGGACACACCAGAATTCACTACTGCCACTACATTTGCCCCAGCAGCTTGAGCAGCTAATGCTTTCCATCAGAGTCAATTTCTTTTTTCTTCTTTTTTTTTTTTTTGCATGTAGTAATGGATATATATTTAAAATAAATATTTCAAAGAATGTCAGTCACACAGCAGACAAGATAATGACAGCTTATAGCTATATAATTTGGCTACTTATAATTGTATAACCTACCAAAAATGCATATTAGACCACTAAAGCAAAGGCATAAACTAAATTTGCAAAGGCCTTATTTATGCTAGCTCGTAAAAGGGGCATTGATAGTACAAGTGTATATAACAACATAACAGTAAACTACTCATTTTGCAAGCCTGTGTTATCTAGATGGCATGAACTGATGAAGCAACACAAAATCATCATTTCATATGTAGTTTTTTCCCACAAAACAAATTATTTCACATGCATGTGTGTGACAGTATAATAATAACATGAAATGTAAACAATTAAGACAATAAATTAACCCTTTCTCATGAAGTGAGAGAGCAGTCAGAGCATGAAGCAGAAGGGATAAGACGAACAGAACAGGGAGGAGAAAGAGAGAATACAATACATAGGAAAATGGAAACAAGCATCAGAGAAATGAATGTAATTGATAAAAATGTCTTTAGTGTTAATTTGTTCTTCTCTTTTCATCCATGGCAGAGTAACAGCCACCTGAGTGTTAAATCACTGAATCTATTTAGTGTTTAACATGCTTTTTTACCAGATGCACAGTGGTGCCACTACAACTGACTGGCAAGCAGAGGGGTACAGCTTTGCCCCTCAGTACAATAAGTTGCCTAGAAATGCAAGCTAAAGTTAAAGACAAGTGATCAAATTTACAGAGCCCTGCTGGTGACATCCCATATCAATAAAAATAATGCATGAATTAGTAGAGCGTGGGAATGAGATAATTAAGTTGTGGCCACCACTTAGTAAGGAGTAAGAACAAGATCATGCCTTACTAAGTGGCAGCCACACATTAGGATCTCGTTCCCACGTCTTACTAAGTCGTGGCATCGCATTAGGATCTCGCTCTTACACCTTACCAATGCGTGGCCACACATTATTTTCATTTATTCAGGATGTCACCAGCAGGCCTCTGTACAAATTAGATATGTAATGTAAAGTAATAGAAGCTTAAAGGGGAACTCCACCGAATTTCTGCATAACTAAATGGCCAAGATGTAAACAAAGTCATTCAGAGTAGTTTGATGTGATATGCTCTGTTCTAGAGAAATTTGCAGAGTCAGAATTGTTCACAGTGGTGGTGATAGGAACCAGACATCTGAAGAGAAAGTTATTATATGTATCGGTTATGAATATACTGCCTAAGACACTGATTTACAATAGTTTAGAGAAAAGGTTTTGGCCTAAAATGTATTTCTAAAAACACTGACATGCAGGACATTTAAGCCAAAATCGTTTTTTACATTTGGTCAGATTCACCAGTATTTACCATCATCAGCATTATATATACAAACTGTAGGTTCTTTTATAAGACAAATCTAGGTTCACTGGTCATGATATTTAGTAAATGGCTATATGTGTGTTGAAGACGTTGTGACTCCCGGTTCCTATCACTACCACTGTAAAGAAACTAACCAATGTTTCTCTACAACCAACCATTTCACAACAAAACACTCTGAATGACTTTGTTTACCTCTCAGCCTCTAAATTATGCAGAAATTGTGAAAAATTGGTGGAATTCCCCTTCAATTCTACAGAAGCGTGAGGCCTCCATTTCAGTGTACATTCAGAAATCCCTGACAGGGAAAACAGCACAGCCTGCTCTAGTGATGAGATGAGCCGGGCTGCTCGAGATGCTACTTGGTTCTCTGAAACGGTTTGTTCCCGACATTAAAACTGCCCACAGAGCGAGTAAACAGGCTGCCCTCCAAAACACCACACCATGCACATCCTCAGAGAAGAGGGGACAGGCTGGTAGCCTGCTGGGTGGACAGTACTGCGGACACCTGCTGTTGGCTGAGGCCCGTTGCCGTTTGATGTAGCCGATGTAGCCTAACGTTACCTGTATCCGCGGTTCGTGGCCCGCGGTGGGATGCGGTAAACGTTGACATCCGGCTTCACGCACAGAACCGACTCATATTCCCCCTCGGTCGTCATCTTGAAAGAAGCCTATTCGACGCGGGTCATTTATCAGCCTTCATCCGATTCGGCTTTTGCTGGCCAGCCGTTTACAGCGACGTCAGTGACGCTGACGACACTGGAGACCTCGAAGCTTAAAAGCTACGCAGCACGTCTCCCTCGATCTGACAGCGCGCGGATGGGCAGAGGCGCTCACGGCTCCGGCCGGACTGTGACATACAGATCAGCGGGAGGGAGGAACGCGTTTATATAGGAGAGGAGAATTTCACAGCAGCGCCTTCAAAACCCAAATTTTAACAATGTGTTAACATTTCAGCTATATTAGAAAGCTACGGAGCCCCTAAAGTGACATGGAAGATTTTAATAAGAAACGGCCACAAATTAATATATTTAGGCCACTATTTACTATTTTGAGGCCACAAATTACTATACTGGGGCCACGAAATAATATATTGACACCACATATTAATATATTGAGACCACAAATCAATATGTTGAGGCCACTATTTACTGTTTTGAGGCCACAAATTACTATACTAAGGCCGTGAATTTATATATTGAGACCACAAATCAATGTATTGAGGCCACATATTACTATATTGAAGCCACAAATTAGTATACTGTCACCACAAATTAATATTTTGAGGCCACAGATTACTATACTATACAGTATATTAAGAGACCACGTATCAATAAATTGAGGCCACAAATTACTATATTGAGGCCAAAAAATACTATATTAAAGCCATGAATTAATGTATTGAGTCACAAATTACTAAATGGAGGCCACAAATTACTAGATTGAGTCCAGGAATTAGTATATTGAGGCCACAATTTACTATATTGAGGCCAGAAATTACTACATTGAGGCCCCGATTGACTATATTGGGGCCATAAAACTCGTAGCCTCAATATATTAATTTGTGGCCTCAATTTATTGATACATGGTCTCTGGTTATTAAAAATAATCACGCTGTCACCTTAGGGGCTCTGTAGTAAACACCAGCAGCACAGCATTTTATTTTGTATTTCGCTGAGGGGAAAACGCCGCTGCCACTCCCTCTTCGTACATATACAATGAGGAGGCGGTTGTTTTGACAGGTAACGGAAGCGGAAATTTCCGCCAGGGTTCGGGAAAAGCCTCCTCCTCTCATGCCTCTCCATCCCTCTCTCCTCTCCCAGGTCGGTACTGAATTATTGCAGTTTTCTTCATCATTGTCATCGCCGAGTCTTATTACTGAATGACGCGAACAGTTAAATGAAGTAAAAGAGATGAAATGTCTGTATGTCACGCAAACTGGCCTGTTATTCTCTCTCAGTGTGGAGGCTTGTTGTGCTGTGTAGCTGCTAGCTGAGCTGAGCTGTGCTGTGTAGTGCAGGGCTGTCTGTGGTATCTGCCGTGCAGGTATCAAATTAATGTCAGGACACGATCAGTATTCAGTGATGCTGGGTGGTATGCAGGACCAGTCTGAGATGTTTTTATTCCTGAGGAAATGATTCGAGTCGGGTGTACCGTCTGCGCGCTGTTGTGTACCGCAGTTCTGTCGTGATGAGCGTTCATTCGCCCCGCACAGCAGCCTCCTGTAATTCAATACGGTCAGATCTAAAGGACACAGAGGGGAATGTAATAAAGTGGCGATTTATATACTTGCAGAATGGAAGTCTAATTTGGCCCACAGGCTGAAAAACAGGCCGTTTATTTTCGCATATGGCTAATGCACAATTAAAGGGGAACTCCACCGATTTTCCAAAATGTCTGCATAATTCGGTGGTTAAGATGTAAACAAAGTCATTCAGAGTGGTTTGGTGTGAAATGGTTCACTGGTACAACCGACAGTGGTGGTGGTAGAAGGCAAGGGTTTCATTGTCTACAACGCAAATGTAGCCATTTTATTTACTATTCAAAACCACCAGTGAACCTATACGTGTCTTCTGAGTTTTATATGTAATGTTGATGATGGTAAAATAATGGAAAAACTTTGGGGGCCAGTTTTGCCTAAAAATACTCTTTATGTATCCCTCCACCATGAATAAATTCAAACGGACGTCTGGTTTCTATCACCGCCACTGTGAACAATTCTGACTGTGTAAGTTTCTCTAGAACGGAGCATTTCACACCAGACCACTCTGACTGACTTTGTTTATATCTTAACCTTTTAATCTTGCAGAAATTTTGAAACATCAGTGGAGTTCCCCTTTAAGCCATCATTACTTTATCCACAGATCTGAACCTTTGCTTTTAGCTTGTGTGTGCTTTCATTTGTTTCCACTGACAGAGTAACTATAATGGAAGCTTTTGTGGTTTGCAGGACATCCCTTCTCACCTCTGATGTGAAGAGCAGGTGTTTTAATAAAGAGACACACATGGAGTGAGCCGTTCGTAAGAGAGGGAGAATTTGTCAGCTACGGCCATCTACCAGAACAAGCCTTAATTGCCATAAGACACTGTTTAAGAGGTGAGAGGAACAATATGAGTTTAGGAGTCGTAATGGTTTGCAATAATTGGAATAATATTCTCAAATTTACTCACACAAACATGGTTATGTCTGGGTGTTTTTGCAACTGTGGGCACTTTTTGCTGTCTGGATTTTTAGAAAATGGACCTGATATGAATTTTAAGTATGAAAGTCTGTAACACAACTAATAAGCTGTACAGAATTGCATATCGTTTTTAAAATTATCAATTGAATTTGAAAGTTAAAATTTCATATGAACTGAATTTTTTTTTTACAACTCTCTTAAGTTGTCGAGGTAAGGAGTAGGAGTGTAACAACCTACTGTACACTCGCAGAACTAAAGGTACTAAACTGTCACTGGGGCAGTACCCCTCTTGTCACTGGGGTGGAACCCTCAAAGGTACATCTCAGTACCTTTAGTCAGGAAATATAATTGTACCGTAATCCACTGGAATTATATTTTCTAAGTTGAATTAACTTCACACACCTCGTCTCGTCTCCAGGCTTTTTATGTTATTGTTCTGTTTTAAAACATTAGGTTATGAAAAGACACATGTACTTTTCATGTGGGAAAAACGTATTTAAGGTACACAACTGAAACTTAGAAATACTGTTGTACCTTTGAGGATACATTTACATTGTTGGGACCTGCACCTTTATTTCTAATAGTGTATTGTATTGTATTGACAACAGATTGGAGCAAATAAAGTACGCATTTTAAAACTGATTGTATTGCATGAAGTATGTTTACCTTTGAGAGAAGGGAGGAATATTAGCGTAAGGCTAGCACATTATCACAAAATATCGCACTTTTATAATGTTGAATGTAGGGACCGGTAGTATGACAATATTTTATTGTTATCTTGGTAAATTATGTCACAGTACGCTTCTATGAGCATACTGTGCATATCATCAGTGCTTAAAGAACACTGGCTAACCACATGTTTTATTGCGTACTAAGCATAATTAGCTCTGTTTAATTTGATTTAGTGCAGCACAGTGTATAAAACATTGAATAAAAATCATTATAATTGTAGGGTTAATAGTTTTTTTTTTTGTTTGTTTGTTTTTTTGATATGGTATTTTTTATATGTGGCACTACATGTTCTATTTTGTCTGTTCTAACTTGTTAAATCCCAAAAAAATACATATTGTGATGCATATCATAGGCTATATCATAAAAATGTCTAGAAAATGTCTAGTATATAATTGTTTTGCCATATCACCCACCCATAGTTGAATGCTCTAATAAACCTCAAATTGAAACATTAACATATTAACATAAGGCAGATTCATTGTATTAAACTGAATTAAGCGTTTTGTGAATCGTTACACCCCTAGTAAGGAAATTCTCTCTGTTTTTCTAAGTTTTTATAATTTATACATTTTGTATACTTATGAAAGTAATTTCATAGTAAAAGTCTAAATCAAAACATATTGCATGTAAGCTGCACCGTAAGAACATGCAGAAAATATTGAAAGTAAAAAAAGATGATATTTACTTTTCTGTGAATCCAGGGACACTTTGATTAGGATTCCCACATTTTGTCGCTGTGCTCTTTGGCTAACTGTTTAATTGTTTGTTTGGTTTTGAAAAACATGATTTTGGTCAGTGTCGCAGTAATGACATAAATGTGGGACAGACAATATTTGTAGAAAGTAGTTTTGATTTAATATTTATACAGTGCAGGTTTAATTGAAAATATGTTATTTTGATATTGTTTATATGCTTCATAAATTAGATTAGCTCGTTACAGTTACCACCAATTTTGTATTTGAAAATGTGTTATGACACTAAATATTTTCTCTGCTTCATGCTATAAAATGTGTCATATGCAAAAGTTTGGGCCCCCTGGTCGGCCAGTAAATAAAGGTTGCGCACTGAAATTTGCTCTTTTTCTATAGAGGATGTTTTAACTTGCTTTCACTTAGAAAATCAACAACGCATGCAACTGCATTCACTGCTGGGACCTAAAAGTGCCTGTAGTTGCAGAAACATCAATCCATGTCCTGTACAGTGAATTGATTACTCCTGTTAGCACTACCTCATCAGTGTTTATAATGATTCTGTGGGAGAAAAAGAACATTTTGGTAGCTTTCACTGTTTTCTCATCATCCTTCTGCCTTCTCTGATCAGTTCTTTGTAGGCCACACATCCAGCACCATGACACAGTCAATGCTACGCAGAACACTGAAGAACCTTGTGCAGAATTTCTCTGAAGCTGAGGTCAAGGTGAGATAAAAATATTTAGGCTGGCTTTGTGATCATACTTCTCCAAAATGCATTACCCTAAATTTCCTTCCTTTCCCAAGATATTCCTGAAAACCCAACAGGAGCTGCCATGATTCCTCTCTAACATCATTTACTGGTTTTCTGTTTCTGGTTGCACTAGAATTCCAGTACTGCTTGAAGACTAATAGATTTCTATTCTATATATATTCTATATATATAGCTTTCTACTATATATATATATATATATATATATATATATATATATATATATATATATATATATATAAAATAGGCTTTGGCTAAAAATCATAGGAAAGTTGAAGGGTTCTTTAGTAAACAAAAAGAATTTGCATGATTAAAGGGTTCAGATTGATGGAGAATGTACTGTAGACGGTTCTATATAAAAACCTTTTTTTGAAAAGGTTCTATATAGCACCAAAAAGGCCTCTTCTGTTGTTACAGTGCCTGGCTTGTTACAATAGAAGAGCCCTTTTTGGTGCTATACAAAACTCTTTTCGAAAAGGTTCTGTAAAGAACCATCTACAGTACATTCTCCATCAAACTGAAGAACTCTTGCACAATGCAAAGAAAACCCTTTAATCATGCAGAGGGTTCTTTAAGCGTTCATGGTTCTATAACAAACGGTTTTCTTTACTAAAGAACCCTTGAAGAACTATCATTTTTAAGTGTGAGATAGTCTGTTACTTTCTTAAGACTCTCTGTACTGTTTGAATTCTTTGTTAGTTGCTGTGTTGAAGCACATAAACAGCTTACAGTAAGAACTAGCCAGAGCCAGCGAGAACCATAGCTAGCAAACAATAAGATCAAGGAGGTCACAATCATGACTTAATCGCCTGATTGTAATTAGTTGAGCTGATTGCAGGTATTTTTCACAGTTGTTATTTCACAATCTTATGTTTATGTTGCATCCAAGAAAATGTGCATTTTCAGTATATTTCAGTATATCTTGAGGCAGATTTATGTAAATATAGGAAAGCAGGACATATTTATGGACTTCTGATTGGTGCTATTACACCTTTAGAGGGCAGCGGTGAGTAATGCTTGTTTATTTGAGCTTGAGCTGTGTCTATCATCAGTTGGGGGCTACTAAGTATGAACAGCTAGGAAGATAGTCTTAAGCCTGTATTCGCTTTAATGCTTTAATTAAACTGTTACTTGCAAATATTTATATGGCAGTTAATCGTCAGCTAAAATTCAGGATCGCGAAAGGCCTAACAAGAATGATGTCTATAACCCCCCCATATAAACTCAGTAGTTAATTTTCACCAAAATTATTCTATATATGTTTCACTAATTATTCTATGTATGTTATGTAAAATATATCTTGCATGATGCACGTGGAGATATTTTTACGTATTAGGGCTGAAAGGAGTGTCTGATTACTGCCTGTTGAGCTCAGTCTGTGTGCTTTAGTGAGGGCACTATGGTTCCTGTCTGCTCCTGTTTCCTAGGTAAGGGAGGCGACCTCCAATGACCCCTGGGGTCCATCCAGCTCGCAAATGTCAGACATCTCAGACCTGACCTACAACGTGGTGGCGTGCGGCGAGATTATGGGCATGTTGTGGAAGCGCCTCAATGATGACAAGAATTGGAGGCATGTCTACAAGGTGAATGGGCTAAGTAAAGGATAATAAAGGGATAAAAATTAAAGACAAAAAGCAGAGAATTGGCTCGGTGTTGGTAGCGCATGCCTGACTGCCTTCAGGAGATCTTTAAAGTGAGGGTTTGGCCAAAAATCTAATTTGCCCTTATTGCAAACATAGTCAGCCAAGACATGTTTAGTGTTCTAAATTTGCTTCTTTAGTTTTGCATGGAAGTTATGAGGCTAATGTAGCTAGCATGCAGTGGAAGCTTATACCGCACCAATTAGCATGGTGCAAACTGCGGGCCTAAATCATCACTCAGTTGCCTCAAGCTCAGGTCAAGCTTTTAAGTAACCTCAAATAGGCTTGCTTAAAGGCCAGTAAGTCCTCATTTGGGTGACTGTGTGGGAAATAACTGTGGTTAAATGGTTAAACTGGGTTGGGCAGGGAAGGGTTGTACCTTTGATTTACCATTGCGTCCTGTAATTTTCTGAAGTCCATCAGTTTAGCCCAACCATTCATGTTAAAGTGATAAGAGTGTTGTTAATGGTGTTGTTAATGTAGACCATCTGCAACAGAGTTATTGGCTTGGAAAATGTAAAGAAAACGATTAAAGGTTATGCTGTTCATGGCTGTTGGGAAGCACATACATCATTTCATCCTTCCAACCAAGTCTAAGGGATAAAGGGAGATTGGAAATTTCTCATGTAAAAATGAATCAGTATTCCTTGGGACATAAAACCAAATTGAAGTGGAGCTCAGAGAAATATATAGAGTAGAATATTGGTCATTTAAATGACAAAAAAAAATCTTATTTGTATGTATTATCCAGTAAAAAAACACTTAATATTGAAAATAGCTGTTTAAATACATTCATGTTTTAAAATCTCTCTCTCTGTTGCAGTCTTTAACTCTGCTGGAGTATCTACTGAAAACTGGTTCTGACCGTATTCCAAAGCAGTGTCAGGAGAACGTTCACACTGTCAAAGCTCTAACAGAGTATCGCTTCATGGACAAGGATGGGAAAGACCAGGTACTTACTCACCATTTTTGGTTGCCTAATTATCTCAAATGAGTGTTTTGCATTTGTTATCCTTCCCAAACATAAACCCTGCGATAGTGACAACAATCATTTTCTCATGCAGTTCTCATCCTACCATTGATTCTCATAGAAGCTGCATAGATATGGATATCATGCTAGCGTGTTATTGTTCACTTATCACTGTTTCTCATCTACAACATTGTGAGTCTAGACATACAAAGAATATTATAGCATAACACCTGCCTTTTTTATCCTCCTATTACCTTGATCTACCTGGTGATAAAACTAATATGCATCACAGCAGTGCACTCAAATAGATACTATGTTTGGTCAAACTTGCAATTACATAATGTTTTTTAAAAGAAATAAAATCTGTTTGTATGTTGAAAATCATTCTACTCTAGATTGCATTCGGATACAAAACTTTGTCAGATCTGAAAGTGCTTTTTTGCTAAGTGCCTGTGCCTGTGTAGTTTTAAAGGCTGCTTGCTTTGTTCAGGGAGTGAATGTCCGAGAGAAAGCCAAGATAGTGCTGGTACTTATTGAGAATGAGGAGAAACGGAAAGAGGAGCGGGAATTTGCCATGAAGACTAAGGACAAGCTGGCAACTGGTAAGATTCTTTCAATCGCCATTGGAGCTTTAATCGGGCCTAATATTTTGGCCTGACCCTGAATATAGACCAAGAGTGTTCTGTCAGAGCCCGACCCAACTTACAGTATCATGTTTTGAGGCTAAACCTAACCTGAAACTCACAAAATTCTTTCCAAACCCGACCCGACCCAAACCACATAATCAGATCTTCAGTCTAAAGCTGACCCAAGTGCAACATTCTGTGTGAAACTGACCTGAAGTGGCCCAATATTGAATAAAACCTGACAGGATAGTGCTGGTATTCTATTCTATGTATTCCTTTTAGTTATTTTATTAGTATTCTTTTTACTTATTCTATTCTTTTTATTTATTTTATCGTTATCTGATCTGTCAAGTTACTATATTGTAATTTTAATGGCTTAATGATTTAATGGTTTATTAGTACCTTTTTATTATTAAAGTTTACTGTTATGATTTTTATTACTTTATTATAACATTTGATTTCTTTTTACTACCCAACTTCTCAATCCCTGATTTCTGTATTGCTCGGCTGCATTGTAAATAAGGGGTCTCCCTCAACGTATTCCGAGTTTAAGTAAAGGTTGATTGATTGATTGATGGCTGTAAAATAGGACAAAATTAAAAATATATAAAATAACATGACCTAATTAAATAATCAGCTGTCCCAAATAAAATGTTTCATGTTTCATTCAGTACATTTTCTCACTGTAAAGTTGTAAACAAGCAAAATATACCATCGCTAACAGTAGCTTGCCCTTGTTGGCTCGCTGGCTAGCATTAATACATTAAAACGATCAAGTAGCCAGGTTTGCACAGAATAAAACCGATCAACAGTTCCTTTGACCACCACTGTTTGCAAAAGTCCACAAAATGTAAACCTGAACTTAATAACATTACAAAATAAGGTCAACCCAACCTCTTCCGGGTGTGCTAAGTTAGCCAGTTCACAGAATGCGTCTTGAAAAAACCGTGTGAATAGTCCACTCCACTAACAACCGTTTAATTCTGGAACTTTGGCTCTGACTGTTTGAGCAATGTTTGTCCATTTCCTTTTTTCAAATTAAAACTTTCTGCAAAGTTTTGTAATTGCAACTTAATGACATTTCATAAAATTCTGAAGCAGCAGCAACAATAATTTTGCAAAATATATTTAGCAGAAACAGTGTGTTACGTATAAGATATAAAATATTTTTAGGCAAGCAAAGTAAATGTTCTTCTGGCTGCACCAAACTGTCCTCTACTGAATCAGTTTGCTGCCTAATGCTCTGTTTTCTTACAAGTTGGGGGCTTGTGGACTTCAATGCTGGGTGGATGGATCCAGTATGCCAGATTAAAAAAACTATTTAATGTAATGAAAGTAGAGAAGAGGAATAAAGTAAGGAGGGATGCAGGTTGTGAGAAGCTGAATGTAATTGTTTGAACCTGACCCGACACATTTTTGAAAAATGACCTCTGAACCTGACGTTGGCACTCTGGTCCTGTCGGATTTAAACAGATATTTAAATGCAGCACTCTGTAATCATAAACCAGAACAAATAAGTGACAACCATTTACAGTTTCAGTTGTTATAGTATAAGGTTATACATTAAATGAATGCAGAGTTTTTTTTTTTGAGTTTCTCGGTCCTGATTCATCGTTGTCAGCTTCTTTGCTTCTCTTAACCTTCATTCAGCCTCTGCAGACCCAAATGAGAAAGCAAAGGCTGAGATTCCTCCGTATACGGGGCTGCCGTCTTTGGACAACATCCCCTCTGTGGCTGATTTAACTGCCTCCATGGCAAAGAAAAAGGAGGAGCAGAGACGACTGGAGGAAAAGAGGAAAGAAGAAGAGAGAAGGGTGAGTGTTGTTTGGTGAGGATTACCAGTTTCTTTTTTTTTAGTTGGTCAGCTATAATTATCCAAAGAGTACATAAATAATCAAAAATGTATCGTTGTTCAATTTAAATGCGTCTGTCAGTTTTTTATATGGTTTGGTCAATACGTGATCTTTTAATGGTGAAAACATTTGATTTGCTATATCAAATTATTTTAAGTAATAATGATTCTGTACTTGCATCACAAAGTTTGCAGCCCTGTTACAGGGATTTCTGCTGCATTTGAGCACTCATCAGAAGGTTGTATATAAAAGGTATATAAGGTTAACTAGTACCTTACAATGTCTCTCTGATCGGGTGCTTGTTAAAAAATGTGTCCCCTCCGCAGAAGAAATGGAGCTCCAGAGATGTATTTTCCTTTTGTCTTTGCTACATTAAAAACAAACAAAAGGTCATGCAAGTTTTTTTTGTTTATTTGTTTTCACATTCTCTGCCATGTAATCGCCAGTGTGTCATTTAGAATCCCAAGTTTCCTTTGTGTAAATGCCACTTTGTCTGGTATTTGCTTCTTTCCAACACCACAGCATTCATTTTCTCTTAACCACACTATTAGAAGTAACCTTTTCAGTTTCCTTTTTCAGTTGTTTATCATGTGTCTTTTCTGTGTTCCTCTTCTTTTAAGGAGGGTGAACAGGCTTCAGTAACAGGTCAAATAAATATTGGGGTGTAACTTAGGAGTATATTTATTGTACTTAAAATATTGGGGAAATTATTTTGACATTTATTTATTTTGAGTGGTCCTTTTAGATGACACTCAACAGACTGTCAGTAACATGTCAAAAACATGTGAGGTTTAGGATTAGGTTTTGGGTTAATGTTAGGATTAGGATTAGGGCCAGGTTTAGGGTTAGGTTTTTGGTAAGGTTGGGTAAGATTAGGTTTTGCGTAATACAACTAACATACTAACAATACATCTACTTAATGTAAGAAATGTATCAACAGAACATTTACAAGATATTTACTTCAGTGTATTAAGATGCTTCACTGCTGCTACTTCACTGATATGTTGTTGATGTGTTACTGATAATCTGTTAAGAGTTTATTAATCATCTACAAAAGGCCACTCCAAATAAAGTGTTACCAAAATATCAACCATACAGTCATGTTACGTTTGTTAAGTGTAGCCTTAAGCTATAGACTGCAAATGTTTTCGTTAGCTAACGGTTAGCTTGTGTAGTTAGTCTCATGACAAAGAAGCTTTAAAGCTGCGAGTGACCGACATTGATTGTTGGTTAAACTATGCATATGAACTTCAAGCTAGCCACAGTCGGGACATGAATGTTGTTAATGGGGTCCAATAATATGTGGTGAATATAAGTAGTAAATATATAGACTACACTATGTTACTGTCATATCTGTGACGTTAGGCTACATTTTTTCATTCAGTAGATCTTAAAGCCTTGTTTATTTAAAACTCATCATTGCGTTTGATGTTTTCATGGGTCGTCTCTGTGGTTTTACTTTTGTTGTTTAACAATTAATCATTAATAAAGAAATAAGTTGGTTATTGGTAAAAAAAAAACTTCCCAAAATGTCCTTCATGTGCAAAAAGGAACAGCTCTCTAATGCAGGAGCTGTTAGTTGCCTGTAAAACTATCAACTGACTAACCGTAACTTACTTAGTAAAGAATATATTATATACAAACTTCAAACATCTGCTTTTAAGCTAAACTTAGTTTGTGACAGTAAACCACCATTGGCTTCCATCCAACAGTACATCCAACAAAGAAAGAAGCCTAATGCATCTTTTATACAGTGATAGAAAAAACAATAGCGCATGGAATGTTTAGAGTCTAGACTCCTCTGGCAGCAGAGTTAAACAAGTTAAAGGGACTTTCACCAAAGTCTATGACTGTATCGTCGGCAAAATGTTTCATTTGGTAAATTTAGACAACAGTTATATATATTTTCTACACTCTATGCATGTATTCTTTCAAACTCTATGATGGAACAAAAAAGATACTCTACTGTTGAAAAGTCTCTGGTGCAGATTAACAGTACGGTATGAGACATTACCATATTGTTATATGTTTTTAGTATGTACGACATATGTTCACATTCTGTCAGGCGAAGGAAGGCGACACTGATCCTGACCTGTGGGAGCAAGCGGCGACCACTGCCCCTCCATCTGGCTCTGATCCCTGGGGAGCACCCTCTCATTCTCTGAAAGATACAGGCCCTGCCACCAACGATCCCTGGGGGGCCCCATCGGACAAATCCAAAGATTCAGATTTGGCTAACAATGATCCTTGGGGTCGGTCAGCAGATGGAACAAAAGACTCAGCTGTTGCCTCCAATGATCCATGGGGTGGTCCAGCAGATGCAGAGAAACAATCATCCCCTGCCACAAACGATCCATGGGGAGACTCTTCAGAGCCCACAGAAGACAAAGGTCCAGCCAGTAACGACCCTTGGGGTGCATCAGATAACTTGCTAGCAGAATCACAACCAGCGAAGTCAGATCCCTGGGGGGCTTCAACAGATTTTACAGAAGAGTCTGCTCCTGCATCCTCTGAGCCATCAGGAACACTATCAGAGCCATCTGCAGCCAAGCCAGACCCATGGGGTTGCGATCTAGGAACTTCAGTGGTGTCACCCGCTGATCCATTCGGCGATGGGGCTAAAGCCGATAACGACCCATGGGGCGCAACAGGTATTTCCATGATTTTCTTCTAACCATTATCTGTAGTTGCTGTGGTGTTTTAACTATGAACTGGCAGAGAATGGATGATGTTGGTCGTTTTGGTTGAGAGATTTTTTAAATTACTTCTCTGCTGTTTTCAGTTCAGTTTGACTTGGGTGGGACTAAATTTGGCATAGGTGACATCAAATCTGCCAAAGTACAGATCAGAGTTAACCTTATTTACATGTCAGTTACTCACAGAAAATGTAATCAGATATCTAAAATGGCCATTAGACATCTATTTTTCTGCTGGGTGTCTCAGACGTGTGGAGCTGAACCACACCGATTGCCAGTGACGCTGCCACTGTCATTGTGTGTTCTGACACACCCACACAGTTAAGAACAAGAAGCAGCTCAGAATTTTTCACTTTAGCCAATCTATCTACTATTAAATTGTATACATTTATATATTTCTTGAATATATAAATGTTGAAAGTTAGTTCACACCTTTTCTGTGGCATTACAACAAACATTTAAACATTTGAAATCAAGTTGACAAGGGCTTTATGTCTTAATTTAGGTTCCAACTTCTTTTTATCACCGTGTCTGAAAAGTCAGCCTGAAATGGATCTTTTTACCTCAGAACTTGTACCTGATACTGTGTTTCATTCAGAAATATGTCAGTACAGAAAGAAAACGCACTATGATTTCCTAGTCACGTTGACTTTAAGACTAATATATGTAGGCGACATCTGTTCTGATTGGCTGCCCTGTATTGTGCTTCAAAAAGCAGTCTGTGCTGAAAAGTGCAGTACAGACGGTCAAGTGCAATATGCCATCATCCAATCCTGCTCCCTATCTAATGCCTAAAAACAATATGATGGCCCATTGCAGGCTAACTTTGTTTTTGGAGTAGCAGATTTTACTGTAGATTTTAGTAATTGCATTTAACCTGCTTATAAATTGCTTCTTGTCAAAGCTGCACTATGTAGGATTTGGGGATTTGGAGACCTCCCTGGTGGAAATGTGTAATTGTGTGCAACATGCAGAAGAACATTTTATAATGGTGGTTGTGCCTCAGACCCTCTCAAGTGGATGAATAGGATGATTGCGAGCATTTTGAAATAGGACTATTATCATCATATCTACCATTCTACTATTAGCGTCATAACTCATCAGTATAATATTAATTTTGCATTTCAGACCTAAGCATCAAACCAGACCTTCTTATTGAGTGTGATGATAATATTTAAAGACATATGACGTGGTCTAAGAAATTCCCCTGAAATTCGACCTGATGCTTGTGACTTTTAAATTACTATTCTAAGCTTTGCAGGGTGACTGTCAGCAGTGCACACACAGCATACATAGCATGTTTTTCTTTCTCCTGACTCAGTAACACAATAAATCTTACATAGCGCTGCTTTAAAAGTAATAAAATTAGTTCGGGCTATATTAAATTGTTTTTTGCTTTTTTTGTATGTAATCACAACTTCAAAACCATTTATGTCCACATCCATGCTTCTGTACAAGAGAAGGACCCTGTTTCAATTCTTTTTTTTTTAACTTGCCCTCACCCCTTCAACTAACATCTCAAATGTCTGTCACCTGTGTTACACAAGTGGCCACTCACAGCGGATAGGGACGAGGCAACAGTGAGGAGTGGATTATTTAAATGGAATGCACTCGCTCTTGGCAGATTAGCCTCAGTGAGCTTGTCGGCTATCCAACTTTGCAATGCAACCTGTTTTAAGACATTTGTACATAAAATTTGTGAGTAATTGCTTTAATGTCTTTCCAGTTAGAAAGAAAGGCATTAAAGCAATTCATGTCTGTTCTCGTTAACCGTTTAGTCTTTAGCGAGGCAGCTAGCAAAGAAAAATGGTAAAGTTACATCAGTAGTCATGTATAACAGATGGAGTAGTTTGTAACTTTAAGCCCAGTAAATTGAATGTTATGGTTTTGAAATATTAAACATTTTAAAGTAATTTTTTGCTGTAGCTTATAAACAGCTTTGTCCGACGCTGGTGTTCACTCCATCCCTCGCCCTTCTGAGGGCTCATTTAACACCCATCACTTGAGCTAATAAAGTAATGGAACAGCCCTTAAGATGATGCTGGGGATTCCACCGAGGGGGGAAAGATGAGGCCAAGTGGACGAGGGCTGTTCTGTGCTTGGAGGGGTACAGCACAGTTTAACTGTTAAGTAAGATGTCCCACAGTATGAAAGAAAAAGTAATGCTGTAGAATATTTTGAAGACATGAAAACATGATGTTAAGAGTGATGTGGGAACATGGAACACAAAAGACAAGAAAACACAGATTACAAAACAAATGATTTGATTTTGTAATTCTCCTTTTCAGGCTGTATGAGCCTCCTTTTTTGCTCATGTCACACAAGGGTGAACAAATTGGGGAAAATATCTAATTAGGATTTTTCTGAACAATATTGTGACTGAGATTCAAGTCGTGACTATTTTCTGTAGCTCCAGGCCTTTTTTTGACCATGAAAACCAGAATATCCACTTATTCTTGTTTGAGTGCAAACTGGCTGGGCTATTCTTAGGTCATAGACGTGTGTACTAAAAATTTGGCCTGACCAGCATTCTGATGGCTTTTTAAGGGGGTAAAGGGTGGCATTTATTGTTTTTTGCAAATGAACTCTTCAGATGAAGATTTGGACATTTTTGTGCATGCATTTATGGAGATTATTAGTTTTGTTAGTGACATTAGCCTAGCATCTCCAGTTGTAAACTAAAGAAGCAGACTTTTGCTACCGAACAGGTCTTGGCTGTTCTTTTAAGATAACATTGTTAATCTTGTAAACTATAATAAAAATTGCAGCTCTTGCAATTTTTAAATGCGGCTCTTCCAAACTGTGATTTTGATGTTTTATCCTAATGTTACACTACATTAAACTTTTGGGAATTAAGCAAAGCAGCCTGGTTGAAAACACTCCACAAGGTCTTGCTATGTAGCATTTTCATAGTCCCTTTTACTGTTGGCACAACACACTGTTTTAGAGGGCTTAGTGAGATGTGACTTAACTATATAATTTGGTGTTTTCTAAAGGCTTGATGGGGTTCAAGTAACACATATTTACAGCTGAAGGAAAGTTTGCAGACCCTTTGCAGTTATCTAGATTTCTTTCTAGTCATTTTAGGTCATAGTTTGACCTGCCCTGATGCATTAAGAAACACACCATTTTGATTACTCTTCACAAAAGGACTTATAAATGGACAAACACAATACAAATATGGCCCAACAGGACAGGTGTGAGTGCTGTTTGTTAAACTAGCCTTTATTTATTATTGTTACATAGGCTAAATTAGATCATATTTAGGAGACATTCACACAGAGATCCAGATACTTCCAAAGGGCTCAACATTTGGTCACAATTGTAACCGTAACTTTAAAATATTCATTTTAAGGGGTTCTGGATTTCTAAACCATCAGGAGCTGACTATAAAAATGATCAGATACTACACAGATAAGGCATAGCTTCCTGTATTGTAAACACTTAGCATGCCTTCAAAAGCAGGTGTATTTGCATTTATAAAGTACGCTTTCATAATGCTAAGCCTGTTGACTGACAGACCCAGCTAAAAGTTAATTATCAAAATTTAGTGATTTATATACTATTTCTTAGTGCATGCAGACCCCCCAGGTTAGACACTTGTAAATGACAAGTCATGTTAAGTGTCCTTTAAACTGCTGTCGCCATGGTTATGATGATGGTGTAGAAGTAAAATCCTGCCTAATAGCAGTGTTTCCTTGGTGATGCTCAAGATTCTCTACAGCACTTATTAAATTCAACCTTTTCTGTGTTTAATTGCCTGTACCCCACTTCCTACATGATGTGACTGATAACTAGCGGGTTGCTTTTGTGTTGTTATTTACGCTGTTGTGGTGCGTTAAATGGCGCTTTCTTACAGTCCTATGCAAAAGTTTGAACACCTCTGATCACGACATATTTTGTTGATTTTCTGAGTGAATGTGAGTTAACACATCCTCCACAGAGAACACACTTTACAGATTTTAACATATTTTATTTACTTTAATATTGTATTTTCCTGCTCATTTTGGTGCACAATGTCTGTTTATTTGCTGAGTTTAACCCCTGTGTGTCAAACACAGGGCCAGTGGGCCAAGTCAGGCCTGTGGCACAAACTTTTTAGGTCCTCAAAATAATTTTCATTTTCTTTCAATATTAGGCCATTTCACCGTGAGCGGCACTACAGTTCCCAGCATGCACTGCAATATAATGTGTGCGCCCACCCCCTCCCCAACAATGACCTATGGGACAGCCTAGTGTACATTGGGGATGTTTAAAGAGGTTTAACAATTATCTGCAGCTAATGTAGTCTATTATTTTCTATAAAACAATTAGTTATTTTGGAATTTGGGTTCAATTATTCATTCCCTTTTTTGCTGTTGTAGTTTTGACATATTTTGAATAAACGATGGCCAGTTCGGGTCATGGCACAATGTTAAGTAAAAAACAGTTGTCCCACGGATTTGTTGAGATTTTTTAATATGGCCCTCTTAGTGGTTGAGTTTGACACCCATAGTTTAACTTATCAGAAAAAAGAAATACAAAATGTCCCATAACTTTTAAAGGCCACGTTTTATTTTTTCCCCAGTATGGAAAAATGTGTAAAGTGTGTTGTCTGGAGAGGATTTGTTGACTTATTTTCAAATCAACAAAACAGGTCATTTGACCAAATGATTATTTTATCCTTTTCCAATTGCATAACATTGAACCTCAGTCATACTTACTACTTTTCTGGAGAAGTGAAGTATTCTTGATTTTCTCCTTTCCCACATTCAGCTTCACCACTCCCTGCTAACGATCCCTGGGGTGCTCCAGCAGCTCCCGCTCATGGCACAGCAGCAGACGACCCCTTTGGTGATGGAGGAAGTTCAAATGCCTGGGGAACTCCTGCAGACAGTAAGAACAAGTTTCTTTCCCTCACATTTTTACTAATTTCCTGCAGCCCTGCATTCTGTTGCTTTTACTATATGTTGTCTGCATAGGGCCTTTTAATTGTTTAATCCAGAGTAATGATGTCAAAGTCCACTTAGCTGTGTCTAATTTATTTGTTTGTTTCATTTATTATTTAAAGGAATGGTTCAGTCCAAAGGCTAATGTTAGTAAAATAAATGGAAACAACTAGCCGCCAGTTATTACTATGCAGTCAACATGATGTTAATTGGTGGTTACTCACTTCCTTTTATCGGCCACATTAGCCTCTTTGGTCCAGCTATTCCTTCAACATGTCTCTTTCAGTGCAGACATGTCCGTGCTTCATAAATCACTTCTCCATCTTTACAGCTCTTAATATGTCCATCTTTTTACTCCATCACCCATAGGTGCTGACTCGGCTGTGCCCACAGGGGACGGCAAAAAGCCAGGCGGTTTCCTTGGGGAAGGAGCCTCATTGGTGGACCTCGACTCGCTCATGTCTGTCAAACCCAAACCAAAACAGCCATCGCTCAATTCCATTCTGTCCTCTGGCCAAAAAGCACAGGGTGATAACTGAGCCAGAGGGAGTGACTGAGAGGATCAGATATCAGATTATGCGTTTATATATGAGTGTCTGTGATCCTGTAATTTTGAAACATAGAGATTATATATTATGTGGGCAAATGTAGCCATTGTAGATTCTTTTTTTTAAAGGTATAACTAGGGCTGGGTTACGATATTTAGTCCCCAAAAGACACTATTCAAATCAAATCTGTATGACCAAAACAAAGACACAGAAATGTATGTATTTATTTAATTATGTTTGTGTATTCTGCTGAAATCAACTCTGATAAATCTGTGACCCACTGCCAATTTGCTACTCCGACAAACCTTTTGTCATTTTAACCTGATTTCTGATCAGGCTCTAATGACACACAGAGCAAGGAGAGTGAAAAACAACCAAAGATGCCTCAAGTTTGGCTGTGCTTTTCAAAACTAGATTTTGACTCTGAGGAGCACCATGCCTGCCATGTTCCCATCCTCATCATCATACTAGACAAAACACACCGCATGAACACAACATAGCAGTAACAAGTGGCGAGAATAATTCCTAACCAGACTTGGTAGCTTTGTAATGCTTTGATAAACTGCTCAAAGGCCATCTGTGATTAATTAATCTGATGTCATTTTTGGATAAGTCCATTTTGTCCAAAAAAGATAACTCTGTGGGGTTTCCTGATTGCATTAAGAATTGTTTTGGAATTGGTACAAGAATTGAAATATTCAAAAACCCAGCCTTAGGTATAGCCTACTTAATCACTTGCTCCACTCATACCTCCATCTACTGGTTTCTTTTTCCTTTGTTTTCCTATGGCTTTCCAGCGCCTTGCATGACCAGGTCACACTGGTCCAACAAAAGAAACAGCAACTCTCAAGTATATTTGCTTTAGAGTCTCTCAAGTATTATTTCCATTCATCTAGAATGTCTTTGACTGTTCCATTTTTGCATCCTTCAACCCAGCTCTTGGGGCACAAGTGGGTCGTATGGCATCTGAAATCTGGAGAACCCCAATCTCTAGTCTGACTTTGTCATCACCCCAGCATGCAAGCTTGAATAGTATCGTCTAGCACTATGCGATTTCCTGACCAAGGGTGTCTATGTGCACCCCATAAGACTACAAAAACCTCATTACTACATGTTTACACTCTTTAAGACCCAGCACAGTTGCTTTTTAACATCTATCAGAAAGAAATAAGACATGGACAATTCCGTATATTTCTGTTACCTTCCCAAAAATTGCCTTAAAAGTGGGTGTTTTCCTTTTCCTCTGTCACCTTTTTGCGTGGGATGGCAAGATGCTTTCGAATTTTATTTATATCAAGGTAGCCTGTGAATGGCTGTAGATAGTGTTATGTATGACGCAGGGGTGGGCGATATGGAAAAAACTTCACAATACTTGAAGACAGTCAGTGCACAATAAATGTTGTGCTGAAGCAGAAGTATGAAGAAATTGTCAGACTTTTTGATGGTAAAACACTTAAGTTAGGAGGAAAAATACTATGCTGGGCCTTTAAAGAATCAACCCGAAGGATTCTACCAATGACACACTTAGTAGAAGCCAGTAAACATCAGAAAATAAATAGAGGTAGAGAGTAAAAAAGAAGTTGATTAGGTTGTAAATTTTACAATGTAGTCATGTCTTGTGTTCTTATGGGATGCAGGCACACTCTTGGTATGCCCCATTAACACTTGAATATCCAGCCGATCCTCCAGTGGAATTTGTAGAGCCAGCTTTCCAGCCTGTATTGATATGGGACACTAAAGCTGGAAAATCCAACACTGTCCCTTTTTGTTTTTCAGCCACCTTCCCACCCCCATTCCCTATCCACTTACAAAATGCCAGCTTAGAGCCTGTTGTCTGTGTGTGTGCGGGTGTATGTGTGTGAAAACTTTGAAAATCAATAAGAACAATCTCCTCTACATGTATCCTTTTCTCAGTTTTCGGGGAAAACTAGCATGAATATCCTGAATTTATCCCAGAAAGGTAAACTGAGAGTGCTGGTGGAGTTTGGTCGATTATTTCTGTTGTGGTGTGATCTTGTATTCTGTTATATGCATTCATCAGATGTTTTGTATAGTAGGTTATTTGAGCAGTGCAGTTGTGATTTATAAATGAAACGAAAAGGTAGATGAAAATTATATAAGGAAATTGTACATTTGAAATACTTTACTGCTCGGTGAGAGGCATTTGACACCAGGTTTAAGATGTGGTGTGTTGTGTGGTTTGCATTCCAGCATTACTTGACTGTATCACATTTTAACAGAGGATGTCTTTGTACATTTGTACATTGTGTAAACCCACTCACACCTTACAACTGCCTGTAAAATGTGTGGCAGCCTAATAAAGTGGCTGCTGAGTGTACTTTAAATATATGCGTTTTATACTTGTGTTAAGCATTGTTTCATAATTTTACTTGCTTATTCAGATTCTTCACACTTCACCAAACTTGCACTGACGTAGAGAAGGACTGTAAAAGGACAGAAGAACCAGAATCACACTTGGAAATATAGTCGTCCCTATTCAGTGTCATTCTAGTTTGTCAGAATAGATAGATAGATATACCGAGAAGCATATAATACCTAATGTGGGGCAGTGAAGTAATTATTTATTTATTTATTTATTTATTAATTGCTTGCTTGATTGATAGATTGCTTGATTGCATATCCATGTTATTCCCATGTCAGTCAAAAGCTGAATATTAGCCTAAAGTACAGTAAAATATCACGTTTTTCATTCCAGTAATGTTGTTCTAGTGAATAAAGGTGAAAATAAAGGTGAATTTCATGTTTTGACAGTAAATACTTATTTCATGAATATGCAATTAAATAGAATCCTTCTTACTTCACTGCCCTATTTCTTATGCTTCTCATGCTATTTATTCAACCATTATGTTTAAGTGTGGTGTTTCCTGTGATTGTGCACATTACAAGAATAAACTGAAGAAATTACTGAAAATATCTTTTGTATTCTAGTCTGATTCAGATTTGTAGTTTCCTGTCTGTCTACTTATACAATGCCTTCAACAAACATTGACATAAACATAAGCAAAATGGGCCGTAAAACATTCTTTATTACTTATTATATCCTTTTGATCTTTCATTCAAAATATTAACAAAATCTAACATTTAAAGTACAATGATTGGAAGAAAAAACATTACACATAGATGTGTGTATATATATATATATATATATATATATATATATATATATATATATATATAAAATCATGAAATATTTTACCCAAAATGACCATCTGTGGCACCTCTAGAAATCCTTGTGAGTAAAACGTAACTGAAGTATATTCACATTTATATTTTATGTATTAAAGTTCAACTGAGTGAGTAGGAGCACTTAAATGTTCAGTCATGACTTCCTGTTTCACTGGGGTAGAAATATGAGGCGACACCCAGGCCAAATTCCCTCTGTCATTTATTGTTACAAGAAAGACCAGAGAATACAGCAAAGATGCACATCAAAAGGCACAAATCAGACAACAAGAAAATGGCTTAAAATCAACATTTCCACCTCCAGGGCCATAATTAAGAAGTTTAAACCAACTAGAGATGGTAGGAATCTGCCAGGAAGATGACGTATGTCTATATTAACCCAAAGCACAGTGAGGAGGATGGTTTGAGTGGACAAGGAATCTCCAAGGATCACAGCTGAGTGTCTTCCAAACCACAATCAGACACCACCTACATAACCAGAAGTTGTTTGGGAGGGTTACCAGAACAACAACAAACTCAAGTGCCTACAGTTTGCCAGACAGTATTGGAACTCTCAGTGGGACCATGTTCTATGGTCAGATCAGACCAAATGATTTGGAGAGAGTCCAGAGTGATGAATCATCCTTCACTACTTGGCAGTCTGATGGACGAGGCTAGCTTTGGCAGATGCCAGGAGAGCACTACCTACAAGAATGCATAGTACCAACAGTAAAGGGTTTCAGGGTTGGACTCGGCCCCTTTATTCCAGTGAGGGGTAATTTTAATGCTACAGTGTATAAAGACATTTTAGACAATTATATGCTTCCAACTTTGTTGCAACAGTTTGGGGAACTGAGTTTCCTATTCCAGCTTGACTGTGCTCCTGTGCGGTCCATAAAGACATGGTTTGGTGAGTGTGGAGGAACTTTAGTGGCCTGCACAGAGCCCTGACCTCAACCCCACTGAACACCTTTGGGATGAATTGGAATGTCAATTGTGAGCCAGGCCTTCTTGTCCAACATCAGTGCCAGACTTTACAAAGGCTCTTTTGGCTGAATGGTCACAAATTGCCACAGACACACTCCAAAATCTTTTGAATCCAATAGGCTCATATAATTGTGATAGTCAGCTGTCCACATACTTTTGGCCATATTGTATATAGCCATTTGTTTGACCTTGTGCTTTTGCAAGGTCTCCATTGCCCTAACTGAGTTCTAAGCTGTGTTTCGTGTGTTTTTTCTGTGTTTGTTCCAGGCTTGTTTTCTGGATTTTTGATAAAGAAAGAGATTTTGGTTTAACAGAATTAATAAAAATTCTCAAGCATTTCTTTTACTATTGTGGTCGTAATACTTATGTAATTGGTTTTATTGTAAATATTACTGAAATACACTAACTTCTAATTGTTACTTGCAAGAGCAGGTTCGCAGTTCTGTTGTGAAGGAGGTGTGCTCGATGGTGAGGGGGGGGGGGGCGTAGCCATTCAGGAGAGCAAACAAGTGCATGTGGGAGCTGAGAGCAGAGACAGAGAGCTTGATGTCCTGTAGGGAAAAAGAAGCGGCTTGTGCACTTAACATTTAAATATATGTTGTGATAGTTTGTAGCAACATGCTCATCAGTATCTGATATTCTTTCATCTGGTACATGATAATAAGCGCATGATACCGTGAATTCTTTCTGTGTTCCGTGCAGTTGTTCATAATCTTCTGTTCGAAAGGATTTGTTCCGTGTGTCTGCTGAGTAAGCGCCTTTGTAAATGTGCGAGTATTTATTGAGTTTCATTGTTTCTGTGCAGATTATTAACTTATTAGAACGTACTGTCTTTTATTTCTCCTCTTCCTGTTTTCGTGAACATTTTAAGCTCAGTCACTATACAGAGGAGATAAGAGAGTCATAGATCTTGCTAAACCAGTCAAGCAGGACACAGGATGAATATTTCTGGGAGCTGTAATGGAAAGAGCTCCACCTCCTGGTAAGAGGAAAAAGAGAGTTTTGTTTTGTTTTTGTTTGTTTGTTTGTTTTTTTCAATAACAATTTGGAATATTTAGTCATTACTGTGAATAAACTGTGAAGTGCTGATGTACTGGTTTTAATGTTTCACAGCCCCATCAAGCAGGAGAGGCCAGGCTCTCCAGAACCCTGTGTGCCCATGATGAGTGATTGATCTATGAATGTTCCTCAAATGTTCACAGATGGAGACCCCACAGCTGGACATAGGTAACAGCGTCTAATTTTTTTTTAACAGTTATTCCAAACTGTTATCCCAGGAGTATTAAACCATGTTTCTTGGGGGCTACAGCTCTGCAGAGACTAGTGTTTTCCCTCTTTTGACACTCATATGTTTAATTTATATATATCTTTCTCAAACCCAAGGACACTTTAAAAGTACCAAAACACATAATCAACAATAAATTAAACAACCCGCAACTCACACACACACAAACAATTTTTTAGCTGGCAGGGGAGGAAAATTCCCCAGACCACAGCATAGAGTCACTTAGCTAGCCCAGAAAGAGGCCTTAGCCACAGTGGTCCCTCTCTGCCTGTGGGCCTCGCAAGTATGTTATAATGCCACATGCACAGCCAGCTCAGGAAGCCTTGTAGCCCCCAAAACTTTTTAGCTACATCCGGGGGAGTGTGGGTGGTGTGAGGTGGGGGAAAGTCACTCTCAACCACTATCTCAGTGGATACGCAAACTTGGTGGCATGTTAGTGTGTGTTGCACTAGTGTGAGTGGATCAGACACAGCAGTGCTGCTGGAGTTTTTGAACACTGTGTCCACTCACTGTCCACTCTATTAGACACTCCTACCTTGTTGGTCTGCCTTGTAGACGTAAAGTCAGAGATGATAACTGTTTGTGTTGTTCATCCTCTAGTCCTTCATCAGTGGTCACAGGACGCTGTAATGATCTATTCTTGTCATTTTTGTGTCAACAAATAACTATTTGTTCAGCAAGATTAGGTCACCATTTTTTGAATATGAAGCATTATGTACATTAATGTTACGTTAAGTTATTTCTCTAAGCTATGCTCCTTGTAAGAGCAAAAAACATAAAAAAAACACCTAATGGCATAATAACAATTAGTAATCTTTATTCATCACTTTGAATAAAATGTAAGTGCTGATGTAATGTTTCTATTGTTTCACAGCCCCATCAAGCAGGAGAAGTCAGGTCCTCCAGAACCCAGCTGTGTGTCCATGAAGAGTGACTCGTCTATGAATGTTCCTCTAATGTTCAGTGATAGAGACCCCACATCTGGACATAGGTAACAGCAGCTCATTTTTAAACCAACACACATAGCTATATCCAACTTTATCAAAAGTTTGGAATAATTTGTCATATAGTCATTGTTATTCAGTAATAGCTCATAATGTAGGTTGGAATTTTGTGACCAAACGTAAACAAATGATTTATTCACACTTTTAAGTATTTTGAGAACAACACAAAATGTTTGATATATCATACTGCTTGTATAACATACCAAAAATCTACAGAAATATGTCTAGCGTAACTTGGATAATTTCAGTCATCAAAAAAAAATTCTCCCTCAATTTTTTCCCCACGACTGTTCTAACATTTAGCATGTTACAACAGCTTCTTCTTTGCTTACCTTTTGGGCACAAGGTTAAAAAAATTCACTGGAGAGCTAATGGACTAACAATAAGAATGCTATTCTGGCTTCGACAGCAGTGGCTGTCTTTCCTCTTACCCTTCAGGGACCAGCTGAAAAGAAAATTTAGCATTAGCATGCTAATTGTTAGCCAACAAGCTTCCTAGTATTTTTTTCACCTGGTCCCTGAAGGTTAAGTAAAAAAAAAAAAAAACCCTACTGGTCAAAGCTGGTGTAACATGCTAAGTGTTAGCCCATATTTTTTTTCCCATAGGTTACCCTACTGGCACACCTCAGTAGTGGAAAAGCGATTGTGAGGGAGAAGTGGAACTTCTGTTCTGAGGGTGACACATAGCAAATGACTCATAGTTAAGCTTAAGTTGCTGCTTTGTTGTAGCCACTGGCTGTGCTGTGCCCATTCAAACAGCAGTCCTGATGCTACTACTGCTCACAAGCCAGTTTTACTTAGTATTATTAATGTCTTTTAAAAGATAAACAACCACAGCAATAGTGTAAGTGATTAATAGTGTTGGTGTTGTTTTCATCACTGTTTCTATCACCATGAGCAGCCATACAGGACACTCAAATACAAATGTAAGGTCACTGTTTAGCCTGTATCACCCATGAGCTTCTAGCTTTGGTGTTCTTAACTATTTAGAGATGCAGTACTGGTCTGCCTGAGGGTGGTGCTATAGCACATTGGGTGACACAGTTGGTCCAACCTAGCAATTGTAAGCATGCTCTGGATACCTCTGAAACTTTACAATATCCCAGAGCATATCTGTAAATCTGAAAGCTTGCCTGATTGGTGTAAAGAGTGAATTGTTGCTCATTTCTCAAACCAAAGACAAAAGAGAAGTGTAAGATCTCAATTAATGTGTGGGAGAGCGCATTACCAAACTAGAGAAGAGCATTTTCAAAAGAGGGATTGTTACACCAAACATTTTGTTGAAAAAGCTTGCACCACTATAGTGAGTAAGTTAGCAGAAAGCCAACGCTGGAGTAACCAGCCAACATGGGACCCCCCGAATACCAGGTGGTATTCCTCACACTGTGGATCTGGCTTGCTTTGGTGCAAATTAAGCTATGGTTGTGGCCAACTTAAGCACAAAAGATATCAGACGCTCTGTCTGATCTATGTGTGCACAGAATATCTGAAAAAACCTTGTTAAACCCAACATGATACTGCAGCATTAAGTAAGGAGGGTGTGAGAATTGACAGGTATGATTTATTATTATTATTATTCCTCATGATCTTGCTTCTGTTATCTCACAGGCCTGACCTTTCATCTGCAGTGGCTGAAGTGCAGGAGAACTTCAAATTAAATCTGAAAAAGAAGTTTCAGTATTTAAGTGAGGTGTTAACGCACCAGGGAAACCAAATGCTTCTCACTGAGAACTACACTGAGCTCTACATCACAGACGGAGATAGTGGAGGCATCAATAATGAACATGAAGTGAGACAGATTGAAGCAGCATCGAGGAGAGCAGCAACAAGGGACACACAAATCAAATGCAATGACATCTTTAAGCCTTTATCTGAACAAGACAAAGCCATCAAAACTGTGCTGACAAAGGGAGTCGCTGGCATCGAAAAAAAACAGTCTTGGTGCAGAAGTTCATTCTGGACTGGGCTGAAGGAAAAGCAAATCAGGATGTCGATCTCATATTTCCACTTCCTTTCAGAGAACTGAATGTGATGAAGGACGGAAAACTCATGGATTTTCTTCATACATGGTTCGAGGACACAAAAGACATGGAATTGTCACATTTGTACAAATTTCTGTTTATTTTCGATGGTTTAGATGAGTGTCTATTAGCTCTAGATTTTCAGAGCACTGTGAGTTTGCATGAAGTAACTGAATCAGCATCAGTGGATGTGCTGCTGACAAACCTCATTAAAGGGAACCTTCTTCCTTCTGCGCTCATCTGGATAACTTCCCGGCCTGCAGCAGTTGACCAGGTCCCTTTTGAGCATGTTGACCGAGTAACAGAAGTACGAGGGTTCACTGACGCACAGAAGGAGAAGTGCTTCATGAAGAGAATCGGTGATGAGAAGCTGGCTGAAAGAATCATCTTGCACCTGAAGTCATCGAGAAGCCTCTACATCATGTGCCACATTCCAGTGTTCTGTTGGATTTTAGCCATCGTTCTCAAGAAGATGTTAGCTGAAGCAGAGAACCGAGAGATCCCCAAAACTCTGACTGAAATGTACACACACTTCCTCATCATTCAGATGAAAATCATCAAGGAAAAGTACTCTGAGAACCAGGAACATGAAGAAATTCTTCTCAAACTGGGGCAACTGGCTTTCCAGCAGCTAATGAAAGGCCACCTGATCTTCTACGAAAAAGATCTCAGAAAGTGTGGCATTAATGTTACAGAAGCGTCAGTATACTCAGGTGTGTGTATGCAAATCTTCAGAGAGGAGTTTGGGCTGCACCAGAGCAAGGTGTATTGCTTTGTTCATCTGAGTGTTCAGGAGCATCTGGCGGCTCTTTATGTGCACCTTACCTTTATGAACCAAAAGAGAAATGTTCTTAATCAGAACCCGTTTCCTAAGCTGAACAGCATAATGAAGAAAGACATTGCGATCTCAGATGTACACAAGAGTGCTGTGGATCAGGCCTTAGAGAGTAAGAACGGACATCTGGATCTTTTCCTTCGCTTTCTTCTGGGTCTCTCAGTGGAGTCCAACCAGACTCTCTTACAAGGCTTGGTGAGACAGAAAGGAGGTGGCTCCCACAGCAAAGATGACACAGTCCAGTACATCAAGAAGAAAATCAGAGAGAATCCCACTCCAGAGAAATTTGTCAATCTCTTTCACTGTCTTAATGAGCTGGATGATAGTTCCTTACTTGAGGAAATCCAGAACTACCTGCAATCTGGGAATCTGCAAACAAGGAATCTCTCTCCTTCACAGTGGTCAGCTGTAGTATTCGTGTTACTGACATCATCACATGAGATGGATGTATTTAACCTGCAAAAATATACCAAACCATATGGTGAATCAGATGAGGTTCTTCTGAAGCTGATGCCTGTAGTCACTGCATCCAGAACGGCTTGGTATGTAATGCTAGCTGCAGCTCTCAGCTCTCAACATTAGAAAGGGTTTTTAGCTTTCATTCATTTGAAATGTACATGCATTTCAATAAGCAACATCCAGGCGGTTTCAGTTTTTCCAAAGCTTTAAAATGTTTCACTACCCTCAGAAAAACCATTTACTCATGTATTTTGTTTTGTATGTTATCACCTTTGAGTTAAGTCTTCATGATTGTCACCTTTGATTGGTTTTGGATCTTAGGCAATATAGCATGAAGCTTATTCATCCCACTCTACCATATGTCCCACTTTTGCTGAACTTGTTTTGTGTGATATAACCCGTTAATTCCCTGTTGTATGTCTGCCAGTGTTTTCAGGAGGTCCCCATTGTGTAGTGTAATCTCTTTTTCTTTTTTTCCTGTATTATGGCATTATTAGTAAGTTTTACTGGTAACGAGTCTGTTATTTTCAGTCATGCTAATCATATTGATTTTATTGTTGGTTTAATTTTTTTAAGGTTAATATGAGTTTCAACCCTAGTCTAATATATAGAAGCATAAACATTGCTCTAAGCGTGTGTGTCCTAGCAATAACTTCCTCTGTACTACATGCTCATACTGTGGTATTCTACCTTCTCTACCCACTTAACATGTGCCGAAGCTTATCCATGCAACTTTCCCCTATATCCCACTTTTTCTAACTCACCTTATGTGATTTAAGTCAGATACTTCCCTTTTTCTATGTATAATCATATATAACACAGGTTCTATATAGCACTATATATAACACATTCTCCATCAATCTGAAGAACCGTTTGAGCATGAAATGGTTTTATATAGAACTCATGGTTTTGAACAGAGCCTCTGCCTTTACTAAAGAACCCTTGAAAAACATCTTCTTTAACAGTGTAGCCTAATATGTAGAAAATACCAACACCTTTTAACAAATGTGTGCTTATGCTCTTAAAAAGATGGTTCTTCTTTAGTAAAGAAAATGATTCTATATAGAACCATGAATGCTCAAAGAACTCTTTGCATGATTAAATGATTCTTTAGAATGATGGAGAATGTGTTGTATATGGTTCTATACAGAACCTTTTTGGTTCCATATAGCACCAAAAACAGTTCTTCTATTGTAACAAGCCCAATATCTTAACTATAGCAGAACCCTTTTTGGTGCTATATAGAACCCTTTTCAAAAAGGTTCTTTATAAAACCATCTACAGCGCAATCTTCATTAATCTGAAAAACACTTTCATGATGCAAAGAACCCTTTAATCATGCAAAGGGTTCTTTGAATGTTCATGGTTCTATATAGAACCAATTTCTTTATTAAACAACCCCTGCAGAACCATCTTTTTAAGAATGTAGGAGTTCTTGATGTTCTTGTGAAGAGAAGTGAGTAGCATTTTATATGAACCCTTCTAAATGACATTGACGTAACCTTGCCATAAATATGTCATAGAGGATATTATATGCTGTCATAAGATGTCATGACAGATTTTGTTCAGTAATATAACAGTGTTCATCATTACTCATAATTGTGGTGACAGATGCCATAATGACACCATTATATTACCAAACAACATCTATCATGACATGTTTATAGTAAAGTAGCAGGGTTTGAAAAAAGTGTTAAAAGTGATAAGTATTTATCCGAACTTCCAATAATGGTATCTCTTAACCAGTAAAGAAAGTAGTTACCATGAAGTTTATACAGTTGTGTTTATGTCCAGCATACTAATCATATACACCGATCAGGCATAACATTATGATTACGTACGCTCTACGCTCATTGTACATTTTATCAGCTCCGCTCCGCTTTATACAGGTGCACTTTGTAGTTCTACAATTACAGACTGTAGTCCATCTGTTTCTCTGCATACTTTGTTAGCCCCCTTTTACCCTGTTCTTCAGTGGTCAGGACCCCCATGGACCCTCACAGAGCAGGTACTATTTGGGTGATGGATCATTCTCAGCACTGCAGTAACGCTGATGTGGTGGTAGTGTGTTAGTGTATGTTGCACTGGTACGAGTGGATCAGACACAGCAGGGCTGCTGGAGTTTTTAAACACTGTGTCCACTCACTGTCCACTCTATTAGACACTCCTACCTTGTCAGTCCACCCTGTAGATGTAAAGTCAGAGAAAAAAGCTCATCTGCTGCTGCACAGTTTGTATTGGTCATCCTCTAGTATTTCATGAGTGGTTACAGGATGCTGCCCACAGGATGCTGTTGTCTGGATATTTTTGGTTGGTGGACTATTTTCAGTCCAGCAGTGACACTGAGGTGTTTAAAACTCCAGCAGCACTGCTGTGTCTGGTGGATGTTATTTCCACATATCGTAGTTAGTGCCCATAATGCAGCAAAATCACTCTTTTATGAAAGAGGAAAAATACTCCCTTTCAACTTTTCATGTTACATGGAATGTAAAAAGCCCCAGGATTTATCACACTGAGCCTACACCTCAATGACGGTAGCCCCATGCCAACAACATTTACACTGATCTAGTCATCCCCAAAGGTAACACGCACTGCCAAAACCACAACACCCTCCAATAGCACAAAACAGATGCTCAAATAACTAAATCCAAGACTGTGGGGCATGCAGGCAAGGAATCAGGGGGCAGTATGTTTATATATATATATATTTATAGAATGTGTTAATGTTCAAATAAAACCATCAAATGTTTACAACAATATAGTATATTGGAAAAATAAATATAATTTCTGTGTTTGTTGTAGAATATTTAAGACTTTAGTAATTCCTTTTTGTTGTTTTTTCTTTGCAGATTGAAGGACTGTAATGTCACAGATGAAGGCTGCGCTTCTCTGGCTTCAGCTCTGAAATCAAACCCCTCAAACCTGAGATATCTGAGTCTGTCTTGGAATAAACTAGGAGATTCAGGAGTGAAGTTACTCTCTGCTGAACTAGAGAAGTAAGATCTCTTTGAGTCGCGACATAGACCTTTGTTAAAAATGTATGGGTTTTGGGTGTAACTGTAAACTGCAGACACTAAAGTAAGATTATCTCTTGAAAGTAAGATCAGAGCTGAGAATTGGTCACACATGATCTGGGACCTCATTCTTCAACAGTTTCAACAGTGTGTGCGCGCATGCAATACAACAACAGCCACAAGAGGCATGAAGACGGTGGGTGAGGCTCAGGCACCACTGTCATGGCCGTCATCAGTGCTTGTGGGTCGGGCAACTGGCACAACAAAAATTATAACTGGAAAAATAATGTAATGTATTCTCAGATACTTATTCAAAATAGAGACTCAATTTTATTGCATTTATTTTTATTTTATTGAATATTACTATGGCATTTTTCACTTTTCTTCTTCTCTTTATCTGTCACTGAAATTCTTAATCTCATCTGCATGCTGTTGTTATAAATATTTTACCAAAATACATCAATAATGACAGACATGAGGATGTGAAAAAGAATATTTGTCTTCTTTTGGGTTTGATAACATGTTTAATTAGGATGTAGCCTAGTCGTAATTTTTCTTAGTACTTAGGTTTCTTTTCTTATTTGATTGTGCCCATGTATCTTCACAAGATCAGCAATCACGAGAGTAGTATCATTATAGCCACAGTAAATGTCAATGGGCCTATCAGTGTTTTCTTATCTGGGATTTGTTCTTTTGTAAGAACATAATCTACACACACTCAAGAGCAAAAAGGTGCAAACAATTCTGTGGTTTAAGAACAGGTCATGAATCTGACATAGACTTTTATTAGGACCTTTCTCAAGAACAAGTTTAAGAAAAAACTTGTGAAGCTAACAGTGAATAAGGTCCATTATTACTGATTATGTTCTTGAGAGTTTTCATTATATTGGTGGTCTGTGCCATAGGTTATTGGTGTAGAAGGGAAAACTAGGTGAACCATGAATTGCATTTTATAGTTTTATTAGTTTTTTCTGTTCTGTTACACCCCTGTATCCTTAAATATACCTTTGTATGCATAAATTTGGCTGACTAATGTTGAATAATGTTGAAATGCTCCCCCAATTTCACTCAAAATCTGTGACTTGTATAATCATACTTGCATTTCTGGGTGAACTTTTATTGTGTTTCCTGGCTCCAGTTTCAGGGGTGAAGCTGCTCTCTGGAGAAATAGAGGATCCAGCCTCTAGTATTTTGTAGCTTCATGATCAAATACATTAAAGCTGGAGTTATCAGTTCCAGTCTTGGAAAGCTGGAGTCCAGCAAGTTTGGTGATTTCCCTGCACAAACATACCTTCTAGTTCTGGTAACCAACTGATGGGACACTGATAAATCTTCATTCTCTTATCCAACAGCCCTGTTCATTTATTTATCAGTGTGACTTCTGAGTTAATTGGCATGTTTAGTGCTATATTTGAGTAGGTGAATTACCAAACTATGCTAGAAACTGGCTCACCATGAATGGTGTTGAACAACCCTGGTTTACATCATGTTAATTGTATTGTGTTTGGCTTTTTATTATTGAAAAACTGTAATGTCTCTTTTTTGACAAACTGAACTGTATAAGCTAAACTGAGACTGTGACAAGTGTGTTATTGTTCTCTCTGTAGCTTGTTGTATTGCAATATCACATATGAAGGCTGTGCCACTCTTGCTTCAGCTCTGAGATCAAAAACCTCACACCTGAGGGACTTAAATCTGTCTGGAAACAAATTAGGAGATTTGGGAGTGAAGCTGCTCTCTGCTGGACTGGGAAATCCTCACTGTAAATTGGAGACACTGGGGTAAGATCATCTCTCTGAGGGGCAAAAATAGCCTCGTTCACAGTAAGTCATATTCTCTACTGCTGATGTTGAAGTTCAGACTTTAGGTTCACGTCCTCCTGTATGTTGTTTTGAAGTTTTGTGTTGTTGTACTAGTATTATATTTCGTCATCTAGAATAAGTTAGTTCTTAATTCTGGTATTTCTAGTGTTTGTTGTTATAGTCCTTGGTTCCTGGTGAAAGTGTTCATTTTAGCTGTAGTGTTCTCTGTTTTTTTACGTCAATGTGTCTGTTTGAGATTATGAATTATGAATATGCCTATATCAGAGGTGTCTAATTTTATTCACCAAAGGCTTGCAAAGGATTTGCCAACACCTGCTCAAATGTGAAACAGCTTCAATATGCTGACTTTGACAATCATTTCATTTATTTGCGCACTGACTGATTCGTCATTCTCTTATTGCGCATTTTTATGGGGGCATTTTGACATTTTTGATCTCTTAGAGTTTAATTATCTTTGAACTTGCCCTTTCTCACAGTATGAAGAGTTCATTGTAGTGAATTGTATATATTTTGCACACACACAAAAACATTTATATTATACTATTTATACTTTGATGGTGATTTACACTATTTATACTATGGATTTTTTGATGGTGATTTATACTACTGAGAAAAAAATTGATTTGAATAAGGTGGGCATATGATTTTTATTGATTTCTCATCTTAGATCCATGATGATTGCTAAACTTCTTGAATATTTTCCTAAGATAAATACTTTTTTGATTTTTTGAAATAGATTTTTAATACCAGAGTTCACAGCTCTACCACACTGACAAATAATATTGGATGAAGAATGGGTTTTCACACATTTTTTTTAAACCAAAGTACTCACTGAGAATTTGCTGCACCTCTATGACACCACAGTAGAAGATAAGTCCGGCTGATCATTATAATGGATGTACTGTGTCTAAGGTAAATCATTATGTGTTTTTAAGCCTGTAAAATAGCCATGCTTAGGGTTATAGTGATTAAGGTCAAAAGATTTGTCAAGGGAGTGCAAGTGTGCAGAAAGTCATTTACCTAGGTATTGCCTAAAGAGATGAGTCTTCAGACCACAGAAGAAGAACATGAGTGACTAAACTGTGTGCAGTTAAGGGGGAAGTTTGTTCCACAACTGAGGGGCAAGGAGACTGAAGAGGAGAGACCTAGTTATACAAGCATGCTTAAATTTTAAAGAAGGACATGACTTGTTTTTGTTGAAGTTATTGTTGAAGTGAAGTGTATGTTCTGAACATCATTGTGATGTTATTGTTCTCTTTGCAGGCTGAAATTTTGTATGATCACAGCTGAAGGCTGTGCTGCTTTGGCTTCAGCTCTGAGATCAAATCCCTCACACCTGAGAGACGTGACTTTGTCATCAAATAAACTAGGAGATTCAGGACTGAAGCTGGTCTCAGCTGAACTCGAGAATCCTCACTGTAAACTGGAGATTTTGAAGTAAAATCATCTCTCAGACTCATAAATGATCTGGTCCTGGTATTAATTAACAGTAAAGGACTTGCGATATAATTTGAGGCTATATAATACATGGCGATATAATACACTCTTCATGTAGCCACTACTGTGGAATCAGCCATCCTTTTAAAATGTAGAGAATCTAATTGTTCTTTCTGCAGACTGTGGGCTTGTAATGTCACTGATGAAGGCTGTGCTGCTCTGGCTTCAGCTCTGAAATCAAAGCATTCACATCTGAGAGAGCTATATCTGTCTCAGAATGATCTAGGAGACTCTGGAGTGAGGATGCTGTCTGTTGGACTGGAGAGTCCTCACTGTAGACTGGAGACTCTGTGGTAAGATCATCTTTCTGAGTTACAAGTGGCATAGCCCTTAGTAAGAAACAGGGTGCATCTTGGGTTCGCCAGCTATCCAAAACCCACCATATCCTGCCTCCATTTCAGAAAGTTATTTGGTGAGATTGAAGCAGGACATTAGGATCAGCATCAAATATAATGATTAAATGAATACTTAAAGTGAAATGTTAAATGAGCATTTTTCTTTAGCACACATACAGTTAGAACAGATGTATGAAGAGTGAATTGATATAAACATGAGGTTCACAGAAGCTTTGTACAACACAATTACAAAGCTGCAATGCTTGATGGTCATGGGCCCTATGGGTCTTATTAAACTCCTTAAAAGTCCATTCCCAACTGATGTGGACAGATTTCACCAGATGTACTAAGCACGGAAAGAGGTAGTCACATGGCTATTGGCAGAACCCATGCTTAACATTACTGCACACTGAACAGTGTCCAAAAATTCAAACCCTTTGTTTTTAATAAAGGTCTGCAACCACCACCACCAGCCAGTGACTTCCAGCACTGCCATCATCTCTCCTTTACTGCATTAATTTAAATCCAGAACCTGACCAGTAAAAGCCTTAGACTGTCAAGGTTTAAAATTTACACTGAGAAGGCAATCATTTTAAAGTATTAATCATCTTTTTCACGTAAGCATCATTTTCAGCAACATTTTCAGCATAGTCTCATTTCATCTTGTACCTTTTAACTGGAAAACAAGTTAGTGAAGAGTAAGTTAACTGGAAGCAAACATGATAAATCCACTAAATTTGTCAAAATGGACATTTGAAAAGGTTATGTTCTATTGAAACAATAAGAGTGCAGTAAGATACAGTATAAGATGTAAATTTATCCTGAACTCCAGATAAACTTGATCTCATATGTGCTATATCTGTGCTTTGTCCAATCTGCTGCATGACTCTGCAGTGCTTAACATCACCAAAACAATTGAGTTTGACAGGGGGGCAACTAAAATATGGCAGAACCTTTTTCAAAGGTCATAAAAAGAATATCATTGTTGGTTTTTTTCACAGTGCTGGCAACAGCAGCACAGTGGTGGAACAAACCAGATGTTGATTTTTTGGAAACACAGGCACCTGAACAATTGTAATTGAATCCAGGCATACAACAAAACCCCAATGGTGAAAACACACTATTAGAAATGTTAGTTTTCATAATATAGAAACATTAATGCAATTACATTAATGCTTTTAACATTTACAGAACAACATTTAAAAAAAAAAATTGAGTACCTTTTTCAACAACACAGCATTTGTACACCATACAACATGTCTCCTTTTTCCTTAAATGATTTAAAGATGGGCTTTCCTATATAAGTTTTTAAAACAATTATAAGCCTCAACACACCCCCCTCCCCACCTTGCTGAACTAAACTGTGTGTGTCCTGAACTAAGAGACTGGAACGTGTCATCGTTCTTTCCACAGGTTGCAGTATTGTAAGGTTACGGATGAAGGCTGTGCTGCTCTGGTTTCAGCTCTGAGATTGAACCCTTCACACCTGCGAGTGCTGGATCTGTCTGGGAATTACCAGATAAGGACAGAATGCAAGCTGCTGTTTGACCTTAAAACTGATAAACATTTCAGACTACAAGAAATAAGGTAATTATTGCTTCAGACACAAATAATACTTATAATTGCATAAAGACTCAAAATACGGCAGGCCAGTTTCACACACATGGATTAAGCCTGGGGTTGGAGAAATTGGTCATTGATGATTCACCAATGAATATCTTTTTCTTTTATGCTTGATCTACATCTAGGAAACTTGTAAATAAAAAACACAGCAATGATTTGGAAATCCTGTATTTATTGAAAAGAGAACAAAGACTAGATATTTAATTTTTCCACTAATTAATATAAATGTTTTATATATATGGACCACTCAATAAAGTTGATAAGGTAAAATATAAAATATCTGTTATTTGTGCTGTCTTCAATTAAAAATCTGTAAAAGACCGTTTACAAATCACTGCTTTCTGGTTTTATTTGCATTTTACCTACTGGCGACTAACCATTAAATAATTATGTTTTGAAAGGAAAGTTTTGTTTCTCTGTATTGAACGTTGCTTTTGGTGTTTTTTGTATTTCTTGCAGACTGTGATGTTGATAACTATTATTGACTACTGAACAGACCACAAAGGAGATGGAAGTGTGTATGAATGTGTGCGAGTGCCACATCTATGCCTGCCTTAACTGTACTTCACCACTAGAGGTCATCCTTTCCAGAGTTGTGACCTCGTCACCACTGTGACCTGTGATTTAGCTCACCTGTTCCTCATTGTTGGCCCCCTTCCTTTCGTAATCATTATAGTAGGGAAGACATTACAGTAGTGGCAGTGTTTTCTAATGCGAATGTAAAGTCCTTTATAATGTCTCTAATATAGAGGGTTCAATTATTGATGTCCTTAATAAGGAATTTACCCACTTTTTCCATGAAAGGTGTTGTTAGTTTGGTGGAGCAGTTTTCATTTTCAGAGAAGAATGAGCTTAACAAGCTTTTCTTTGAGTATTACCTGCTTGACTACAAAGGTTAAAAATCTCATGGCAAGTTACCCAACGAGGTTAGCTAACATTAGCTGTCTAAAGTAAACTAGAGTATAGTCAATGTTGTGAAGGGTTGGGAGTAAAGTTTACATGCCCATTACATGCCCTTAGAGATCATAATATGTTTCATCTGAATGGCGACTGTCCATGGTTTAACTGGAAAGTGAACAGGGCTTTGAGATTTTCTTACACATAGTTTATGCATTCACTTATTAAAGCCATGCAATAGAACATGTGGTCTTTTTATATTTGCAATGCAGCCACTTTTTTGTCAGAATATTTTGAAAATTCATAATTTGCAATCTAGCAGAAATCTGCTTTAAATTTAGGCATCTCCTGTTTTCTGTTTTTCCCTCCACAAAAGTATGCAGCTGTCACAATAAAAGTGTTAAGTATAAAACTAATGTTACAGTCATCCTTTGCTCATCTAGAAATGCCTTGCAAATACAGTTATGTGAACATGAATCGTTGTGTACTGACATTACATAGCACTACATAATATAAAGAACATGTGACTTAGTGTGACCATATGGATGGAAGTGTAGCTCTTAATAAAACAATGACAACATATAAAAAAGCAGTAAAACTCACATAACAAACTCACATAACTTTAAGGATTTTCTAACAGTCCCACAACTCCTTGTGACTCTCAGTCATAGGAACCTCTGTGTCTGCATCAGAATGAGGAAGGTCCTCTGAGGTTTCTGTGCTTATAGATGACTGACTTGTGCTATTATAGAGGAACCACTGGACAGGTTAAGTGGAAGGCCTCTGAATGCTTTCAGGGCCCTCCTTATGGATAGAAACCAGCTATCCTGATGTAATGATGCTGGATAGCTGTAGTAAAAGCCTGAGACAAATGAGTTTTCAAGTCATGGGCATAAGCCACTGGAGTCCCCGGGGTGGCAGGTGCTTCAAACCCCTTTCCCGAACTGATGAATATAATGACTGCAAGAGTATTCAAAGAGTATTTAAAGAGAAGGACGTGTATGTAAGTGAATGATCTACTATTGTCATCATGTCTTCATTAGTATAACATTGTTTAAACAGGACATTAACTGGGTAAAATGTTTGAAGCAACCCAAGTGTGACCACGCTCACTATGTTTGTTAACCATTTTTTTCTGAGGGGTATTTTCTATTGCAGTACATTCCAGTATGATCTATGATAAAGAAGCAATGTTCTGTCAAAAAAGATGCTCTAATTTCTACTGTATGGACAGTAAGAAGAAAAATATGTTTTTTCAACAGCAAACTCACAACAGTCTAAAGGTGGGAGCCTCTAAACAGCATGACAAGTCCGGTAGCGATGGCATCAGAAACAACAGAAAAATCCTTTTGACTGCAATGACTTGCTTTCTCTCTGCCCAGCCTATACAGGCTGATGTTCACTATGGTGGGTTATAATTCCATCTTCTTTTGTCCTCTGCATAAACATGATGGTTCATGGATTTTTTGTGTGGACCCCATCAAGTGTACAGATGATCTGACCTGGGTACTGCTCTTGGTCAGATGTAAGCTGATGTTGATACAGTCTTTCAGCAGAGACAGATCAGCCAATGCTCTAAAAAGGAAAAATATTCAGGACAGCTCTGCAGAGCTCAAGGAGGAACACAACCTGCTAACTTTGCCTTTTAAGAAAGGTGACGCTCGGATGCTCAGTAATCTGCACCTAGCTGAGCAACGAGCTCCATCACTCAAGGGAAAGTTCCTTAAAAACATACCATGTCATGTCATTTCATTTGTAGTGTGTAGCTATCATGAATGATATGGAGAAGATGTTATCACCTCAGCATGTTGATTTTCCTCACTTCTCCTGGTGGCTGGAGGTGGCCATCAGTCATCCACTTAGGGGTTGTATCACTGTACACGCATTTGGTGCACGCAACCCCCCTTGGGGCTGTTCTCAAGAGGGAAATCATATTGACAGATGCATCCCTGATTGAGTGGAGAGCCTTCTAGGAGAGCAGGTCTGTGAATGGAAGGTGGCCAAGCCAACTGTGCTCAGCTCACATAAATTATCTGGAGCTCTTAACTGTACAGATAGTTGTGACTGTGTACTGAGCAGATGTGCTCGTCAAACAGTCCACCTGCCTGGAGTCTACAGTGATGACGAAACGAGATTTGACCTGTTTTGAATCACTGCATTGAAAATTCACTACTTGAAGCATCATTCATTGCACACATGCGTGACATCTGGTGGTGAAGTGGATGTTGTGCACTCAATGAAGACACTAAATTGTTCTTTTTAGATGTGCTGCACCTACATGCACATTGAAATAGACTGGTTTTCTGAAATTGTGTGTATTGTTCATAATAATAATAATAATAATAATAATAATAATGTACGTAGCTTAAATAAAAAATAATGTGTGCCTTTTGGCAGGTCAGGTACTGTAATGTATGTTTCCACTTTTCATATAAAGATAAATAACTAATTTAACAAATAACGAACTAACTCATGTGGACGTTATGATTGTGTACAGGGAAGAGGGTCTGGTTGGGATACAGCTTAAGAGATGTGTGAGACAGATGTGCTATTTAGTTCTGGACTAAGAATTGTCCCCCAACCAAAAATATCCAGACAACAGCGTCCTGTGACCACTGATGAAGAACACACTGTGCAGCAACAGAAGAGCTATCGTCTCTGACTTTACATCTACAAGGTGGACTAACAAGGTAGAAGTGTCTAATAGAGTGGACAGTGAGTGGACACAGTGTTTAAAAACTCCAAGTGCACTGCTGTGTCTGATCCACTCGTACCAGCACAACACACATTAACACACCACGTCAGTATCACTGCAGTGCTGAGAATGATCCACCACCCAAATAATATCTGCTCTGTGGTGGTCCTGTGGAGGTCCTGACCATGGAAGAAACGTAATAAAATGGACATAAAATGTTGTGGTTCCCAAGGTGACTTGGCAAAATGGCTCTTGTTAACATTTGGGTTGCTGACCCCTGTACTAGCCTATTCTTGTTCAAGAGATGAGATCCCAGTGGACATTAGTGAAAACTTTATTTTTTCTGTTTAAGTGTTGAGAGAGGTTGAAACATACCTATTGTACATTAAATCAGTACAGAAGAGGTTGATACAAGCCTGCTAGGAGGACGTGAGGTAATCATCATGATTACAAAGTGAGTTTTTTTGGGAGGGAAAAAACTGCATTGGAATGATTCGGAAAAAAGAAAGAGAGAATAAAAGGGATGATGTTGAAGATTCAGCATATATAGGGAGAAAAGGGAGGAGAAGGAACAGATGGACTTAGGCGGATTAAGAGGAATCTGGGTGAGTTTGTGATGGAAACTCATTCAAGAGAATGTGATGAAGACAGAGAGGAGAAAAAGAAAGAAGTGAAGAGAATACAGGAGGATGGAAATGTAATGTCTGTCCAAAAAAGGTATGTTATTTTTGACTGTTGGTCAATGATTCTTTAGGAACAGAGATGGAGACGGAAGGATAACTGGGTCAGTAGAGCTTTATGCATGAGTGATGTGTGAGTGATGGAGACATTTAGTGCTGTTTGTGCAGGGTAATGATGTAGTACAGTAAGATTTTTACCTTTGCACTCATATTGTGTCTACTGGACATTTTCAAAAGTCCAGAGTTTGTCTGGCTCCTGTGTCTAATATGTCAAAAAGGTACGCTTGTCTACAAACCTAATAAAAAGTTTTTTTTGCAATCGCTTGCTATATTAACTTCTTTTGTTATTTTATTTACAGTAATACGATGTCAGAAAAAAATTATTATTTAAGGTCCAACTTTATCTTAAATAGGTTTTTCCCTGTAGGTACATATTTGGACCTTTTCATAACCTAATGTTTTAAAACAGAGCAGAAGGCTGGATACTAGACAGGGTGTGTGGAGTGAATGCAATTTAAAAAATATAGTTGCAATGGATTATGGTACAATTATGTTCCCTGCCTAAAGGTACTGAAGATGTACCCTTGAGGCTATCACCCCAATGACATGACCTTTCAGCACCCTTTTTCTGCGAGTGTAGCTCATGCAATGCAGATTAAAATATAGCATGATTTTTTAAATAGTAAAATTTATTAAAATTAATATTTTTTGCAGTAATGTGAGAATTTTGAGTAAGAACATAATACACGACATTCTGTAATCATCCACTGACAGATATTTTGTCATTATCTGCCTTTTGATCTCCACCTCTTATTCTCATTCTTATCATTTTATCTCTACAGCTCCATTTATCATTTTGGATACATCTAAAATTCCTAATTTTATTTACAGCCATCCACAGCCCAACTGATTATTTACAACCTGTGGAGTAACTTATTAGAATCGTTTTCTATACATGTGTCTGCCACCAAACTGCTTTTATCTTACTGCAATCAGTTTGATGTTATTGCATGTCCACATTCAGTTTAGCTCTGTGTTAGCATGTTTGAACGTGTTACGCTTTGTGAGTGGAGCAGCTCGCTTTAAATTCTTTTAATTTACTTGTTTTGCTCCATCCATGCTTTGTTCTGGCTCAAAGACTCAAAAAAAACAACTGTGTTTCAATTGAACATAAATCATTATTTTTAATGTATTTATTCAGTATATTTTTATAAGATGCTTATTATTATTATTACCATACTAGATAGACCGACGGACGGACGGACTGACAGACAGATAGATAGATAGACATTTGCAAAAGCTGGAATTACATGTTTAGTTGATTTTCTAAGTGAAAATAAATTAACACATTGTCTACAGAGAACAAACAGAAATATGGCACTGACGTATCGTCACTGTCCAAAGAAAAATATGTATCCATTTTTTTTTTTTCAGTTTTTACTTTTCTACATCATTTGAGCTCAGCAGCTGCCCTTTACCTTACATTTACCAATAAAAATGCTCCAAAATTGCTTAGAATAAAACCTCTTTACACTAATTTACATTAAATGTAAAGCTTGTTTTCGCCCACTGCTGTAAAGTTACTATTTTGAAGATGCTTGTTTTTCTTTGGACAGTGATGATATACAATTTTTTTCTGGGACAAGAGGTGAATAAAAAGTTCTGAATAAAGCATTAATACCATACAGGTAAAACAAGAGACAACAAACTGAGGATGACATGATATTAAACACAGACAAACAGCAAACCCAAGCAAAGCAGCCAAGATTGAAGATGCACCACAATTGCATTTTTCTCCTTATAATGACTCCTTTTTGCCGTCATAAAGGAAAAAATAATGAAATAACTTCTAATAAATTCATAATTGATTTTATTTCCAATTCTGACTCAAACTGCTATTCTTACTCTGATCTCTCTGGTTTCATCTCTTGGTTCAGGTGTCTTGCCGGCTGCTGAAAACAAAGGATCAAAGACAGAACAGATGCACCTTTCTCTGAGAGATTAACCTAGATCATAAAGGATTAAACAGAAACGGCAGTGCTGCTTGAGACATGGAATGAGTAAGAAACAGGAAAAATCTTAATCACCCCAGGAAACTAATCTCTCAAAGAACACAAAGGAGAAGGAGAAAGTACAGAAGGAGAAGATCAGACAAATGAATGATTGTGTAATGGCATAATTGTCCAGGACCTTCTTCACAGTGACATAAGCATGAGTGAGAAGTGACACCTTGCGTTATGGTCTCCTGGACGTTCTTCTTAATGATGAATGTTGAGGATCCATTAAACATGAGCTGATGGTTAAGTGACTCGATTAGAAGAGTCTCAGTCTGTGGACATTAATGCCATTGCTTCTGAGATCAATCAGCACTTCGGCAGCACTTATGGACGGCGTGGTGATGTGCATCGTCCAGCCGGAAACAAACTGAAGCCTGTTGCCATCTCAGCACATCTGTCTCTTCTCTTGTCCTCTCTCTCTTAATCCACAGCTCTTGTTCCACAGCTTTGCTGACCTTTGCTACTCAGCTTGTTTACTTCTTCAGCTCCTCTGTTTATTCCTCCACTGTTTATACCACTCCTCCTCTTGATATTAAACCTCCTTCAATCCGGTCCTGAGAGCACTCTAAATCCGCCTGTGCACGACCCACATGAACAGGCTCCGCCCGCATCACTCAGTGCATCTCACACCACTGTGTCTTCCTCTCTAGTTCCCTTTGCTTTGCTCTCTCTTCTCTGAAAGCCTGTAAAAGCTTGTACAATGTTTCTTCTCAGGACTGACCACATCCCTTCTGCTCTTTATACCCACCAGTAGAAAAAACAGCTGGCCTTTGTTCTTTCTGTCTCCCTCTTCCTTTCCCATTCCGTCATGTTAGAGCACATGTCCAGGCGTAATCGTTCCCTGCTGTCCCTCTCTCTAACCTCTCTGGCCCTCACTCTCTCCGTGCTGGCCTTCTGCACCTCTTACTGGTGTGAAGGAACCCACAAAGTGGTGAAACCTCTCTGCCTGTCTCCTGTAAAGATGAAGAACTGTGGCCAGAACAACAGCCAGCCCTATACTACTGGTAAGAACGAGTCTTACACAAATACACTCTGAAAAACCAAAGGTTCCTCAATGGTTCTTGGCTTGTACATATGGTTCCAAAAACCTATCATTGGTATATGACCTTTATATTAAGTGGAGGTTTTTTGAACTTAAAAATCTCATCTCATTTACAAAACTCAGTGACAAACTGTGACTGTTAGAGATACACACTTGTATGGTTCTTCAAGGGCTCTTTAGTAAAGGCAATGGCTCTATTAAGAACTATGAGTTCTACATAGCAACATTTCATGCTTAAATATTTCTTTGCATGTTGAAATGGTTCTTTAGATTGATGGACATTGTGTTGTATATGTTTTTTTAAAAATGGATCTATATAGCACCAAAAAGGGTTCTGCTATTGTTACGATGTCAAGCTTGAACCCATTTTGGTGCTGTATAGAACCATTTTCAAAACTTTCAATGAAAAACCTTATACAACACATTCATAGAACCGTTGCCTTTGCTAAAGAACCCTTGATGAACCATCTTTTTTGAGTGTGAGGCCTTCAGTTGAAGCCATACATGTCAAAGCTCAGTCAAATCTTAAAGGAAAAACCAACCTCTATGATAATGCTCATTTCTGCTTGCATTCCTATGGGATTCTCTTAGTTAAGTGATGCTAAGCTAAAGGTGATTCTTGGCTACTCTAGATTCAACACAGACATTTGAAGCTTGTAAAAGACATTGCATGTTCTACTTGAAGCTTGTGATGTACATATCAGCATATATTTTATCTTGTAGCAGTTTCACAATGACTCAAGAGAGAGCTCTGTTATAGAGCTGTTCATTAGGCTGCTGCTTGTCTTTGAAGTATATTTTAAAAAGAAACCTTTGATAGAAGAAGGTAAAAACACTCTCTCAATAAGTTGAGGTGGTAGTATCTAGGAGTGCCCTATGTGCTCTGTTTGTGCAGGGGCTAGGAATGTGAGTTGGGGGCCCTTGGTCCATTGGGAGAGGGCCTCTCACTTTCTCCCTTCTTCTCTTAGGTCCAAATAGATGAGATCATTTTAAAAAGAACCATATGCTCTGTCTCCTGTTTCAACAACAAGAACCATATATATATGCTGTTGGTCAGTCTGTTCGGGAGGGGACATTTAGAATTGGCACAGATCCTCTCTCAGGTACTCTATAGTGCTTGATATGATACTGTTTTACTATGTAATAAACCTTTTTACTGGCAACTCAGTATCGGCGGAGTTTTTCTTCACAACATCTAAACACCATCGCCACTAAATAAACAACATCTTCACAATCAGTAACATATCTAGGGCTTCCAGGAGGCCTAAAGTGACATTGTTCCTCTCAAAGTTGATCCCACCTGTTGGAAATCAAAATGTGATTGGTTGATTCCATTGCCAGTTTGTGATTATGCTGATGATAAATGTAACACGTTAGCCCTTCTCTTCAGATCTTGAAGTGTTAACCCATAGCAAAGCTTGGTTAGCTATATCTACCTAGATAACACTGAGTAAAACAAGTCCTGATTGGCCAATTTCCCACTATGTTTTGGAAGAATTTAACCCTTTTGTTTCCATCTAAAACAAGGAAACAAGAATAGTACTGTCAGAGTTGCAGGTTTGTTCAGTTTAAATACAAGCATAAAAAATAACTAGAAATTGCAGTCATGCATGTTTTAGCTCCCAGAAATCATTAGGCTTTCTCTGAAGGCCTAGAAGGCCCTGAGTGTTCCTCTCTGTCAAAAATAGTTCTTTCAAGAGCCATTTTTATCATTACGATCTTATTTAATGCCTCAGGTTTAAATAGATCATGACATAGTCCTTGTAAATGTCTATGGTCTGAATATTTCATAGTTTTTTGATAAAACCTTCTTTGAATACATGTCTATAAGAATCTGTGAACATATTCATAACATGTTATAATGCATCCATAAAGCATCATGAACACAGCTATATATGTGTGTATATATATATATATACATACATATATATATATATATATACATGCATATATATATTTTTTTTCCATTATGATGTGTTGTTGGGAGTGGGCTTTGCAAAAATATCAGTGCATAATGTTGTATCTAATGGTCTTCGGTCTTTAGCGTTAGCATAGTTGTTGGCAGTTTTTTTACAATGATATGAACTTGGTTGGATGTTTTAATAAAAATATTAATGAAAATATGTTGGCAAGAGAAAAATAAAGAAAAATCTCAAAGAGTGTAACAAGTACAAGGCCCAATCTTGGTCCTGGAGATCTACCACCTTGCTGAGTTTAGGGTTCTATATAGCACTAAAAAGGGTTCTTCTATTGTAACAAGCCTTTTGTAAGAACGCTTTTTGGTACTATATATGAAAGCTTTTCAAAAAGATTCTATAGAAGACCATCGGCAGCACATTCTCCATCAATCTGAAGAACTATTTTATGATGCAAAGAACCCTTTAATTATGTAAAGGGTTCTTTGAGTGATCATGGTTCTATAAAGAACCCTTGAAGAACCATCTTTTTAAAAAGTGTATTAATGCTGAGTAAAATTTATATTGGCTTCTATATATTGTGAAGGTTTTTTGTATGTAGGTTTTTACATGTGAAATATGTTCATACTGACATTCATCCAATTTTTCTTGTCCACCTCAAACCTTCCCACAGAAAGTCCCACACCAGACCCCAAAAGGTCTGAATCCAATGTAACATTATCCCCAAAGCAGAAGGAGGAACAAGCCCTGATAAGAGCAAAGAAACTGGCCAATGCAGTTCACTATATCTGGGAAACAGGAGAGGACAAATACATGCTTCGATACTTTCACACCGGTTTCTGGCTGTCGTGTGAGAAACACAATGAGGGTGAAGAAGGTAAGAGCTTTACATTGACTCAGATGTGGGAAATTTTTTGTGGTTAAACAAGGCCAAGATAGAGCTTTTCATTCAAAATTTAAAGCATTGTGACAGTCACAAACCTAACACTGTACATGCCTCAAGAAATATCTTTCCTTCAGAGAAGGAAGTATGGTGGTGGTAGTGTTGTGCTGTGGAGATCTTTTTCATCAGCATGATCGGGGCATCTTGATAAGAAAAGAGGAAAATACAGAGTAAATGTTGGAAAGTGCTGTAAGAGAAATTTTCAACAGTATAGTGATACCATGCAAACACACAGTCAAAAAACAACTGTGGCTCATAAAACAAAAATGTCCTGAATTGGCCCAGTCAAAGTACTGACCTCAAACCGACTCAGAGTCTGTGGCATGATTTAAAAAAACTGCTGTCATCCAGCAACATCCAAGGAGCCTGGTGCAAATCTGGCGAGATTAATTGGAAAAGAATCTGTAGACAAATAGGCCTAACTTTTGTTCTTAAAAGTTCATTTTAAGTACTGAATTAAAGTGATTCAACAACCAGCACTAGCACCACATGTTTATCTTAGTGAGCAGATTTATTTTAACCAAAAACGTATTTTCAAAAGCTTTTACCTGCTTTGTTAATAACAGTCACTGATATTGACCATTTTTTAATTATTTACAAAATAATTTCACTAATCACATGTGAGTCTGAATTTGACATATCAAACCAGGTCTCAGGTCCCGCCAGATGGTCCACATTTTAGCTCCATCCTTTTGTAATGTGAGTTGGGTTGGAGCAAAAATGTGGACCCTCTATAGAGGCCCTGAAGAAAAGTTTGAAGACCCGTGGAATGTGAAAATCAAGTGGGTCTGATTAGAGCTGCAGTAAACTCTGCACAGTATTTCATCAGTGGTCACAGGAAACTGTTGGCTGGATATTTTTGGTTGGTGGACTATTCTCAAAACTCCAGCAGCACTGCTGTGTTTGATCCACTTGTAGCAGCACAACACACACTAACACACCACCACCATGTTAGTGTCACTGCAGTACTGACAATGATCCACCACCCAAATAATACCTGCTCTGTGGTGGTCCTGTGGGGGTCTTGACAATTAAAGAACAGGGTAAAAGGGGGCTAACAAAGTATGCAGAGAAACAGGTGGACTACAGTCTGTAACTGTAATTGTAATTGTAAATTGTAAAAATGCAATATATATATTCTTTATTTTCCAATGAGAATTTTTTAGATTACTTATATACTTGCTATGAAGGGCTGACCTTAAACTGCAGCACTTTTAACGTTGCCTCAAGTTAAAGTGGTTATTTCCTCAGGTAATATACTGCTGCCATGATCTCCTGGCAGGGCTTGGTTGGACATGCACTGAATTTCCATTACTTGCAAACAAACATAATGTAGTGTTAAATGTTTAAATAACCGCTTTAACCATGTATCAATGTTATAAATGCATTGCCTAACAAGCGACCTAAATCCTAAACCTAATGAAGAACCTTAACTTCATCTTTTTAATACAACTTTGGCATCAGTGTATGCATGAGAGCTTAGTGGAAGACTGAGCCAGAAACCAGGTGGTTACAAGGCACATCTGTTTACAACTCACTGGCATTTGGTCTTCTCTTCTTCTTGTTACACCATTGAGACTTATGGCCGATAACCTCTTCCAAAGCGTATTCTAACTTTTGGTGGTTTCATCCAAAACTGGTATTAAACGTTGACAAGAACCCATTAATAAACGTTCTAAAAATGTTTTGAAAGCTGGTCATTGGGAGCTTGAAATTTACACCAGAGAGTGACTTTCATTCCTTTGTTCCAGGAGAAAAATGCCGAAGTTTCATCGAATTGACTCCTGGAGAAACACAAGGTAAACATATCTTCCAGATGTATGAATTTTACAGGGCAAATATAAAGGTATATGATTTCTTAGAACTATAATTACTTTATAATGATAAGACTGTATATCAAGTTTGGTAACAAGCTGGAACACCTTACATTCCTGCTTTCTTTTTGGCCATCTGTAGGGGTTCTTTGGCTGTCTGTGGTCTCAGAGTTCATGTACATTACTCTGCTGGCCATGGGATTCCTCATGATGTTGGTGGAGATGCTGTTATTGTGTTTAAATAAGGAGATGTACTCACTCAAGATCAATGCCTTTGCTGCCATTTGCACCGTTCTGTCTGGTGAGCTGACTCGTTTCAATGCCTTAGTCACAGTGACTAAGCTTTAAACTGGTGTTTAATGCTTCACTCTTTAAATGAAGGTTTCTGAATGGTTCTTGTCTTGAAAATATGGTTCTAGAAAAGACCTCAAATTGGTAATTTATATATTTTGTGGAAGTTCTTCACACTATCAGGTCTCATTTACAAATAGTTCTATAAAGAGCCATGCACTGAAAAGTTCTTTAAGGAACCAAATGTGGTTCTACTATGGCATCACACAAAGAGCCATTTTTGAGACTTTTACTTTTAAGAGTGTTGATTTGGGAGGATTGGCTGGGCACATAAAGATTTGGAGCTCAGCCCAGTGCAATGTAGAATTGTTTTGAGAGATCATCCTTCCAGAATTTTTTTGTAAATCAATCTGTGTGCAGTTGCTCCTTTTTATTTAATGTTTATCTGTATACTCAAAAAAAAAAAAAGAATGAAATCACTCTGTTTTTGGGTTTAATCAGTTTTCTCTCATTGATATTACTTGAAAGGGGAATTCCACCAATTTTTCAAAACCTCTGCATAGCTCAGTCATTGGGGTGTTAACAAACACATTCAGAGTGGTTTGGTGTGTAATGCTTCATTGATTTCTTCACAGTGGTGGTGATAGGAACTAGGGATGGCAAAGTTTTCAGCACAAATATAGCCATTTTATGTATTATCCAAAACCACCAGTGAACCTGCACAAGTCTTCTGAGTGTTTTTATGTAACAATGATGGTAAATCTGGAAAAAATCTATTTTATTTGAGACTGTTTTGCCTCATAATGCCCTTCATGTATCTTTCTGCCATGAGTGTATTAAAAATGTTTTAAGCAAAAAGATTGTCGCAAAAATATCGTAAAACGATGTGTCAGATATCAGGCGGCGTATCCCTGACAATTTCAGATAATAACTGTGTGTAAGGCAACTTTTAGACGTCTGGTTCCTTTCACCACCACTATGAACGATTCTCACTCTGTACGTTTCTCTAGAATGAAGCATTTCACACTAAACCACTCTGAATGACTGTTTACATCGGAACTATGTAATAATGCAGAGGTTTTGTAAAAATCTGTAAAAGTCACCTCTAACAAATGTATGTAAGTCACTAAAACTGAATTAGTTGTGTTGTTTCAATGAAATTAAGTGAGTTCTCAGATTTACGATAAATGTTAGTTTGGTCAATGGAATCTTTTTGAGTAAAACATCATCTTTCCCTTTGGCTCCTGGCATCACCTATTTGTATAGTGTTTTAATTGTTTTACCCCCCCCATGTGTTGTCTTTCCCCCCAATCTACCTTCCATTGTCTTTTTCCGAGCATCTTAACAGCTACTTAACACACTTAATTACACTGTAGTAGATTTGCCTTTTTTTACAGAAACCTCAGGCACTCATGCATTTAATCCTTTGCACTCTAATCGCGTGCACTTGTCCTTCTCGCACACACTCTCTCTCTCCCTATCTGTCTCTCTCTCTCTCTCTCTCTCTCTCTTGCTCTCTCTCTCTCTCTTTTGAGGTGTGAGTAAAGGTTCGGGGCTGGTTAAAAAATATTTGGGGCTACAGCCCTGGAAGCCGAGGCCAGGCGATGCCCCTGCTGTTGATTCATCAGTCAGTAACATATGTTGGGGGCAGATGAAGTCAAGTGAAATTCATAAAGAAATCTCACTTTTTTTAAATTCACGAAGAAATTGAATGTTATTGTATTCCATGTTTTAAATTTAAAGTGCTTCTCCTTCTTTCAGGAATGATGGGAATGGTAGCACATATGATGTACACTACAGTGTTTCAACTGACCGTCAGCATAGGACCTAAAGACTGGAGACCGCAGACCTGGGACTATGGCTGGTCATTTGCGTAAGACAAGTTTAGATGTTTTGTCTCCCTCTCTTTTTAACACAGTTTTAAGGACTCATAGTAGTTGCAAGGCAATGCATCAGCTTAGTAGTGGTAAAAAATTATGATTTGTTTAAAACCACACTGTGACTCTTTATATAAAATATGATATGTACATATATATGTATATATATATATATATATATATATGTATATGTTTGGGGACTGAAGACACCGATTAATCCAGCTTTGAAAGCATAATTCTTTTGCCATTCGTCTATTAAACAAATTTTAGTGCTGTGCCGTCTGAGGTATCGAAGGTCACAGGCATTCAGTGTTTTTCAGCCTTTCCCTTTATGCACAAACGCACAAAGATTTTCTCGGATTCACTGACTCTTTTGACAACATTGTGCACTGTAGAGGGTGAAACACATACAATCCTTGCAAACTCTCATTTGAGAACTTTGGTCTTAAAATGTTGCATTTTTTGCTGATGCATTTTTTGGTAAAGTGCCGAACCTTGACCCCTCCTTGCTTATAAAGGACTTTCCTGGATGCTTTTTTTATACTAGAGCATGATTGCATCACCTCTTTTAAAATGTTTTCTGGACATTTAACATCTTAAATTGCTCCTCTCACATTTTTGGAAGGTGTTGCAGGTATCAATTTCAGAATGTGCGTATATTTACAAAAAAAAACAATGAAGTTGATAAGATTAAAGCGGATTTACATTCTGTTTTTTTCATTTTCATTCCACATACTGTCCCAACGGTAACACTGCTTGTTGTTAGCAGGCTCTGCACAATACATATTATTATGAAGCACGCCACTGGGCATTGCTCTTTACTGAAAATGACCTGTGATGCATGTGAGAAAGTGTAATGTGCAATGCCTCAAAGTCATTTCTGTGATTATTGTGATTATTTGTGATTTTCATGCTAAAACGAAATCTCCATTTGCTCCTAGCATGGCCTGGATTTCTTTCAGCTGCTGCATGGCGGCTGCTGTCTTCACCCTCAACTCTTACACCAAGACATTGATCGAGATGAAGCACCGCGCCCGCATTCGCCTGGAAGAGGCCCGCGCTGCCACCCATGCGCCCCCTTATGACGAAGTCATCACAGCCCGTCCTGGCGGCAGCGTTTACTCTGTAAACCGGCTTCTTCAGCAGTGCCAGAAGGGCACACTGATTGACGCCGCATGGCCCTCCAGGGAGGAAGGGCAAGCTGGGGTGATGGTGGAGGGAATGAACCCCCATGGACTAGTGCTGGTGGGAGGCTGCGGAACACAGGGCTGTGAGGACTGTGAGAGAGAGATGGACGAGATAGAGGACGCTCTGGAGAGAGATGAGAAGGAGGGGGATGATGAAATATGCTGAGAGATGGAGGAGAAAACACTGAGCTGAAAGACTGTGAGGGGAAGACTAATTATAAAGCCGTTGAGGAGCTGTTGAGGAGTGGTCACCGACCCTCCTCCTGGAGACCTACTTTCCTGCACAGTCTAGTTCTGAGGTCGGCAACCCAAATGTTAAGAAGAGTCATTTTGTCCTTTCAACAAAAATCAAACCACCTTGATTTTACGTCCATTTTACCATCTTGGCTGTAAGTATGTCTCACTATGTGCTAGTAAAGGCTAAACAATATAATATAAATGAAAACACAGACTTACTTTGCTCTGCTTTAAGCTTTAGCTCAGATATAACCAATTTTCTCCAGCAGGAAACTTTTCCACAAAAGTAGAATAGTTTCTTGTAAAATGTCTCTCAACGTTCAACTTTTTACGAGGCTGAAGTCAGCTTCTCATTCGCCAGCTTCTTGTCTGTATCTTCCCGTTCCACCTTAAATGGTGCCTGAGGTGCTAGAATGTAACTGCCGCACCATTTAAGGTGGAACGGAAAATTTGAATGAAAAACTGGCAAATGAGAAGGTAACTACAGCTTAGTGACGTTTTTAGTGTTTCTCTTTGCTGATTAAACATATCAGAAAACCAGCTGGAGAGCTTACAAATGCAGATAAATCCATTCGTCTCCAAGTTATCGCCGTTTGTCTTAAATCTTTCTCTTCGCATTTTCGTAGCTAGGCAAGATTGTCGGCACTACTGCATTGCTATCTGACCTGCAGTCTGCACACCAATCTTCAGGGTCAAAAGTTGGTGAATTAGCAGTTATAGGCTACATTCACTCCAGCGTTTAAGACCGTTTATTGTTAAAACAGTGCTATAAAGATCAGCAGAGCTTTATTTTACTGCGAAGGAGGATTATTTTATTTTACCTAAAAATCTAATTTTGCTGTGAAGCCGCAACAGGGTAGTAAAAGAGCCACAAGCTGCTGACCCCTGGTCTAGTTCCTGCGTTTAACATGCTGCCCCCACTTACCTAACACTAATGCATCTGATCCAACCAATGAAGAACTTCCGAAGAATGCCTTTAGCAGGTGTGGCAGATTGTGGTTGGAACTAGACTCTGCAGGAAAGTACATCTCCAGGACTAGTGTTGGTGACCACTGCCACAGACTAATAAGGAGAGGTGGAATGGAACAAATTCTGATTTATGAAACTAATTATATTAGATATGAAAAATCAGTATGCTGTTCAATGAAACTGAACTGAATGAACTGAAATATAAGTGACCCCAAAATTGAGTCAAGATTCAGGATCCTCTGTTTCCTCACAGTGGTGGTGCTATGATTCAACACAGCTCTGTATGTGTATAAATCCACAATAAACAATAAAGGTAAGCGCTAGACAATAAACAAGACAATGCAGAACAATGCAAGATAATGCTAGAAACACCACGTATGTAATGAGTGATTTTGTTGGAAAGATTGTTGAGGTGAAAAATGACTGTCTGAGTTGTGTACTTGGGTGGAGGATAACTGAATGGTTCTGAATGTTAAGTATTCCTCCTAAATAAAACAAAATCCTAGACCCAGCCCGGATTATAGACCAAGCCTCTGCTGATTTTGTTCACCTCCAAAGTGCAAAGTGTATTTAACTGTGCTCCTGCTCATTTTGTTTTGTAAGCCTTACTAAGAACATTGTTTGAGTGGTAGCCCACATAGAAGAACTGCATAAAGGAGTCAATTTATTATTCTGTTTTAGGAGGCATTGGCTATACTACAATCACTATTCAAAATATTAATAAAAATAGTGGTGTTAAATTGAATTATGACTGTTCTTGGTACCAAAAAACACATAAACCTGTGGGCACCAGGGAAAAAAAAAACAAAAAAACAAGAAAAATGCAAAAAAGAAATGGTTTAATTTAGTCTCTGCACTTGCAAGTAGAATTTAGCACAGCAAGATTTAAGCTCTAGCCAATGTCGTCTGAATTCACTTAGCCCATGGATGGACAATTATGGTCCTGGAGGTCTGCAGTTTGGCAGTTTTCATGCTCATACATACCTGATTCAACTTATCATTTAATTAGCAGGTGGGTATTTCACAAAGCAGGATATCTCAGTAAGCTCTTCTCCTATTGGACAGGCTGTTTTTTTAGCCTATGCTATCAGGCTAATCGTGAAATCCTGCATTGTGAAACAGACCCCCATTCCCAGTTTAGTGAGGAAATCACCAAACTATGCTGGACTGCAGCCCTCCAGTACCACTGTGGCCCATTCCTTATATAGCCACTGCTGTGGAAGCGGACCTCCTTCTTGAGGGATGTCTTTTTCATAGTAAACAACCACAAAGGTTGTGTTCAAAGCTCAATAGCTGTGAACAAAGACGTTGGCTCTTAGTTGAATGAGTCTGGCATACCTCTGAAAGACCAACTTCAAATTCATTCATTTTAATAGCCATTTAAAGCAAGCAAAGTATACTTATCCTACTTACTTAAAAAGGTGTTTCTTCAAGGGTTCTTTAGCAAAGAAGATGGTTCTATATGGATCCATGAACACTGAACAAATCCTTTTCATGATTAATGGGTTCGTTGCATTGTGAATGCATTCTTCAAATTGATGTTGTAACTGGTTCTATATAGCACCAAAAAGGGTTCTTCTACTGTTACAAGCTTGACATCGTCAATAGAACAACCTTTTTTGGTGCTATATAGAACACTTTTCGATCTGAAGAACGCTTTTGCGATGCAAAGAACCTCACAGTCCAAACTTCAGAGCGACATCTGACTGATACTTATCTGACAAACTTAATACGCCCAGTTACCATTCACCACACGTCCTTGTGGAACTCAAGGCATCTGGTCAGTGATTCTCAACAAGGACTTAAGTATTTGTTAATAATGACCATTTTACGTTGTTGTTTACAACAAAAAGCCACATTACCCAAAAAAGAAATATCCTGAACTATATTGGTATTGATAGGTATTTCAGCTACTACCTTAACGCAAGATGTTGGATGAGGAAATGAGTCTTGACACACAGCAGCTAGTGGGATTAAGCTGTACTGTAAGCTTACTGATGAGCTGGGGGATAGTGGTATTGAGTTGGTTAAATGAGAAAGCCCTGCTTAGAGAGAGTTAATCTTCATCTTGACGGAAAACAATCATGCAAATGAATAGTGGCAGCAATTCTGTAAAGATCTACCCTTTTGATTCATTGTCCTGAATTAAACTTCTGAGGTAACGTCACCAAACAGCCTTACTACACTTTTAAAAGTAAAGTGCTCAAAATGCCCAATGCCGCTTTTAGGTTCTAGTTCAATGGATGGTTCTGAAAGAGCCATTTTTTAACAAGATGTGTGATGTGAAGAACCATTTTAAAGAACGACCCATTGAAATGGTATTTTGGAAACCAAAATTGATTCTTTTTAGACTCCAAAGAACCCTTTTTGCACACTCTTTTCTGCAGACCTAATGATGCACTTGTAGATTGTGGATGTTGTATTTGGTGGGATGGCTGCGCCGGACTGTTGTGGTGGATGTGGTGGTGATCATCTACTTTACAATAGCTGTTAGGACCTGAAGCAGCAGCTCTTGAGCCAAGTTGAACTCCTTCAGCTGGTGCAGGAAACACATCCTCTAATGTTTCAGGTCAGTGGCGACTGTAGCTCCCTGGGCCTTGAAGGACGTGAGTGGAGGGCTTCTCCTGAAGTCCACTGTCATATATGCTGTTATAAGTATGCTCAGTTCAGTTGTTGTGACTGTTCCAGTTCCTGAATGGTTCGTGGCTTAGACATGCAGTTCTAGGGTAACCTGTGATTGGTATAGAACCTTTACATCATGTGGAGGTTCTTAAAAAAAATAATGTTTGTAAATAAGATATGTGAATGTGAAGAACCTTTTCCTATAGTAGTTCCTGGCACTGTGTATCTAAGCCAGGAAGCCTTTAGGAACCTTCATTTGAAAAATTGGGACATGTGTTTCAGGCATATCACTGAGGCTGATGTCATCTATAGCTCTAGATTAGATATTGTTTCTTTGCTTGTTTTTTCAGTGTCCAAGATCACAAATTGGATTTGGTTGATTGAATTGGTTGATTCTTTTATTGCCACATAACATGTTGGTGGTAACTGTATCCAGTGCATCAAGAATATACACACAAACATACAATGTAACACCTACAGGGGACAGCGGGCACAACCTAATACATTTTGTGTTTTGTTAAATAATTCTAACAATATTTAAGTTGGAATAATCGTGTTTTCAAGCAAGCAACATATACGTCTCTGCTACAAACGAACACTTGAATTTTGTTTCTAGCACATACTGTTCAGGTACAGTGCCTCCAACAATGACGGGAAGCGCAATGTTACAATATACCCATGCTTATTTAAAACCAAAATACTAACATCTGAAAGAGACTAATATAGTAGAATAAAGTCCCTGTTTTCAGATGTTTCCTCTTTTTCATTTTGAAATCTGTTTAAACATAAGAAACTAAAAGACAAACTTTACTTTATTGTTTGTTTACTAAAGGTGGCTTAGTTGTAACGCTGTGTAACAACTAACCCTGCAGTATGGAGGCTGTACTTAAGCCTAACTAGTGCTTGCTGTGAGCTTTTCACATGCTTCAAAAGTGCTACAATGTAGGCAACAAGATGATGATCAAAGTAATATAAGGTTGGATTCTGTGATTTACACAAACAGCTTAGTAACTGAAAAAAAACTTACATTACTAAAAAAATACTTACATGCCCTGAAAACACTCTTTGGCACAGATCTCTTTAAAACGCTGATGTATCGCTCTGAATTTTGGTGGGAGACGGTGGATTAATGTGGCCAGAAGCACACGCTGCTTGATCTTGTATAACTACATAAAAGGTCTGTGTTAAGTTGTGCCCCAGCGTTAGGTTGTTCCCCACGCTCCCCAACAATACACACTATACAATGCAATATACAATTTACACAAAATTTGTATAGGATAAGCATCAAAAGTTACACAGTAGTTTCACCCCTGTGTTCTAAGGCTTTTTACAGACAGACTATAATAACGTGCTAATCAGTAGAGTTTCAAAAAGATGTTTTTAAAGCGGACTGTCTTGGTTTTTGAAGATCTATAGCGTCTCCTAGAAGAAAGTGGTCAGAAAAGATGGTACGCTGGACGAGAGGAATCTGTAGTTATTCTCTTTGCTTCCTTTAGAGTGTGCTGAGTATAAACAGAGTCAACGGAAGGAAGAAGTTTTTTCAATTATCTGTGAAACTTTACCAACAATACCTTGCAATTTATTACAAATTTGAAAATCTATATTTCCATGCCAAACTATAATAGATGTCAGAGCACTCTCGATAGTTCAGAAAAGGTCTGCACACTAATAAAAAATGTTTTAAAAAGTTTAAGCGAGATCTTTAAAAGAAAAAAAATAATGTACACTCTGTAAAACGTGGTTCTTCAAAGGTTCTATATAGAGCCATGAACACTCATAGAACCCTTTGCATGATTAAAGAGTTCCTTGTATCATGAAAGTGTTCTTTAGATTGATGTAGAATGTGTTGTAGTTGTAGACCATTTTCAAAAAGGTTCTATATAGAGCCATCTATAGCACAATCTCCATCAATCTGACGAACGCTTTCTTGATGCAAAGAACCCTTTAATCACGCAAATGGTTCGTTGAGTGTTCATGGTTCCATATAGAACTATTTTCTTTACTAAAGAACCCTTGAAGAACCATCTATAGGTGTGTTGAAAGACAGTGTAAATGTTTTGGGCACACAAGATCTTCAATTTGTCTTTGTGTGACCAACATGTTGCACAGTTTTTCTATTTTTCTCTATTAAAAATCTTGATAAAACTATTTTTAAGTGTTTTTATTTGTGTGCAGGCTTTTTCTGAGCTAAATCCAGTTTCATTATGCACCCACAAACCAATAGTTTGAACAGCTTTTTCTCAGGTGCGGTGAGTTCTTTTTAGACTACAAGGTCATGCATTACCATTTGTATTGCTATTTGTGGCATAAATCCATTCAGCACCGGAACACAGGGCACTGTTTTTAGTATGTACAGAAGATGAATGAGTTCATTTCATTTAGGAAAGTCTTTTTCTTTCTTTCTTTCTTTCTTTTTCTTTCTTTCTTTCTTTCTTTCTTCCTTTCTTTCTTTCTTTCTTCCTTTCTTTCTCTTTTGTTTGCTAAGGCCATCCGTGAGCTCTGTTCAGAAAGATTACGCAAATGTGAAGAGTTACTGTGAAGTCAGTAATCCCACTAGACCTGGCCCTCTGGGCTGTCTGTCTGTTTCCTGTTCCTCCAGGCTGTCTGTCTGTTGTAGACACATGAAAATGTGTCCTTGATCGGATAAACAAAATGATGGAGAGATTACAACAGAAGAGAGTTATAGAAGAAGGTCATGACAGATGCTTTCAAATGCAGTACAGAAGATTATGTCAATAATCTCTTAGTCAAAGTCACTGAGTGAGGGAGAACTAAGAGAGAGAGAGAGAGAGATTGAACAAAGCAATGTTGAGGATTGTTAAAATGTAAAAAAGATAGTTTCTGTTGTTGTGGCTCTGAACTCCAGTACACTGGATTTAAAATGAAACAGTGACTGTAAGATTAAAGTGTCTGTTTTAATGCAAAGGTATTTATATCCACGTTTGGTAAGTAATTGGACAAGGTATTGTTATCTTAAATAAAACTTCGAAATCAACATCTGCCTACAGTCTGCAGTCCATACATATAACCTGATGGTGGCGTCTTCCCAAGCGATGCTTCTATTCCTGTAATGCAGCCATTTTTCAACAGTGAACACAGAGTTGGCCAAGAAACAAATGAGCAGCTAATTGTCTACACAAACACACACATTTTCTAAACCACTTATCTTTCTGGGTCTTGGGGGGTGCTGGAGCCTACCCCAGCAGTCATTGGGCTGAAGGCAGGAAACGCCCTGAATAGGTCACCAGTCCATCCCACACATACACAGGAAGAACATGCAAACTCCACACGCCAGAGAACCGAACCCAGGCCCTTCTTGCTGTGAGGCGACAGCAATACCCACAGCAACACCGTGCCGCTATTGTCTAGTAATCTTTAAAATGTCTAAAATGGTAGTAGTGTATAAAATGTGTATACAAATGGCTACAATTACATGATTTATTCAATATAGGAATATACACTCTGAAAATAAGGCTCATGATTTCTATGCATTCTTTGATTAACATCCAATATCGCAATGTGGAGAAGCATAGAGGTAAAAATATCTATTATCACTACTTAAATTTTTACAGACTTCAGGGGGAACTCTCAGGGCCATATGATTTCTGGGAACTCCTAAAATAATTTTTTATTCAATAGAATCATGCTTGTATATAAACTCTGCAAGTATTACTGTACTACTCTTGTTTCATTAGCTTTGGATGGACAGTAAAGGGTTAAATTCTTGAAATGCCCAGGGAAAAACTGGCCAATCAGGATTTGGAATCTAAGCGAGCTCTCTTATTGGTTAGAACTTCAAGAGATGAAGCGAAGGCCTAACGCATCATATTAATCATCAGCAAAATTGCAAAGTGACACTGGAATCAACCAATCAGGTTTTGATTTTCAACACACGGGACCAATTTCTCAGCAAAAATGTCACACTAGACCTTCTGGAAGTCCTACATACTTCACTGACAGAACACGTGTGGCAGTCAATCAGTGGGTTGTAAGAAATGGAAAACAGCAGGGACCTCTCTACTGAGTCATGGTGAAACTGCCAAGGTAAAATATGTTAATATGTCTGTCACAAACTTCAAGTAAAACATGGAATGCCATTTAGAAGCTTAGCGCTAACAAGCTACTACAGTCCCATAGGGAAGCTAGTGGAATTCCAGAGGTGTTTTTTTTTTTCTTGAGTTTTAACAGCCCAAATTGAAGGCCTTGCGCTAATAGGTACTGACAGACTTACAGACACATCTGAGAAAATCATGGTTCATAGTAAATCACTGTTCATTGAATCACGGTCTGCAAAAACTGCAAAACAAATCCATCAGAGAAATGAGAAATCTATGTTTTCCTTTCCAGCAAGGGCTGCTTTGCTATAGTCGTGCCCCGAAACACTCCCAAGTAATCCAACATTACACCACAAAGGAGCTTACTAACATCAGACATTCTACTGTTGGAAGAAGCACAAAAGCAGCAGGTTGGCACCATCCAAAGTTCTAAGCACAACCGCAGAACTACAGCAGGCTAACTCAGGACACATACATTGTTTAAAGGCCCATGTAGTAGAAAACTGTACTTTCTTTGTATTTTTGGAATAAAAAAGAGTGTTTAAGCCTAAACTGCTATTTGAATGGACTAAACTAACCTGAGAGGCACAGGCACCGTTACTCACAAAAGATCGGAAAGCCAGTTGACTCAAAACTCACCTATAACACACTGTAAAAAGTGCAATAGGGTACAGTGTACTATAGTAGTGACGAATTAATAAAACAAAATAATTTTGGTGGAATCCCTTTAATTTTATTAAACGCAACACATCTACATAACATATGTAGTCAGAAAATGTAGAACACAAATAACAGATAAAAAGTTATATACACATGATATATACAACAAAATGATGTCATTATAATTATAAACTAATTGCTTACTCACATAAATAATACACACAGTATAACATACTAGCATAAGTAATGACCGTTAGACATGAAACCTTGCTCAGTGTGGGGATTGTTCAGAGGCCCTATTTGGCACTTGAGGTTTGTTTTCTTGTAGTTTAGTTTATACTCCTGAATGCAGCATCTATACTTACCAACACTAAACTGTTGCAAATCAATTATGCGTTTTGTATAATGCCCTTCAATCTCTGCATTCTACATACAGAAACACACATGCGCGCACACACATTCAATAGCCGTAGTTGTAGAGGCTCTAACTGTAATTGAATTGTGAGACTCAAGTCACCAAGTACTGTGTATTGTACAGTATATTTACATATCAAAGGTGGAACAGTCTGGCTCATGAACATTTCTATCATGTTTTTTAGTTACACATTAGGATTTTAAGGAGCATCATAGAGAAATTCCCAGAAACAGGTTACTTTGCAGGTTCACACTGAATAAGACGCAGTGCATCGTCATTGTCCATCACACCTTTGATGAACTCTCCTTCTGCAACCCGCTCTGTGTGAGAAAGAGAAGAGCTGAAGAGTTTCATTCTGAAATGCTGTATGATATTTATGTTATGTATGTTATGTTATGTAAGGTGTAATTAATCATAATATAGCATTGATATTTCTTACATATGTAACGCCCTATAATGTATATCATAAAAAAATTCTTGAAAGTGGTCAATAATGTGCTTTGGAACAAAACCCTTTGGTTACTGTGGGGTTATTATGGGAGATAACTGTTACTTAAAGTCAATCTGAAACCAAAGTTGATCTTTTTTATCTAGTTAGTTCATGACCTCCTTTACTTTTAAATGACAAAATTTGTGTTTTCCCATCATTTTCCATCAAACTTCTTTCTGCTTCCAAAACGTGCTTTGAGCTGGTTTTTTCATGGGAAAAATGAAATAAACCCATAATATCAGATTTCACCTCCCCTTCCCACATATCATCAGGCAAAATGCTCAGCCAGCTCAGAGACCCTCCACAATTCAGTATTTCACTTGGTAATATGTGACAGTATGGAAGGAAAATGCTTTATTTTTTCCATTTCTGATCATGTTTTTTTAAACCTTATACTGAAAAAAAAAACATGGATTCTTTGCAGAGGCTAAGAACAAACAAAGCTTCATGAAATGTTCTTGGTTTCAAACTTCTTCGAACTTTGAGAAGGTTCTTCATGCTCGCAAAAATCTCATTTACATTTAAAAAAGCCCACAGCCCCAACCAAAAATGCTTCGTTGTGGAACAAACTAAAAAGAGTTCTTTAAAAAACCATCCAGTTCATTACGGAACTAAAATTGGTTCTTTGATGGAATCACCCCTAAAGGACCCTTCCTGACACCTTTACTTTTTAGCTTGTACGTATAAGGTGAACATCCCTGCAACCTAAAAGATGTTGGGAAATCAATTACAGCAAATTAATTATTTATCATAAACAAACAGTCTCACCATTCTCTCCTTTGCCGAAGAAGCTCCAGAGCTTATCTGCTCTCTTCTCTGGTGTGTTCTCATCACTGGGCAGCTTCTCCTGCTTCTCCTTGGGGATCATTTTGAAAATGGCCTGATGGGAGAATATGACAAAGACTGAGTTTGATTTATTTGTTATTGGAACCCATTTATGTACTTATTACTGCAAAGTTGGGATTCATTTGTTTCAATTGTATGCAAAAGTTTGTGGACCCCTGGTCAAGTGACATGTTTTGTTGATTTTCTAATTGAAAACAAGTTAAAACATTTCTGCACATTTTAATACAATAATACAATAAAATCAACAAAATATGTAATTTGGCCAGGGCTGTTCAAACCTCTGCATATGACTCTACATTCAATAATTTTTTGTTATTTTATATACAATAACAAGTTATACATAGTAGATTTAAATCTTGGACAATAAGTTGGACACCAAAAAGTATTTTTATTTTAGTTTTATTCAATATTCAAGGATTACTAGTTATTATATAATATAAATTCTATACTGTCATTTTCTACTTACAACCATTTATGTCAAGTCGTAACTTTATAAATATAAGGCACTTATTATGAAGTCATTGTAAATGTTATATGTCTTTTTCAGTCATTTTAGAATCACCATCAGCTCCGTTCATCATTCTGGACACATATAAACTTCATTATTTATTTTTTTTACAGCATCATGCTTATTATTTGTGAGCTATGAAATTACACAGGATACGGAATTAATTTTATACATTTATCTGAAACCACACTTGTTTTATATCATTGAAACATTGTTTCCAAACTTTTGAAGAGTGATTTTAAAAATGTGAACAATTGTGTATCTGGATCATTCTACCAAATGACTTCAAACAGTAGTCCCACTGTAAAAATAGATTATGTTATGATCTATTTAAACTCAAGGCATCGATTGAGATAGCAATTAGCTTAAAACGTGCAAAATCTAGTTTATAATCTACTATATATATATGTGTATTCAGGCTTGCTCCAAACATTTCATTGTACAGTGAGAATAAAGATATATTATCTTAAATCATGTATAATATATTTATAACCTACATTTACATATGTGTGTGTGTGTGTGTGTGTGTGTGTGTGTGTGTGTGTGTGTGTGTGTGTTTTCAGTGTTTTTTAAGATCTTTCTTTAAGATGTAAAGTGAAGTTGAAATATTTAGATTCATCATGAGTTTAATTTTTAAATAAAACAACTTTATTCAAAAATTCTGTCCCATGTTTTCATGTCACTCCTGAACAAAGAGTTTTAGTCCATAGGTAGAGCTTATTTTAGCCACACCTCTACATTTTAGAGCAGGAAGTGAGACTGCATCCCTGTCCCTCCCTCATGGCCACATGGTGAGCAGTTAGGTCCCATTGTTTTGAAGTAAAAGTGTCCCAAAGTCTGAAAATCAGTGTAACATTAAGAATTGTCACTACCGAAACACATATTTTCTTTAAGTAAACATTATCACTACTGAAACATTTGGTAAAGTCTCCGTAGTGTTACGATTGTTTTGTTAGTGACAAAATATAACATTAAATCAATGTTTATTTTATCAAAACAATTAAACTGAAAAATCAGAACAGAAAAACAGAAAAATCTTGCCTTATAATTCAGAAAAGCCTTTCAGCAAGACTGCCTCAAGCCTAATGTGAAGGTGAAAATGATGCAAGAAATGTACAAGGTGCTTACATGTTGGAGGGTTTTTACAGGAGATATTCTTAAACACAGTGCAGTTAAACACTTACACTACACTGTTTAATGTTGTTCCTGTCCAACAAACCACAACTCGCTGTGCTTGCTAGGCACTGCAAGAACAACTGCATGTACACAGTGCTGGTATTCTAACAGTTTGTTCATCGAGCAGCCCTTCCACGCATGCGCACATCATCAGTGAAGTACAGTAACTGAGTTTTTCTGCATTTTTAATGTTAATTCAGCCCTACTTTGAGTGTGTTTTACAGACTCAGTTAAATGTTATTGCTTACCCTTTGATAAAGTAATTTAGGCCTCAAAATGTCCTACCTATAGTTTTATGTACAGTGCTAGCTATAAATGTGCCCTGCTGTAGGACATTAGGACAAGGTAGCATAATTTGTCAGAACACCAGGTCTACCTAATAAGCAATATAAGCAACTGCTTAGAGCATAGAGTCGAGACCCTCCCGCCTTTCCGCATAGGGATTCCCGGCTAAGACGGCATTTTCTTTGATTTTTCCTGGTCAGAAGTGGGAAATTCAGAATTAGTCAAACGTGATCCTCACATGAAAACGTCACATTTATGATGAACAGCCAATCGTGTGAAACATGAGGAGTCACAAGAAGGAAAAAGAAATCATACTACCTAAATGGGTAGACAGTAAAGCATTTATAATGGTAAAAAAGCAAAGCTGTCGCCACTGCCACCAGGGTTAGATCAAACTAGCTGGGTGAGCAAGAAATACTGTTGTGAGAAAGAGCCCCGGACCTGGAATGCTGTGAATGTAATCTGTGATTTAAACTGTAACTTATTAGAGCTCCAAATGAGCATCTAATCATCAGCCATACACTAATTAGCCAGATATAAATGTATATAATTTAGACAGTTTGCAATAGTCATTGTTATTATTTTGCAGTACATCAACTAGTAAGATGGGGCCACAAAAAATCCTGCTTAGGGCCCTGAAAGGCTAGAGCCGGCCCTGCATATACACTAAGGTTTGTCAAACTGAGGGTTTTCTGAGACTTGAATAAAATGTTATGTCATTATCACTGATTCCAATCCACTCCAGCTAAGATGGTTAAGCTAGCTTAACACTTAACCGAGTCGTAAAGCTCTGCAGTGCACAACTCAGATTCTGCCATCAATGCATTAATGGTATCGTGATTTTAAAATGACCAATTACATTTGATTAAAAATCAGACAGCAGAAATTAAAAATGAATTCTGAAATTTTACAGCTGCTTCCTTTTTCAATTCAATTGAATTATAAGCCTTTCAATAATAGTCTAGTTTTCATAGCTACAGAAGTCAGGGACTAAGGCTGATGATCTCACATCACCTGGATGGCTGTGTGGGGATTCATGTCATTAGAAATTTGAATTTAAATGCAAAAATCTGAATTTGAATGTAATTATTTTGAATCTGAAATTGAATTCTGAACTGAAACTGAATTTGAAGGTTGAAAGAGAGCAATATAAAATCTCAAACTGAACTTTACGATTGATGATGCATGTACATGTACAACATAAAATTCGAATAAATCACATTTTCAGATACACTTTCTAAACAACATCTGGGTTTCTTGCAGCAGGCAAAAGCAGTCACAAGTCACACTGCAATCCCTTGCAATCAGTACTGTTCTTTACTTCTCATATCACACTATTAGCTCTGTTGTAGTGGGAGCAGCTTCTACATAGGCCTCCTCTACAGCGCTGACGTTTAAAGGCGCATCCCTAAATCCTTTTTATTCCTGTGTAATCCACGTTCAGCTCCATTTCGGCTCTTTCTCTTTAGTCCATATGCTATATTTACCACCTCTCCCTCTTAACACCCGCTCAGCCGAAGAGCTGGGTCATGGCAATTTGTTTACTTGATGAATCAGGGCATCTTATTAAACCAAAGATTACTTAACGGCAAGCTGGTAGGAGTGTCTCACTAGTGTCAGCTAGAGGCTACAAGATGTAGTCATTACAGTGTGTTGTTTTTAACCGCTTAAACTTAAGTCCTGTTTGTTGATGCACACATCAGTTTTTGATTAACTTACATATTAATTTCATAGAACATAGTAATAATTTACAGAAGATAGTGAACAATACATTTTAGGACTCAAAGAGGTAATCATGCTGAAATGGATACGAACATCACTTGTTAAGATCATTTTAATAATAATTAAGGCCTTTGTTAAGGTTTGTAACCATAAAATGAATAAATGTCGTTACCTTAAATTTACAGCAAATAACTGTTCTTTTTACACATACATGTGTATGGATCATTCTACCCAACTGGTTTAAACTTAGAGTTCAAAACAGACTTGGACGTTAGACTAAAATCTTTTTGCTTTGAGTGACCCTTTATCTATATTAAAATAAATCATTGAACACTGCACACAATCATGACACTACTGAAACTTTACTAAATGTTTCAGTAGTGACTGATTATTATCAGTATTATAAGCTACTAGAAAACAGAGCTTTGAACAGTTGTACACATATAAAATAATATTGTCTTTATTAAAACGCAAAAAGCTTGGTTTCAGTATGTGTTTCAGTAATGACAGTTCTTAATGTTACACACTGATTTTCAGAGTTTGGGACACATTTACTTCAAAGCAATGGGATCTAACTGCCCACCATGTGGCCATAAGCGACAGGGATGCAGTCTCACTTCCTGCTCTGAAATACACGGGTGTGGCTAAAATAAGGCTCCGCCTATAGACTAAAATTCTTTGTGTTTTGGTACCGACATGAAAATGTGAGTCAGCATTTTTTGAATAAAGTTTTCTTATTTAAAAAAATATTGAAAAATGTAAGTATTATTTTATTAAGTTAAAATGTAGGGGTTAGGATTTGGGACAGGCACCTACCAATGGAAAGTTCCCTATTATTGATGATTTTCTATATATTTAGCTTATTGCTATTTCATATAATGCCTTGGGTTTAAATATATTAAAGGTTTAGGATTAAAGGTTTAAAACATCTGAGCTTTAAATACTTCATTGTTTTTTTTTCATATATTTTTAGAATGGTCCATATATATATATATATATACCATTCTATCCAGATGGTGTCAGACAGTGAGTCAATATCCCTTGTGATTTGTCTGGTCCACAATCAGGGATGGCCTGTTTCTAAGAAAAGGTCTCGGGCACTGTGATGTCACCACATCCTTCTGTGGACATGATCTTAAATCCTGATTGCACACTGAGTTGAGGAGCTTATCTCACTCTCAGATACCCCCCACCCATTCCCCTCCCCCGTTGATGATGGTTGTCCCTATAGAGCCCAGGCTTAAGCATGGTGACCCTCCGCGACACTGATCAGCTTTGATATGAAATGCTCTTGATAGGTGTTTACAGTACATGACAGAGATCAAATGAGCTAACCCTGAGGCACAGATTCAGACTTTCAATCCAAACGGATCCAGAGGATGTAAGATTAATGCCTGATGTCTGAGGGTGGGGAACCATGAATTTATGCTTTTAGGACTTGCTATTCCAGAATTTAAACACCACAGACTGCATTTTACCATTTGTCAAAGTATAGATCTAATGGGAAATCACTAAAAGACACTATTATGTTCATATGGCAGAGAAAAAATATTTTGTTTTGTCTTCAAAATTACATCACTGTATAAGCATTACAATACACGCTACATCTACATTTATCATTCTCCCTCTTTTGGTCTAGCAATAGCAACAGTGTCAAAATCTGACCAGTGAACCAGCCAGTCTGGGCTGGATTTCCTGAAAGCATCTTAGCTCAAAGATAATCCCTAAATGGTAGAGCGGGCATAACACTGAACACTCTCTCTACAAGTTAAGATGATCTTAACTCTAAGATGTTTTTGGGAAACTGGGCGAAGGCTAGTCTGTTCCAGGTTGCAAAAAAACCTTTACTTTAGCAAAACCAATTTCTAGTTACTAAGTGCTTCCATTGTTGACACAGGTGTACAGTTGTGCACATTAGCCTTGCATAATTTCAACAGAAAAGCACTGGCAATAGACTGGGATGCTCTGAAGCAGCTGCATATGATTAAAAAGTAACCATTCCCAATCCCAGACACTGGCTAGAGGTGAATAAAGACCCCCAGTATTGGGCTTCTGAGCAGTGGAACTGCATTCTCTTGAGGGATGGAGCTCCATCAAATATCTAGAGTGGAAGTGGCACTTGTGATCCAGAACTAATCATCCAACATCAGTACCTGACCTCATTCGTGTTCTTGTGGCTGAATGCAATCACATTCTCACAGCAATGATCCAACATCTAGTGTAAAGACTTCCTAGAAGAGTAGAGACTGTTACTGCAGCAAAGGGGGGACAAACTCCTTGATTTCAGAAGAAACACTGCATGAGCAGGTGCCTACAAACTTTTGGATGTATAGTGTAGATAGATAGATAGATAGATAGATAGATGGGTGCACTTCTCTTAATCAAGGACAGCTGATGCTCATTTGAAGAGGAGCCCCAGCAGCATAAGACTGGCTCTCTCTGGCATGAGAGGAGGTGAAGGATGCTGGCCTGTAAGTCTCCCGCAGAGAGAGAGAGAAAGGGACATGAAAAAGCCCAGAGGACTCTTTATAGAAAAAACATTGGATTATTATATACACTTTCTAAGCTGCTTATCCTTCTGGGTTGCACGGGGAGCTGGAGCCTATCCCAGCAGTCACTGGGTGGAAGGCAGGAAAAACTCTGGACAGGTCGCCAGTCCATCGCAGGGCAGACACACAGACATATAAATTCACACACACACACACACCTAGGGGCAATTTAGCATGTTCAATTAGCATGTCTTTGGATTGTGGGAGGAAACCCGGAGTACCCGGAGGAAACCCACGCAGACACGGGGAGAACATGCAAACTCCACACAGAGAGGACCCTGGTCACCCGGCTGGGAATCAAACCCAGGCCCTTCTTGCTGTGAAGCAAGAGGGAACACGGAACAAAGGTAGGAACAAGAAGAACCAGCAAACTATCCCCTATCTTCCTGGACCCACTGGAACTCCTCTCCTGGGCTTGGAGTGATCAACACCAACAGCCAATGGGAGACTTTGGCTGGGCTGAACTACCGTGCCAGGGAGAGAGGTGGCACCTAGCGCCGCCGGAGTGGTGCTGGTGTGCATGGTGCCTGAGGGTCCCCTGTGAGGGACTGCAACAGCAATAAGGAAGACTACTGCTGTTGAGTGCATCCTGAGGACTGAGAGGATGACGTCGACAGCATAAATTCTGATGTAACTGAGCTTCCACAAGCCACACCATACATGCTCGAGCCTGTGAGGTTTGTCATCCCTGGGCCCCAAACTGCACACTCCCTCAGCGATGCTGCTTTGCTCCTATTAGTGGAGGAGGTCCCCAGCACAGTAATGGCCCCCACTCCTGACTGCCCAAACTTGAGGTCTTTCTCTCCCTCTCTCCCTCCTTCATATTCTGCCTGATGAGCCCAAACCACCAGTGCCCCTCTGCATGTGCCCACACCTGTCCCCAAGCGTGGTCTTTGTTCTCCTGACTGAGGGCCAGGTTCACAGGGTGAGGGAGGTGGGACTGGTGAGCTTGGGCCCATGGCAAAGGACTTTCCTCTGGCCCTCACTGCTGAAACCAGCCAATTGCCTGGCCGCTGTCTGGTGCTCCAGAGAGCATCCCTAGCTGTCCACATTGACAGCACTGCCAGGTGCGCCAGAGAACACTTTGACATCGCCGCCTCATGCTCCAAAGAGCACCCCAGAGCTGCCACAAGCATCGACAGCGCCACCGGGTGCTACAGAGAGCACACAAGCTGCCCCCAGCATCTACAGTACTACCTGGTGCCCCAAAGCTGCCACAATCATCACCAGCACCACCAGGTGCTCCAGAGAGCATGCCAGAGCTGCTGTCAGCATTGACAGCACTGCCGGGTGCTCTAGATAGCATGCCAAAACTGCTGCCATCATCAACAGTGCTGCAGAGTGCTCCAGAGAGCACCTTTGGTGTGGTTTGTGTCTGCGCTCAACTCCTCACAGCGGCCCTGCCTACTCTGCCTCCTTGGTGTCGGTCCAGTCACTGTATCATGCCTCAACTTCCACCCTGGTGGCTGGTCACTAAGGGTGGGGACTGTAGCGGTGGAGAGGTGGAGTCACTGTATTTCCCACCAGTTACCAATGGGTACATCTCCCCTAATCATGGAGAGTCGATGCTCGTTTGGGGAGGAGCCCCAACAGCATAAGACTTTCCCGGCATGAGACAAGGAGAAGGACACTGTTTCCCAGTCAGTGTGCGCTGGCTCTTCCCAAGGCTAGCACCACAACAGACAGATTGACAGGTAGATAGATAGATAGATAGATAGATAGATAGATAGATAGATAGATAGATAGATTTGGATGAGAACGGGGATAGAAAGATTAAGCTGCATTAAGTTTCATTGTATTGTTCCTCAAGACTGAGTACCACAAAACCCACTAGACCACATTAATCCGTTTTCTCTTACCTGGCAGATTTCACACACTTCATTTTTGGTGATGTAACCATTTTTGTCCACATCAAACAGCGAGAAAGCCCACTCTAACTTCAAGGACATCTTGCCTGAGGAAGTCATATGCAGGGCCACAATATACTCCTTAAAGTCCAGTGTGCCATCGTCATTGGTGTCAAAGGAGCGGAAGACATGCTGGGCGTACGTCTTCGCATCACTGTCGGGAAAGAAGCGGCTGTAGATCTCCTCAAACTGAGGCAGCGTGATGCGACCTGAGGGACACTGTTTCTGGAAGTTCTCGTACCACTGTGCGATCTCCGCCTCTGAGAACTTGGTGCTCACCTTCAGGTCGTTCAGGACCTCTCTGGACACCACACCACTTTTTGAGTTTCCCATGGTACGCTGAAGGATGGCTGTGTCAAGAATTGGAGGTGTTTCATTCATTCTTACAGTGCTTGAATTAAGGTTATGCCAATTTGCAGTAATTCAGTACTTTTTGGACCTGTCGACAGACCTGTCGGCTGGTCCAGACCTCTGCTACTTAGTCTACTACTTAGTCCTATAGCTTAATACTAACGTAATCATTTTGCACTGCTTGCCATGTAGTTACTGGCACAAATTAACCATGAAATTTCTTAGCTGTTCTTTAGCTTGTTTTAAATCAGGAAAGCTGTCATGGTGTAAATGACCCATACAAATGAAACATGAAGATGCTCATTATTTACTGATACCAATAGTCTAAAAACAGGAGTAACCAGCATATAAAACTACTTAGACTTACATTCACTTTCAAAGGTCTTAGTTCAGTAACAAAAAGAGATTAGAACAGTATGGAACTCTTATTCTTACCTTCACCAGTGGAGTAAAGGTGGCAGTCCCAACAAACTGAAGCAATAAATGAACTGCGAGTGAAAGAAGGAGGAGAGATAGAGGTAGCCACACATCCACATAGGATTAAGTCAATTAACAAGGATTTCAAAAGGCTGAGCTATAAGAGGCCCTAAGTGAACTTGATTGTACAGTGTTATTCTTTTCTCTTTCCTTCAACTTGTTTTATTTAAACAGTAAGGCCTCTTATCCAAAAGTATTCTCTCCTTTTACTTATTTTTCCACTTCTGCCACCAGTTTTGTTTGTGTGGTACTTAGAAGACCTTAATTTACTTGAAATCTGCTCTGCATCCGAACTGCATTGAGTATCCATGTCATGTTTGCTTTATTGTATATTTGCCCTCAAATGGGAATTCCACAGACTTTTCAAGATGTCTGCATAGTTCAATCATTGAGACGTAAACACAGTCATTCAGAGTTTTTTTATGTGAAATGTTTAATTGTAGAGAAACGTACAGACATGGATTTCTTTTCAATGGAGGTGACAGAACCCTGGGGTCACCATGTCTTCAACACAAATATAGCCATTTTATTAGGCATCCAAAATGACTAGTGAACCTACATGTGACTTCTGAATTTTATATGTAATACTGATGATGGTACCATAGTGGTAAATCTGAAAGTTTTCAGGCAATGTATTCACAACCATTTTGTGAAATGACTTTCAATAAGGGAGCTTTTAGAGGCATTAAATACGTCTGGTTCCTATCACCACCACTGTGAACAAATGACTTTGTTTACATTGTGATCGTGAAAGTTAAGGCTTTGTGCATGTAGCCGAATCTTACGGAGGCAGATGTGGTGCACGTTTCAAAATGTAGAGTATTTTCATGTCATCGATGCAGATAATATGGTTCCTTCCATTCATAAAGTCTAACTTTCAAAAGCACATCCATTTTTACATAAACACTTAAACACTGCACACTTGATAAAAAAAACTGTAGTGAAAGTGAGTTTGTACAGTGTAAGACAAGCTACGAGCGCTACATCCACCTTAGCCCTAACCTTAACTGTTTGTGATATGTTTCAAGTTTAATTTGTATTCTTAAGATCTTACCGTCTAGATGCTTAGAACAGGGAGCCTGGAATAGCTTTTTTGTCCCTGACACAGTACTAAAGGCTTGGGGGTATAAACCTCTTTATCTTGTCCACATATGACCTCTATTCCTTTCTTCTTTCTTACCCTCTTGATCTATTTTTAAATGAGGATATTCTTCAAGGTACAAATATACTCTACCAACATCTTCTTATCAGCTTACTGCCTCCACTGCCATATTGCCACAGGACATCTTCGAGATCAATCCCTCAGACCCTAACCTTTGCTCTATATCAGGAGAGGGCTGCAGAGTGAGAGAAAGGGAGATAGAGAATGCTGGTTAGGCAAGCATGGCGAAGAGAAGGAGTGAACACAAACCAGGGAGTCGAGCCAAAGTGCTGCACTTGGCTGATCTAATGCCTGATATCCATTTAATTGTGTTGCGATTCCAGTTAATCGTTTCGTGATTAAAGTTGGACACACAAGGTTAAATAGTGGCACCAGCACAAAGACACAATGCCTCAGTTAACCCTCTACCATGACGCCAGCAATACATTCTTAGACTTTGGTGATGTCTCCTTCAACTCGTTAATAAAATCTTCCCCCCAGAGAAGTTGGGACGTGTGCATGTCCAGGACAGTAAAATGGAGCAGCATGTCGAACTGGAGCTTTCAGCTCTATCACTGTATAAAAGAAGCTAATGCTGCCTTTGCTGTTGGTTGCACTGTGATAGTTTCTATGCAAGCATGTGCCCACATTCAGAATGCAATTCAGATTGCTAAGGGCTACTATCACACCTCAATCCATATGGAAAGACTGAAATCACCATAATAATCTGCTGTATGTTTTAACCTAATCTCTATCTGGTGTATCTGCAAAATGCAGTAATATAAATTAGGCATTCTATTCTAAAACTAGAATTTAATGTTATTTATGTTATGTTATGTAGCACTCTCTAGCACAGCAATGTTCATTCACTGCAATACCCAGCATGCATTACACAAATATGTCAGAGAACCATCGAGAATCCCCCTAGAAAAAAAATAGCCACTGATTTAGAGGCTAATAAATACAGACGTGATATCTGGCTTTCTTCTGCCTTAGCCAGCTAGCAGGGAAAAAAAAATCAAGCCCACATAAGCCCACATGAGCGTCCTAGTAGTTTTTCAAATGGCCCACCCACCTTCAAGATGCATCATCATAAGGGGATTTTTCTAGTCTTTAAACCAGAACATGTCATTCTATAAACTACTGTGGCACCACTGTAGGTGGCGTGCAGGCATGTTTATAACAGATGCCTAATGTTTTTTATTTTTTTTTTATTTTGGCCGGGGTGCCCTTCAAACACAGAAATAATATTGCCACTGTGCAAAAAATTAATAAGTATCTCCAAAATGGCAACTTTACAGGAGAAGGCAAAAATATTGTTTACTTTTAATGCAAGTTAATGTAAATATATTTACTTGTCTAGCAATTTTGGAGCATTTCTATTAGGTCTTCATTATGAAATTGCCACACAATGTAAAGGACAGCTGCTGGAATGATGTAGCAACAACATGTTTCCCTGTACTGGGTAAAAGAACAGAAAACCTGTTGACTCAAAACATCTAAAGCGAGTGCCCAATGGCTTCTATTATAAGTATATCTTGAGTTAAAAGTTTTTCTGTTCTTTCACTACTTACATAGAATGTGACAAAATAAATATCCATGGTAATAGACCATATGGTAGAGATCAGCTGATAGAGATTACGCTGAAAGACAACGGACGATTCCTTTAACATGTGGACTGCTATTCATGGACATTCATAGAATAAACGGGTATTTGCTGTGCAGTTATACTCTATTAATCACAATGCTTCTACAAAGCTAAATCTTCCTTTTTCATGTGTCCTCCAACCCTGATGCATGTGAATGTCAAGTTTACAGTTTATACACCCTTCAGGTCAGCACAGGGCACGCTGGAGGTAGGCCGCATGGCCGCTAATCTGTGCCCAAATCCCATTAGATGTCTTATAATTGGCAACATCTTATTTAAAGGTTTAAAGTGACAAGAACTTCATCTCTAAATAAAGCTGTACTTCTATTTTTTCAATTGTCTGCAACTCTTTTGCCTCTAATCTCTTTTACTACAACCGTTAGCATTTGCATTATCCTTTTTTAAGTTTACCCTGCCAGTCTGGAATAGCATGGGATTGGGGTCATAATCTCTCAGAGGTAAAAATGCACATAACTGTACTGCACTGTAACTGAGATAGTCCTCTTCATGGCACGTCAGGAAAAATATACACATTCATTTATCTGACTACAGAATGGCAGACGCAGACTGTATTCACTATAAGATCACTTGCAATCTCCTTGGAGAGGAATTAAGTCACACTGTTGTGTGGTTCAGCATGAGTTACAAACAGGGTGCACACAAAGGCCTGTAATCCCAGATCAAACATAAAGAAAGACATTTTAACTGTTTGCTACCAGCAGCCAAAGCTGTTATCTACGGTAGTTCGCAGAGTCTGCTACACCACATATTAAATCTATGTTTTTGATTGCATTATTTTTGTGGTGTATTTTGGTACATTCACATTTAAGTTATGGCTGCTCAATATTTCATTTGTTATTCATTATCACACTATTGGTCTTTGCAAAACAGCTGGAGAGAAGATGATACCTAAAAGCTCACACTTGAAATGAGCTACCTATACATATGAGAATGCTCTACATTTGGCTTTGTGTCATCTAATTTAAAATCACAGCTAAAAAGCAAGCAAGCATGGGACCATAGTCTGCACATCATTAAAGTAGCTGGCATTGTGCTTTATTTTGTATGTTATTTTATGATGTATTATGATGTTTTATATAATTTCATGAGCTGCTACAGGTACAGCCCATGTACTACAGTTGAAAATTAGCCAAACTGGCTAAACTTGCATGTTTACAGAAATGTTTATTAAAGGTAAAGTGTGTAGGAGGATCTGTCAGCAAAAATGTAATATAGTATACAACACCATGCTTCCATTACTGTATAATCACCTGTAACTACGAATTGTTGTGTATTTGTTAGCTTAGAATGAGGCCTTCATATCTACATACGGAGCAGGTCATCCTCCAACAGAGGCCACCATTTTGCACTTCTATGTTTCTACAGTAGCCCAGATTGGACGAACACTGGCTCTAGAAAGTGCCTTTTGCATTTTTATGTTAAAGTTGCAACTTGAATTTGATGGCCCTGTAGCACTGGTTGGAAGACGTAGAAAGACTCAGTGGCTGCTGCTAACCATGCTGGCTAACCATTTTGTGTTGTGAAAGGTTTGAGAACCAAAGTTTTGACAAATGGAGTATCGTAATTAATATTTAGCACATGTCTTGTGCAAGGGAGGAAATCCTTGTCATCACAGAAGCAAAAACATGATGGCCACCACAGGTTCTACTACATGCTTGAAAAGAGATGCAAGAGAGGGGTATTCAATTGGTAGCA